GTGTATACAAGGCCAATGGACAGATCAAGCAGGCAGTGGACCTTCTAGAGCATGTGGTCACAGTCGAGAAAAGAACCCTTGCTGAAGAGCACCCTGATCGACTTGCTTCGCAGCATGCACTAGCCCAACTGCTCCTGCAGATATCTTCCTGATCAGCTGCACCAAAATCCTCCTACAGGCTTTCTTCGTGCGGTACATGTTTTGCTGAAGGATGATAATTAACTGACGGCAACGTCAACAGATCCCATCTAAATGGTTGTCAACTGCTGCATGGTTTCCATGGAGATTTCCAGCTCTTATGCACCACTGATTTTATATATTATTGGATAATATTCATGCGTATGCATAATTCACTCATACATTATTTCTCTCCCGGATCAGGAACGATGAAACCTCGTGGCATATACCAATGCGGGGAACGTTCCCGTAAATTTGTATATCAGCCCTTCGCAACTAAAGTATAGAGCATGAATCGTTCCCTGCAAATATATAGCATGTCGGATTGGAACGCATGAGATACTATGTAAGCCGGATAACTGCATGCATAAACTGTTCCATTTATCGGATTTCGTGTATTGTACCCGAGGTGAATTACCGCCGCCCTCATTTAGGAGCGGATTGTTCACTATAACATACTCACCAAGTTCTTGGCTGTGGGGCCAGGAATAAAAAAATCATTTGTTCGAAGGTCAGACCGGTTTCGAGCGTCACTGTATGTTCATCGGGCACATTGCCTCACTTTCCTCCTGCATATTGCTGTCTCCTACTACAATGACTGGCCGCCGATAACGAGGCGCAGATGGGCCACTGGTCACAACCGCTGGCAAAATAATCATTGTGTAGTCATAATAAGAGACCTCGAGGCTTAGCGAGTCGAAATAACCAAAAGATATATACATCCGCCCACCTTTACCTCTGGGCCTCAACTCGGCGAGTGCATTCTATCATCAAGCCATACTGAAATGGGTCATGCAACCTGGATTGTACAAGTATTTCTGAATCCGATATTTTCTGTTCATGTCTAGCCCATATATACGAGCCCGTACCTAAAGCAGCGCAGTGCACTCGATCTCGACATCGACATTCAGCGGCAGTGTCTTGACAGCAACGCAACTAGAAAAAATAGATGGCAATCCAAGTCAGCAAGGCAACGAGGAAAGAACCCCGAATAGAGATGGCAGCGCAACTCACGTCCGACAGGGCTTAATGTCTCCCCAGTACATCTTGTAGACCTCGTTCATCTTTGCAAAGTCGTTCATATTTGAGAGAAAGACGTTGACCTTGACGACCTTGTCAAGGCTTGAGCCTGCCTCCTCGAGGATTGCGCCTAGGTTTTTTATGCATTGGTGCTGCAATAGCTCAGTGCGTTAGGAGGTATGTCTAGCTTGGTGGAAAGAAGAGGTAGGCAACCCCGGCTGGGAGGACTAATATATGCACTTACTGTGTGGTCCTGGATATCGCCCTTGATAATCTCCATCGTGACGGGGTCCATGGGCACCGCGCCGGAGACGAACACAAAGTCGCCTGCCTTGATGGCCTGGCTGTAGATGCCCGGGAGCGGCTTTGGGGCTTTGGATGTGAGGACGGGAGACTTGGAGGACATTGGGATGGTATGCTTTGATGGGAATTGCGTTGCTTGGCGTAGTGATAGTTGGTCCAAGGGAAAGGCTGGGTAAACATTCAATATAGCGCAAGCCGGCTGGTTATATGCTGAGATTGTGATGAGCTTGGTCTCTCAAGCCGTGGCGTGGGCCTTTTGAGCTTGCGTGGGTTGGGCGGATAGTGGCTCATACGCGGGATGTGCGGGCAGCGCAGTCTCCGATGTTCGCTCACATTTGCAATGCATGGTGATAGTTGGGATCGCTGTTCCTGAGCAGACAATCCAAGTGCGATATAAATGGCCTAGTAATGATTATCGCCTTTCGGCCAGCCGGGTCATATGCAGTGAAAACAATCTCCGGGGTTGCGACCCCTATCAACCCGGTTCTGTTTCCCGCATGATCAATTACTTGTCTATGAGAAAGCTGCAAGCCGTACATCGGAGATAGAAAGCCATCGATGGAACTGACAAGAGGAGCCCCTGACAACATGAATAGGAAGTGGAGGACCGTGGAAAGAGAGCTCAATAATCCCAGGTTGGTCTCCCTATGCACCACGAATCTAGCAGTCCGGGCTTCCTCGCGGAACTTGTTAACTCATGCAGTATGTCGGAGACTTCGTGCGTCCAGGGCATGCAATGTAAGTCAGCTCTACCACCCCTTGTCTCGGGGCTCGATCTTGACACTATCTGGCTTAGGCCCCTTCCAAGTTGCGGTTTTGACTCAACAAGGAGCCTTCTTGCTTCCCTGCAAGGAGCTGCTTGATGACCTACTTGATGATTTCTTCTGCTGGGTAGCGCCAGTCGTGCCTGTTGTTTGTAAAGCATCGTTTCTGAGTCAATACAGGACTCGTGACGGGAATGGCCGCACGCCTCTGCTTCTGCTTCAGGCTATCTCATACTATTCTCTATACTTTCCCATGTTTTTGCTCGGATTAGAATCCCGAGGATAAGCACCCGGGGCTCTCCTTCCCCTGCATGCCGCTGCGATGAACGCCATGGACATAGCCCGTGACGCCTGAGGTTCTGGCTAGACTTGGGAGTTCAATCGCCAGACGAACGTATATAGGCACTAGCTTATAGCCTTCTGTTGCTGCTGCAAAGGTTTCCAAATCCGCACGACTTTTACACTCACTGACCAGCATCAGGGTCACTGGTTCCAATTTGCCTCTATCCGAAAAAAAACGCCTCTACAAACGCATTTGGTGGACATTTTTCACGAGGGACCGTGCACTATCCGTCTCCCAAGGGCGGCCCTCAGCAATCAATCTTCTAGCATTCGATGTTGACCCCATCAACGACACCGAGTGTTTTGAAACAGACGATAGCAAAGCTGCCCAGTATCCGTCAAATCGTCTACATGGCGTGTTCTTCGTGCAGTAGGTAGAGCTTATCAAAATCATGGGTCAAATATTCTCGACCTACTATTCGGTCAGCTCCAGGGTCGTCGAAGGGCAACCCGACTCGCGTCTACAATATGATTCTCAGTTAACGGCATGGCTTCAACAGCGTCCCCGGGAAATGGTGTGGCCGAATTCGCGTCACGAACTTTGGGCGTCCATGCTTAACCTTCACTACTGTTACAGTCCTCCCTTCCTGCAGCAGTCTATGTATAACACCACCATGAAACGTCGCGATATGCCTCCTTGATCGCGCCCATATGCCGGCACGAGAAGGGACGTTCAACAAGAACAGCAGCAGCAGCAGATCGTCCTCAAACGGCGAGTCTCGGCAGACTGCATATAATGCTGCGAGATGTATCACAGATATTGTGGAGACACTCATTTTGTGCGACCAACTCAACTATGCTCCACCGTTCATGTAGGTTTCCAATCCTGTTATTGTAAACCAGACTAATATTTTTTAGTGTCTACTGCCTGTACTCTCTTTGCTCCTGCACGTTTATGAGATGCGCCAATCTAGCGGCCCCGCAAGCCCGCTCGTCACTTGCCGTGTGGATATCTGCTTATACGCACTGCGAAACCATCAAGCTCCTGGACCGTCGCCAACTTGATCCACATGGTTTTTTCCTTTTTACCCAAGTGAACCCCAGAAAAGATTGGCGAACTAGGCAGGGTTGACATTCAAGAAGCCTTTTCCAATTTCCAGAGCGAAGATGGGTTCTCTTTTCCGGATATAGACCTAAACCTAATGGAAACCGGCACGTTCGACTTGCAGGCAATGGGGCTTTTACATTCGGGGCAAGGGTCAATTCTGGCTCGACTTTGGACATGACAGCTTAAATCACAATCATGCACCAGCTCTCCTGCTTCCAATCATGCGTCGCAGCCTCGCAATAGTCCTCTCAACGGCCCCTAAACATCAGTCGCCCGAAACATGTGGACTGTGAACACACACATCCCAACAACCGCCGTCTGGCTCCCCTTTGAACTAATCGTCTCTCGAGATATCGGCACCCCTACGCTAATTGACGGCCAAGAGAGCGAGATCTGGGATCTGGCACGCAAGGCATCCGCCTTCCCTCATGAGAATCAGGCGCGGAGCTGCATTGCGAATCAAGGCGTGTCACTCATTGATACGCTCTTAGACATTGGTTGGGAAACTGGGAGCAGGGAGGAGAGGCGGTTCAATTTGGTGGATATCACCACCCATGTAGCGGGGAATGAATCAGAAGATTTGTGAGATTGCAGGTTTGGCGATGGAGATGAAGTTTTCGAGCAGATTATTAGTGGTGACTCTGGGTTTATTGTTGATTGGCTGTCGCGGTATGCAGCGACGCGGGAAGATAATACAGATGTGGTTGGATGGAGATGACAGTATACATGTTGACTGTTTGTCAGGTCTTTTCCGCCATATCAGTACTTGATGAACATGACTGGCCATATGACAGGCGTGGATAGGAGTGGGTCGTGACCATTCTTTGCTTCACCCTGAAAACTACATGAATATCCAGGCTCCGATCCCCGGATCTAAGTATAACCCTTCAGCAACACGACGTATTGAGGACCTCTACCCTCGCCACACAAGCCCCATTCTTAACAGGCACAGATACACTCTCAGGCACCAAACCAGCCTCCTTCCTAATCCTTCTTTCCGCCATAGTAACCGCAACATCAAACGCATTCTGCACACTCGTAACACCGGCCAGATTCTTCCCCGCAATATCAAATGCCGTCCCATGCGCCGGCGTCGCAACAGGAATTGGTAATCCGCCCTGCACCGTCACACCACCATCAAACGAAAGCAGTTTCATCGCGATCTGGCCCTGGTCGTGATACATGGTGACGATACCGTCAAAGTGCTGCCTTTTCAAGAAGATCGTGTCGCAGGGGAAGGGACCCTGTACGTCTATACCCTTTTCGACTGCCGCAGAGACCGCGGGCCGGATGTGCTCGATTTCTTGTCGGCCGAAGGCGCCGTTTTCGCCGTTGTGCGGGTTCAGGGCGCAGACGCCGAGCCGCGGGGATTCGATACCAGATTCCCATCTATTTTTTTCTTCTCGGTTAGCCTGGCCTGTTGCTGTCGATGGAGGGTGCATACCGTAGCCTATGCAGTAACTCAATAGCCTTTAGTGTAGACTCCTTTGTGATGCGCCTAGCCACTTCCTCAACACCAATATGGCTCGTAACCCTCGCAGTCCACAGTGGACCAGCAATATTGATCTCGCTTGTGACGCCCGTGAAATCAAGCTGGTTCGCAAACCAGCGCAGCTCGTCTTCCTCTGTCATCCCCGCGAGCTTCAACGAGCTCTTATTCAGCGGCGCAAAGACGATGGCGTCGATTTTTCCCGCCTGAACGAGCCCTAATGCTCTCTTCAGCTGGTGGATAGCGCGTCCACCACTGGCCTTTGATACTTCGCCCCGTGTCGAGGGGTACTGTGTCGCGCTATTGTCGTCAAGGACCTGGATTCCATGTGGCCCGGGTGAGTCGGGAGATATGGAAACATGCACGCCTCCAGCATCTTCTATTGCAGACCGCAGCTCTGAATTATCAGCCAGAAGAAATATATCTGCCCTCTCGCGGTTCGCTGGGTTGCTGAGGAGCTTGGCGGTGATTTCGGGGCCGATGCCGGAGGGATCGCCTAGCGTGACGGCGATGCGAGCCCGCCTGGGGAGTGGTGGTTGAGGAAGATCTATTGGCCCGATCATTGCGTTTTTTTTCTGCTGGTTTTAGTTAGGGGAGGACTGAAGGATGGAAGGAGCAAGCCGATGTTATAGTCTTCGGGGCACATTGTCTGCTGACATCGGTGGAACCGCCGAAGGCCCCAACGTCCTCCACGCGGCAGTTTTGCCGACGTGCTCAGGGTCCAGACGGAGCTTTCGCCGATTAGCTTCCCCATGGGGTGACCCATGTCTCCAAATAGGAAACACAAAATGTCTATATATATGGCCTCCACGCAAGGGCTGCCTCCAAGTTCCTCAACCCATATCGCACTCATCTGCATCCGAGCAAAATGTCCCACGCCGGAGAAAAGTCCAGCCTCGATCAGCACGTCGAAAAAGTGCCCATGGCCACGGCCGACCTCGCCGAGGCGCAGCAGCTCGCTACTCAGTGGGTCGACGGGACACCAGAGGAGAAGAGGCTGGTGCGTAAGCTTGACTGGCGGATTCTTCCTTGCACCTGGATCTTGTACCTGCTTGGGTTTCTGGACCGTGCAAATGTTGGGTATGTTCGCCTGCTCCAGTTCATTAAGAAACTACATTGCGCTCTGGCTGACTCTATTGCTTCCAGCAATGCCAAAACCGGTGGGATGGAGGACGACTTCAACCTCACCTCATCACAATACTCCATCATTGTGCTCGTCTTTTTCATCTCGTACCTCATCTTCGAGGTCCCCGCCAACATGATCTTGACCCGTGTCCGGCCCAGCGTGTTTCTGCCCGGACTGGCGCTTGTCTGGGGTACATTCGCTGCACTGATGGGCGCGACGCAGAACTGGACACAGTTGGCCGGGATGCGGTTCCTGCTTGGATTCGCGGAGGTAAGTGGCAATACACGTCCAATATACACGGACGCAAACGTTGTTGACAATTGCAGGCCGGTTTCGCCCCAGGGTGCGCCTTTTTCCTCTCTTCGTGGTATCGTCGATATGAACTTGCCACGCGCTTTGCCCTGCTGTACACCTCTGTCCCGCTTGCTGGAGCAACCTCTGGTCTTCTCGCGGGTGTCATTACCGATCATATGGATAATGTTGGTGGTCTTCCGGGGTGGAGGTGGTTGTTTGTTCGTTTCCCGTCCCTTTCGGAATATCCAAGTTTTAACAGCACCAGATCCTTGAAGGCATTGCCTCGGTCGTCGCCGCCGTCGCCATCTATTTCCTCATGCCCGACTATCCCTCGACGAGCCACCGCTTCCTCAGCGAGGAAGAGAGCGTTCTCGCATGCAACCGCCTCGCCGTCGACGGAATCGGTCTAACGCAGGGCACAGGCGCCGAGACGATCCCACACTGGGAAGCTTTCAAGATGACGTGCGCCGATTGGCGCGTGTGGGCGCAGTGCTTTCTCTTCGTGCTTGTCACCGGCTCCCAGACAATGCAGTATTTCATCCCGACGCTCGTCGAAAGTTTTGGGTGGACGGGACCGACGGGACAGTGTACGTTTTCATCCTTATTGTCTCCTGCTGTTAGGAGAGCAAACGCTCTGTGATTTGCGCACTGACAGGAAGCAGACCACACAATCCCCGCATACATGGCGGCCCTAGTATACGTCGTCGCCTGCTGCTGGCTCGCCGACCGATATAAGCGCAAATGGCAATTTATCTGCGGCCTATCGGGGCTCGGATGCATCCTCTTCATCGCGGTTGCCACAATCCAAAACAACCGCATGGCGCAATACGTACTCACAATATTCGCCTTCGGCACAATCTATGGCTGCTCTCCGCTTGTCAAAACCTGGGTCTCCGATGTGATCCCGCAGCCCGCCGCCAAGCGTGCGATCGCAATCGCCCTCATCAACGGGATTGGAAACGCGTCGTCCATCTATTCGTCGTGGCTGTGGCCGGATAAGGATGCGCCGCGGTATACTCCAGGCTTTGCGACGACGACGACTTGGCTGGGTGTGCTTTGTATCTGTACGGCAGTTTTTGCGTACTTCTTTAATAAATATCCCGTGCAGAGGGCGGACCACGCGACAGTTATGGCTGACGAGTTGAGGGCGAGAAGGGAGGCGCAGGAGGGGGACCTGAAGGCTTAAATTGTGTGGGCCGCTGGCGGATGTGATCGCAAGCTCGTACGCCGATTGTTGGGCGTAAAAAGGTATGAGGCAAGAGAGTCAGTTTAATACAATCGGCAAGCTGCGATAGTCAGTGATTTCCCAATGATGGTATATTGAGGGAGGCCAGAGCAGGGTTCCAATACAGCATCTTCAGTGAACATACAGGTTTCATGCTCTCAGTCAAATCGTAGCCATTGTTCGCTAGGGAATATTCAAAGACAGGGGCCACATATTGATAATTGGTAAGTCTACAGAAATGGCAGCTCGGAATCAATAATCTCAATCCCAAAAAGAAACCCATCGTCAAAGCGCCAATCCAGGTCACCCGTAAGATCAAAGGGATCTTGCTGTTGGCGGGTAGCGTTGTTGTTACTGTTGTCAACTTGAGCTGCTTCCATTACACCTTCGCTGTCTGGAATCACCTGATATGTTTGGTCGGTTATCCCACTCGGTCGTTGAACTAGTGCTGCCTCGGCTATATAGAAAGTTTCCTTGCTTCGTGGTAGCGAGTATAGGAGATCGTCGGGGTCTCCGCCTGCTGAAAACCGCTGAAGCAATTCTCCTAACCCCGTCACAACCTGTCTCACGACGTGCCGCTGGCTAGCATTGTCTGCGACCTGGGATAGGACGCGGACCAGGCGCTCCACGTTCGTTAACGCGGTCCTTGTGTGAAAGTTCAAGCCGTATCGTGCGAGGTCCTTGGGAAGATGGAGCGTGGTGCCATCACTACCGGGATCGGACTTGCCGAATACGACGGCCATCTTGAGGAGGAACGATGCACACACTGCGATCATGGCGTGCACAAAAATTGGCAGGCCAATGAGGGCTCTCTGAAGGCCGCTGTCGTCTGCGATCAGTTTGGCAGTGCTCATGGCGGTCATGATGGCGATGTTGGAGGCTTCCTGTCTTTCCCAGTTCATATCGATGCTTGGTGTGGTGGTAGTGGCGGCGGCATTGTCCTGGCCTTTGGAAGAGGCGGAGACTCCACGGAGTGCTACCGAATTGAGTTGAAAGCGGGCTAGGTGGTAATAGAGGGCATTTGCCGCTGGTGGGATCATGCTGTCCCTTATAGACCCAGTTTCCTTGGGTTGATGCTCGAGACGCCATTGATCGACCGAGATGTCAAATTCTTTCAACCTCTCAAAGTCTTGTCCGCTGAGCTCAAGATCAGGGTCACAGCCATGCATGAAGTAGCCGCTTGCCAGAATTCGGAACAGCTTCACCTGCGTGACAAGGCCGTGGTCTCCTTTCGAGGACAGCCCGCTTGTCAAAAGCTTCTCGGCGTTCCGGATGGCCGCATCTTCATGCATCATGGGTGGGCGACCGTAGGCCAGCGCGAACTGGTGATCGCAAACATACAGCACATACCAGAGGCGTACGCGCTCATAGGACTCGAGGGACCCTCGCGCGAACTGCAGAGACGACTTGTGGAGGTTCATTTCGGTAGCCACTCGCACGGCGCGGCTGCAGAGGGCCCAACTCAGGCTTGTGAGGTAGAATGCGCCGATGCACAGAGCACGTATCACATCCAGGTTCTGGCAGCGCAACAAGCACGAGCCCCTCATCAGTGATATAAAGGCGCCATATGTGGCATGAAGGGACTGCTCTTTATTGGGGATGTGCAGAGCGGCTACAGTCAGCACCACGGATACTAGCAGGGACGACGACTCCCGAGCCTCGCGGAGAGATTTGTGCGGGCACAACATGCCGTCCCACAGCAGTGGGTTGATGTGTCGTCGGTAGTGATCGAAAAGAAACTCGGCCTCGGGTATTGGAAGGACACCTTGACTGATGAAGTCGGGCCCGTTGACGTCGGCAGGGTCGACGCGAATCAGTTGGGAGTTGTTCGGATCGGTGAGACTATAGAGATTGTTCATCGGAAGCGGCACCAGATCCGAATCATCTTGCCCGCGAAGGCCAACCGACGGGCCTTCGGGGGTAAAGTTCCCGCCGACAGACTCCGAGGGAGCAGCACTCAACGGGGACAACGTCTGCATTGACCGTTCATGATCCAATTGGTCCTCTGCGGTTGCCAGACCCGGCAGGTTATTGTGGCGCAAGAGGTACTCGACGGCGTCTTTAAGGCGATCAATCTTGGCTGCAGCTTGCGCTTTCCATGCAGTATCGTCATCGATGAATTTCTGAGCGAAATTGTGAGGGACGCATTGAACGCCACTTTTAATGCACTTGTTACATGCTATCTGACCGGGCTGCACAAAGCATTTGATCTTGTGCTTCTTGCACTCGGCACCTAAACCGTGTCAGCTCATCGTTTCTGTTGGCTTCCGAAAAAAGGATCTTACAAGCCCGAGTCAGCCGTGGCTTTGTGGCATCGTCACTGGACCTTGCGCGCTTGTTACTGCTCATCCTGTGCAACCAGATCCTTGTGTCCCGCAAACCCGGCGGTATCACCGACTTTATGGGCGAATAATCGGCAAAAGCGCCGACCTGGGTCGCCCCATGGCGGGGTCGGAAATTCTCCGGTTTGCGGGGAAACCCTTGGTTGCAGCGAACAACCTCAGTTTAGTTTGAGATCAGATAAGAGTTGAGGCCAGGACTGTCAGTGTCCCTGCTTTCCGTCGAGAGCTGCTGAGCCCCTCCCCGCCCAAGTCGCTGAATATCCCGCGGGAAATGGAGGCGTCCTATTTCCCTTCCCCACAAGGCTAAACATGAATCGCCTTGGCTTTGGTCGAACGTTAGCGCTGACATAATTCTCGACTTGTTTCAGCTCAAAGTTGACCCCAACTCCTCCCGAGTCCGTGGTTGCCTCAGGATAGTGACAGGGCATCATAAGGCGGACATTATTGGCTTTGTAGCTTTGACATCCGGCGTATCCGTATGCGTCTCGGTCCAGAGATGACGCTTTCGGGTCCAAATGACCAGTTTCTGGATGAGGGATGGCTTGCGAGACGGGGTGTGTGTTGTGGTGGACTCGGGGTCGGAGTCGGAGCAAAAACTATCCGGAGTCCGCAATTTCGCCCAAAGCACGTGAACCCAGACATTCTTCACATTCTGATGTCATTGCAAACGCGTGTGCAACTTGGAATGAGCTCTCAGCTGCCGTCCCAGACAAGAAACCTGCAAGGGATGCCTTCGACACTCGAAAAAGACGAAGCCAGCGGAATCCTTAGGCTCAGGCGAGACAGCGATTCAGCCCTGGAAAATCCAGCGGGCCTGAAGTCACCGTCAAGTGGCTGAAGCCTGGACTTGGGCTCAGCCTCGGTTGGATCTCTGAAATCCCCACTCCCAACATGCGAGTGAGCCACTCATACCCTGCTGATTCCTCTTCTTTTACGGGCCATCCAATCCAAGCTCCCTGTGTGGATATGCTGATATGCTAATACAGTACCCACTGGCAATCAGTCAGAGCAGCTCAACGCGCCAAAACCTTCGCAGAAGTTCATATCGCGCTTGAGGCACGTCAGCCTCCCCCACACCTGAAGGCTGTCACCCCTTTCCAGTTCTTGGCTCTTGACTGATAAAGACTGCTTACCCTCCAGCTGGGCTCGTCATGTCCTCGAGTTTAACCCTGTACCGCCATGGCTCTTCTTGACCTTTTCAACCCTCCCGAGACCGTCCGCGGTTCCATCGCGTTATACACGGGAGCTGTCTTCCTCTTGTTCTACTTTCTCAATTCCATTCATCAGAAATGGCGTCGGTACCGGCTTGCTAAACAACATGGATGCGGACCGATCCCCGCTCTTCCGAAATATGATCCCTTCTTCGCGCTCGACAGACTTTGGCTCAACCTCAAGACAGCCAAGGAGCGGAAGATCCTCGAAACCAATGTCCGACGCTATGAAGAATATGGCAATACATTCAGGGCACAGCGGATCACGGATCCAATCATTCTAACACGGGAGCCCGAGAACGTCAAGACTATTCTGTCTCTCAAATTCAACGACTACAGCATGGGAGACAGGCTCCAAGTCTTTGGCTCGCTTCTGGGTCACGGTATCTTTACATCGGACGGAGAGGACTGGGCTCGCTCGCGCCACATGATCCGGCCCAACTTTATCAAGGAACAGGTCGCTCATCTTGATATTTTTGAGGAATTAATGGCGGACCTGTTCGCCCTCATTCCCACGGACGGCAGTACTGTTGATCTCCAGGAACTATTCTTCGGCTTTACCATCGACTCTGCTACCGAGTTTCTCTTCGGCCACAACGTTCACAGTCTTAAGAAGCGCCTGTCCCAAGTGGTAGATACTGAGCCTGACTTCTCGGAGGCTTTCAACTACTCGCTGGAGAACATCGTCACAAACTCTCGCTTTGGCCCACTAATGTTTCTGAATCGTGATCAGAAAGCGAAGGAGGCCAACCAGATTTGCCACAAGATGGTTGAGCAGTTCGTCGACAAGGCCATGAGAGTACGAGAGAAACACGACGAGGAGAAAGGCGCCGACGAGGAAGAGAGCCGAAGGTATCTGTTCCTGAACGGCCTGGCGCAGCAAACCAGTGACCGAACTCGAATCCGGGACGAGCTCATGAATGTCCTGCTGGCAGGCCGTGATACGACCGCCTCGCTTCTGAGCAACATGTTTTTCATGCTAGCAAAGAACCCAAGGATTTGGGCCAGATTGCAAGAAGAGATTGCGACGTTGGACGGCCGGGCCCCAACGTACGAGGAACTGCGAGATCTGAAGTATCTTAAATGGTGTATCAACGAAAGTAAGTTCGCCTCTTGCCATCGGCTTGTCCAATTCATCAGCATTAACGAACCTCGACAGCTCTCCGTCTCTTCCCAGTTGTCCCGCTCAATTCACGAACCGCCATAAAGGACACCATCATCCCCGTCGGTGGCGGTCCAGATGGTCGGTCGCCGGTTTTTGTACCCAAGGGTACTGCCGTGGGATACAGTACATGGGCGATGCATCGTCGCAAGGACTTTTACGGCGCCGATGCTGACGACTTCCGGCCTGAACGGTGGGAGAATCTTCGTCCTGGATGGGAATATCTTCCTTTCAATGGGGGACCTCGCATTTGTGTGGGCCAGCAATATGCACTGACTGAAGCATCTTATGTTACGACACGCATTGCCCAGAGATACTCTGTTCTAGAGAGCCGCGACCCTGGCCCATGGGAGGAGAAACTGACGCTGACTCTGTCCTCCCACAACGGGACTAAAGTCAGCCTTCGTCATTAACTTGTGTGATACGATAACTATATATTATGATTTATGAATGACTTGCCCGCAGGCTTACTTGCAGGTTTCCCGCCGGGGCAACCAGGAGACTCGTAGCCCTCTTAAGCTAAAGTTTACAGGGTAATCGGCATTCGCATTTATCCACCATTACCGTGATTGACTGGATTCCCCACAGTCTCCATTTCGTGAAGATGCTAAGTTTGCCAAGCCACACCGAAGCTATATTCGGGCGTAATTCTTCCGACGCGGGGAAGGAGTGGCCATAATTTCTCCGTCTATAGTACCATGTTGTACAACACGCGCATGCTTTGTCGATCGCCCGTCCATCCTTCATCAAACTCGAAACAAGCAAATATCCGGCGAATATAGCCTAAAAATGGAGATAAAAGCCCAGCTTGCCCAGCCTGTCTCGCCTCTTGGTACAGCCTTAATCTCGACCGAAGCCAGCAACCAGAGTCAGGCACAATGGGCGTCTCCTTCTTCGCAAAGGCTGCCCTCCTCGCAGCGTCGGCAGTTTCTACAGCTACCGCAGCAGCAGCCCCGTCCAAAGCCAACTATACCGAGCATCTCTCCGAGTCATTCCTCAGCAAAGGCGTAACATTTTCCCGAAACTACGCCTATGCAGTCCTCTACACGGGCGTCGAACTCGCCTACAACAAAACGTCGAACCCAGTCTACTTCAATTACATCAAGACACAAATTGACGGGATCCTCAACGATGACGGCTCTTTTGTCGTCCCCATAACCACCACCCTGTCCCTCGACGACATCCGCATCGGCCTCAACTTCCTCTGGCTATGGTCCGTGACCGGCGAGACCAAGTACAAGATCGCCGCGGACAACCTGCGCCACCAGCTCGACTACACGCCCAGGAACCCAGACGGTGGGTTCTGGCATCGGCGGCCCACATACCCCGACCAGATGTGGTTGGATGGGATCTATATGGCGAGCAACTTCTATACCCAGTACACGGCTTGGTTCCAGCCTGCGAATACCACCGCGTGGGACGATATCATCCTCCAGTATGATTTGATTGAGGAGCACACGCGTGTTCCCGAGACGGGGCTGTTGTTCCATGGGTATGATGCGAGTGGGGTTGCTGTCTGGGCTGGTGCGTCTCTTTCCCCTCTCCTTTTCCTGTTTCTTTTCGATGTCTCTCCAAAACCACCCTTCTTCTATCCTCCCACCCTGATCCAGTCGACTGATGATAACGACTGACGATAAAATAGACCCTGTCACCGGCGCTGCCCCTCACATTTGGGACCGCGCAGTGGGCTGGTACTTCATGTCGCTCGTCGAAATGCTCGACTACTTCCCCAAATCTCATCCAGGCTACGCCCGCAACGTCAAGCGCTTCCAATCCCTTGCGGCTGCAGTCAAAAAGTCGCAAGACCCTTCCTCAGGAGGCTGGTGGCTCATCATGGATCCCCCGTACCCGAGCGATCCCCGGAACTACATTGAGAGCAGCGGGTCGGCGATGTTCACGTACGGACTGCTGCGGGGGATTCGAAAGGGGTTTCTGAAGGAGAAGGATTATGGAAAGGTTGCCCGGAGGGGGTATGAGACATTGAAGAGGGAGTTTATTTCGACGAATGTCAACGGTACGTTGAATTGGGAGGGGACGGTGCAGGTGGGGAGTTTGGGGAGTAATGGGACGTTTGAGGTAAGTCTGCTTTTTTGGTCTTCTTCTCAAAGATGGTATGCTAAGAAGTCCCATAGTATTACATCTCCGTTCCGCTCGCGCAGAATGATTACAAGGGTGCTGGGCCGTTCATCTATGCTAGCTACGAGCTTGAGGGGTACTAGTGTCCACGCCTGTTCAATAAGGCAAAAGCTACGGTTCTTTTTTGATTGTACGGAGTAGTCCGTGGCTTTCCTAGTGTGTTTTCACGCTCCATAACCACTCCTTATCTCAGTCATACTTCACGACAACACTTCAGATCGATGTTGGGTTCGGTCCTTCCCGTGGGCCCTTCCGGCAGAGCGTAGGAGGGTATTGCCTGCTCCGAAGACGACTGTGAGCTGTGTAATCCGAGGCAAGGATTATCATCTATGGTATTCCGAGGTTCAGGTTTGTATCGTGGTTGGAAGGTAGAGGCACTACATAAAACATGTTAGCACAAGATTGTCCGGGAAACGCTACCTCTCTGACTTCCATCTGCACACTTCTTGCTCTATCAGGAGCGGAGAAATGGGTTTCCACAGAACTCGAGTCAATCGCAGCTTGCTGCTCCTTCAACGGGGATCCTTTCGTAAACACCAGTAGATAAATCAGTCTGGCTCCGACCGTAATTGCGTAGCTTGATCCCAGTTACGCAATTGGCCATCTGGGTGCTACTGATAAAATCGGCTGATGACACTTCAACGCCCATGCGGCTTTCCCCAGGATCTTTCTGCATTCCCAAAGCAACGCCCAAGTTGACAGAACAAATTAATGAGCTTCGAATATATGGCGAGTCCGCGATGTTGCTGTCGGCTAAAATAATCAAAGAAAATGACAAGGGAAAGCAGTGTATCAGCTAGTAAGGATGACAGGCAAGCGGCCGTGCGGGCAACTGATCAACTGATCATACCGAAAGGTTGAAGTTTGCTCCTAGGGGCATTCAGTAGCGTTGAAGCGGTGCTGAATGGAGTATAAGACCCAGAGGAGGCTGTCAACGGTGTGCTCTGTGCCAGAGAGTTTGAAATTGCAGCAGCGAGTTACTTCGTCGGATTGGCATCCAAACAAGACAATACCTACCAGCCAGATTTGATGAGTACACCAGGCTAGTCGTTTAGCAAAGCAAAGAGTCGTCCTCTCTTAAATGTGTCAGACGATTGTTCTGCCTTGTATTATCGAGAAGCGGGTCCGAGAAGAAATGACCGGACTAAGGCGACAGATTCAGCTTAGCTGGTACATCTTTCTCGGAAGGCCACGAGGATTTGACACGCTAGAGCTGTGTCGATCGTAGCGGCGAGTTGCTTTGCGAGCCTCCAAGGCAGATACAGTTGTTACTCTGATTGTGATCAAGTTTATCATGCATGCAGATTCCGACGTCGCTTCGCTGCAAACTAGATCAAAAAGCATCGGTTAGCAAGCGGTGTCCGATCACGACTCTCCAATCAATGACCAGCGAAGTCTAGCCGTGCAGTCACAATCTACAGCTTGCGAGTCACGGTTACTGATCTCTTTCCTCAGCTTCAGTGGTATCCAGACCAATCGGGGGGGGCTTCAAATTAATATAACATTATATGTATATAATATATAGGAATTTACTATTTTTAGTAAAGGATGACTTTTTAAAATGAGCTGTATAGATTGCCCTCCGCCAAAGGATGCTCGATAGTCAAACGAGCGTATTCTCTCATGGTTGATCGAAGATGCGCGACACATCGGATCGCTGCAAATAATATGGGTTCTGTCGTGTCACCGCCATCCCTGAATGATCGTGAACGCCCACCTGCGTCAGCGGCTCCCTGGAGGCGTGGAATGCGAAACGCCTCGTGGGTCCTCATAGCTTCTCTCGACGTATAGGACGACAGAGTTAAGCCCCTCTCATCGAGATTACCGGAATGAGTAATCGGTAGCTCCAAGGTTGCAGTGGTCCGTGAATAGTGAAGTCTCACTAGCAAGGATCCCCCAGCTTCCACGTGGACCGGTTCCTGTTGTGCGAAAGCTGGCGACCACTTCTTTGCCTTTCTAGGACGCACGGGCCTATTGTAATGGCCTGTCAAAGTGGGGCTTAATGGTTGCTTTTTCGGCTCAATATTTCCTTTTTTTTTTCGCTGCCTCACGGCGATGGGGTGTTGTGCGGGCTCGGTGGGGGAGGTGGTTGGGATCGGAGGATTGTGTCAGGCGGCGAGTGGCATGAGTCCTGATTTTGTTGGTAATCTATCAGCCTGTTTCTCGTGATGATATGAAGAGATGGGAGGCTCATCTCATTCAGGAGCGAAAAAGATAAGATGTGTCGTGCCATGTTAGGAATCGGAGCGTCTCAACATGAGTCCGAAATGGATTCTCTTAGTACCAGCAGGTGACAAACCGTTGAATCATCAAGCTGTCAACCTTGAATAAAGTTCTTTGATTCATGCAAGCACGCAGGAATATTGCGTGCTGACTTCGGTGAGTTGAGTGGAGCTCGAGTTCGTCGGAAATGATGGCCTCTATTATGCTGGAATTAGTGAAAATATGACCTCACAACGGCAGACAGAGAGCGGAGTACAGGCGCAGTGTCTCCAGTACTTGGTAGAGCTAGCGCCAAGTACCTTGAAATTGGTATGCATCTACCCTTGACTTGGAAGATGCGATACGTTCGATAAAGTCTGAGGTGGAGTGTGCCGAGGAGGACAGGTCGTTTATCTGCAGCGAACTTACTTGTAACCACAGCAAGAGCCTGAGGCTGCTATCAAATATTTCATGTTGACCTTATACCCATGCTAAAAAAAAAAGGGAAGGGAAAAGCTTCATTCTATAACCCCGAAAGAAAGAAAAGCGCAGTCTTGTAAAAACGAATGAGGGATATCATAAACGAGTCAACGCTCAAGTGGTCCGAATCCAGACTTCCAAAAAAAATGCACCAGTATACTCCGCAACGTGTGTTCCATAGTCGCATAGGTTATTTCCGAGGTTGGTGGAGTGGCTGCTTTGCGAGCTCCGCCTCTAGCGCTTCTTTCTCTATACCACCAACTGTCAGCATGCTATGAGCCAACACTGGGACGTGAAGACTTTACCCTTGATTTCTTTGATTTGTCGAACCATGTTATTGTGAATCGACTCCCATTCGGCTTGATAATGTGCGAGGCCGCGTGTCTCGGTCTTGCCGGCCGCCTTTGCTCCGTTGTGGCTCTTATCCATGGTGTCTGAAGTTATAATCGACGTTCTCGACTATATAGGTAGGAGGAAAAGGTATATCAAGTGACAGTTTTGGTGTCAAGTTGTGCAAGGGGCAAGAGCAGAGGAGGGTTGAGTGAAGAAGCAAGCGATGCGAGCCTAGAGAGAGTGGAAAGAATTTTGCGATGAGAAGTCCCAGAAGGAGGGCGCGTACCTGCTTTGTATATCAAGACACAGCCATCATCCAAGGGGATGCAGAAGGATCAGTAGGAGCTATGCAATAAAGCGTGAAAAAAATAAGAAAGAGAAAAAAAAAAAAAAAAAAAAAACAAATTGAGCGGATGCCTCTCCAATGGCCTGTACCGCGGAGGAGTCCCTTCTGATCGGTTCCAACCACACGCATGGTAGTGAGGAGGGCGTACCCGTCCAAGGCTCCAATGGAAAACGCCTCCCGTTGCAAGATGTGCCGGAGGCATAATTTCACATTCGAAACATTTCCGTTCGTTGCTGAGCCACACGATTGGTTGAAGGGGGAGCTGGGACAGGCTTTCGGAGGCGCAGGCAGGAAGCCTGATGCTGTGACGGGGAACACGTAGTTCCAGTTCGGTTGCTTCAGAGCCCTGTGACAGCCTGCCGGGATAAAAGGTATGAGTGTCATTGGCTTTTTCAACTCTCCGACTTTGACCGCGGCCGTCCGGAGTGCGATAGCGCACGCCCGGCTCTGGGAGGTATAGGCAAAATTGGGCAGCGATGACCAAGTTAGGCTTGGGCAATACGACGGGTGCGATTGGCAAGTGGGAAGCCTGATTCATGGGTTGCAGGTGGAGAAGAAGATCGAAGGTGGGATGATGGATCGATGGATCGATGGAGAAAGAGTGGGGGATGGCTTACCGCTGCTTTCCCGCCGCGTTGGGTCACTCTTCTCTTTGCTTTTTCCTCTTCATCGAGTCCATCACCGTGTCACCCTCGTTTCGCGACTTGTTATTTGAATTTCTCCATCCGATTTCGTGGAGTGGATTCCTTCAAGGGCAGAAAGCCCCAAAATCAAAGGATGACACGCCTGGTGATCTTCATTGGTCACCCCACTTTACAGCAAACAACACCACCAAGAGACTTCCAAATACCCCATGATCAGAAACCCCACGAGTGAAACCAGCAACAGGCAATTATAGATCAACCAAGGATGCAAACGGGACGAAAAAGGCCAGGGAGCGGCATTTCCGAACATTAGCCGGCTCCAAAGCAGATTCAACGACGATGGCGTCTGGCTTGGAGATCAACGTTAATTGACGGACAACAGGTTGATATCCCAGGGAAAGCAAGGATTCAACGGCGACAGATTAGGTGTACCACCCTTCGCATTTCAATATCGTTCCAAGGCTCTGGTTCGATGGACCTACGCGAAACCCGACACCGCAAGTCAATCTCGTGTTACCATCGTCTCTGTCTAGTGACACTTTCAAAGCCCAACAGTACGGGAAACCGAAGCAGAAAATCTTCGTACACGTCTCTTCAGGCACACGGAACACAATGACATCAGCCCGTCTGACCATCCAATCGGGGAGCACCCGCGCCGCAAGTGCTCCGCTGTCTGCGAGAACAGGTGGTCTCCCGCCAATTCAAGGAACAGGGAACAATGGTACCAAGCAATGTCCCACTACGCCTTTAATAGCGCCACAATCTCGTCTCACAAAGACAGGCCGCGGTGTCTACTACCATTCGTTTCCGCCCTCTACTCCTGTGCAAGAAACACCGTAATATTCTCGACTCCTTCATTTAGGCCTCGCTTTATCAAAGAATCCCCTCTGTACACCTTACCGCGCAGGCGTTTGCACTCACCTTTCTGGTCCGTGGAACGAATGTATCCGCAGGGTGATTTGTATTCAATCCAGAGAGACACTGGTCCCCCAGATCATGGCTCAATTTCTTTCAAGACTCAGCGCCTCCAAATGCACAATGTGGTATGACTCTTTCAAGTCAAAGGGGTGTGTCACAGCATGGTGGTGGGCCAACCGAACGGCAGGTCAGACGTGGTACTTTTTGCACAACCCTGCTTGTTTGGCGTGTTGGGGATTTGCCTGCCTCTAAATCGTCAACGTCCCGATTATTATCACCCTGATCAGTCTTGTAAGATTAGTCTTTTCTGATCATCGATGACACTGACAGTCTCAAAAATGGCTCAGCCTTCAGACGATATTGTACCGAGACGAACGGGATCGACCATGCAGGAGCATTGGAAATCTCCTCCCCACATCAGAATTGGCTGTGGATGATTGATCACCCACTTCACCTCGGCCCAGCCGGGCCAGGCCTCAAGGCTCAGGGAACCAGTGAGAGCCTTGCTCATTGCTCAACGCTTACGAAAACGGCGCCTGCTTTCCACAAATAGGCAACGGTCAATATTTGCAGCGATGAGTCATGCGGCTGAAACAGGGCGCCTATTTCGCGCCTTAGGGTTGTATTAGGCCGACAGGTGCGTGTCAGAGTGATCGATTCCCTTTGTTCTGGTAGCCTGTCAGATGCTTTTTCCGCCCAGCTGAGAAGTAAATCTTGCAGCTTGGAAGCACGGGGTGTGGCAACACATTGGGCATCGCCCGATTCAACTTGGCAGCACCTTTCTCTCCGCTGATAAAAAAACACTTTCTGTTTAACATAGGGTTTTCGGAGATCGCAGGCACGAAGGTTTTCGGGCAAGGCTACTGCACCTATTCGCAAAGATGCATTCATCACCACGGGTTGCTGGCAAAGGGCAGAATATCGCTGATATCTGAGAATTGAAGCCTTGTCTTGATGATGAATATGCGTTTCGGTCTCAGAGCAAATGTCTACCAACTCAATTGATGGGCGCTCACGAGGCGTCCGACGCCAAACCCGCTTCCGACAAACAAAAAGCTACTGCGCATGCTTCTCAAGCGATCAGCTCTCGGAAATGGCCGTAACCAGATTCCAAGTCTCCATTCCGTTTCAGCGCATCAGCATCTCATTTGACCAATACTTCATCGTTGCCATTGTGGATTGGTGGGAACAATACGATCGCCGGCCGCGCCCCGTTGCGAATTTGTGATCGCATTGTGCTCGATCGCTGAGCACGTAACTTGCGCAAAATGCTTCGACAAGCATTGTATCGATGGTCGTTCGCATACCAAGTCCAAAGGCTCTCTTGCTTTCCATTTGCGTTCAAATGAGCCAACATAAACAGGCTGGGCGCCATCCACAGAAAAGAGAGTCGAACCATGTGTTCCTCTGCACGCTCCGCATCCACGCCACGTTTTGCTTGCCGTGTGTCAGCCGGCAGGGTGCGGTCAATGTTGGCATGCTCGGCAGTTCGGTACATATCCAGGAAACTTACAGCAACCAAGAGCCCTAGCCAGTGACTCCTCCCCCTGGAAAAAGACTTCGCCAGCGACCTATGACGCAACGTGAAGTTGCTTGCCATATGGACTTAAGCTGGCGCTTTGAGACACAATTTTCATCATGTACGACTGGTTTCATCTTTCATCGCTAATCAAGAGTTGGAGAAAAGAGGGCGTCCGTATAAGTTACTCATCGCCCATGCAATTTCTAGCCTCTTAGGTTCACGGAGCACGCCAGCCCTTCCCTTACTCATTACTGTTGTCAGTGTTGAATCATAACACTCATTGACCGTAAAGTACAGGTTGTTCAAAGCGAGGATAAAAAGGCACGAAATTGGCCGAGTAATCTATATACAAGTGCCTTAATGCTAGGGAAGCATGGCCATTCTGCGGTAGTGAATCAATGCCCCTTCTTAGACATGCATCACTCAATATCTATTACAGCTAATCGGGGTCATTCGCATATATGTGGTCCAGAAGAGTAGGAGTAGGGTAGGATCCGAGAATCCGGAGGCATAAATAATGAAGAGACGTTTCTATAAAACTTGAAGGAATTCGAATACGCTGACACTAGCCCTGAAGAGTATGATACAGTTCCAAACCAAAGTCACAGGCTTCATTAACTTTTGAAATCCACACTTCGCTCATGGTATTATCTAACAGGTGGTTGAAGACGCCACTGTGTGCGGCAGTGTCCCAGTCGGTCTTACTCACTGCCTTCCACAAGCGTATATTTGTCGGGGGAGGAAACTGCAAATCCCGGGCAGTCAGTTTTGAATCAATGTGGGTGTTGTTGGCTCGCTTTCCAATCCTACTAGTGGATTGGTAGACTTTGTATAGGGCCAAGTCGAACCACTTGGTTTCTTCAATGCCCAGCCAGATGTATGGACTAGCATCGCTCTGAGAATACAGCGCAAGTATACTTGGATAATAAAACATGCCTAATCTTTTGCAGCTCCTAAGAAGCGAGTCAAGTAGTCCTGTATGGGCCTGGGCGAGAGAGGGCTTCTGGTCAACACCAAGATTCTCAGCGCCTGATCGCATGAGAGCGAAGATTATATGCAATAAGATGCCTTGGTATGTCGGGATCTGCCACTTGGCACTAGGCAAATCCTCTGTGACAGAAACATCCCATGCTTCCTAGCAACACCTTGTCAGTACAGTAGGTTCCCAATAACAGGAAGTTCACCCACTCTTTGCTGACTGATGGCTAGAGCCAAGGTATTGTGAAGGTCAATCGCTGCTGACCGTGTAGCTGGCTGGTCGCTCATCCACAGCCCAATAGCAACCATGGCTTGAACAAGTAAGGGCGACTCTACCTTCTCGTCAAACGAGCCCTGATGTATAAAGAGCCAGTATGGGTGGAACTTCTCAGAGTACAGGTTAAGAAAGCGGCGTGACGGCTTTGGGGGGCCCACATTCGAAGCTGGAATATCTGCGACACCCGCCGGGTGACAGGGAGTCTCCACCCATCGGCTCAGAGAACATTGAATCCCTCGACGTAGGCACTCATTGCATGGAACTCCGCCCTGGCATTGGGACTTCGCCCGCCGGCAGTGGGCGCAGGCATGTTTAGTATTGGTGGGTTTGTCTACTCCATGAATCTGGCGCATATGTCGCCGAAGGGTGTCACTACGCTTGGATTAGCAGGTAAGGCAGCCACTAAGACATATCGCCCTCTCACCTTCGGCCAAATATTCGACTGCAGGCTGGGCACAGAAATGACTGGTTTGGCGTTGTGGCGAATCGAGTGTGCTTCACGCAAGGAGTCTGCTCCGCACCCCGGAGACTGATTCCTTGGTGGCATCCTTACTTGTTATTGGTGAGTATCACGCAAGTTGGGATCTGATGCGCTTGTTCTATCTCGGTTTTGTTGCCTTCTCGGCGGTTGGATTGCCTCTGCTGATCAATGCAGCCTCCCTCGGCCAAGTAACAGCTATATGACGTCATTCCCATGAGTCGACTTGGACCACGTTTTGATACTCGGGCGTATTCTCTTAAATACAGTATTTCGTGCCGGCTTCCGCTTTTATTTTGGAATTTACACCTTGACTTGACATATTTGGTCAAGTATCCAAGATAGATATAAGACAAAGACGGTGTAGAGAGCTCTATATGGGCAGGCATGCGGCAGACCTTCAATTAACTACTTCATTGGTCAGACTGCCTACTATTTGCCGACCCGCTGAATAGAAAATTTGGACCACCGTTTATCTTTTAGGACTGGATGGCGTCCACATCATCGCGAAACGACTGTTCCCAGGCATCCCGCCCCTTGACCGGATTCCACCCAATACTCCGCGCAACATTAGCAACCGTCCTCTCGTTGGAGCAGAAGCCTTCTGCAGCCAATTTTAGCTGTTCATAGTCAAAAGCCTTACTTGCAAAACCAAGACGCGGGAGTAGGGTTTCTGCCGCTTCCTTCAAGGTAAGACTAGTAACTTTCCTCTCCGACAAAAGGCCTCGTTCGTAGCAAGCATCGGCCACTAGCTGCGAATACTCCAGCCATGAATACCGCCCATTGGCACTGAATATTATCCCCTTCTTCCCAGTAGGCAGAGCATTTCCTTCCTGCTCCAGGATATTCAGCACAACAAGCCGGTACAGTTCAGCCAGATCCGCAATATGGACATGATCCCATACACCTGACTCGTCACCTAGTACCACCGCATGTCCAATCTCCAGCATCGCCTTCATGTACTAGGTGTGAACGCTAACCTTGTTGAACAGGCCGGTGCCGTTCCCGTAGATGATGGGACTCATGATCACGAGCGTCTTGACTCCCAGCTCGAGGCCCGTGTCAATGACGCCCAGCTCAGTGGTCCTCTGTGCGTAGGGCTCTGCCGCCTCGAGCGCCTTCTCGTAGGCGTACACATCGTCAACCAGATCATCAAACTCTTTCAAGGCCACTGGCTGGGTAATCGGCTTGTCGCCGATATTAGAAGTGCCCTACGTGTGGATAAACCAGACATCGCGGCGTGACTGGTCTTTTCGCTGCGCCAAGCCGCGCAGGAGCGCCGTGGATGCGGAGTGATATCCCAAGGTGGTGTTGATAACAAGATCATGCTGTGCGGCTACAGCGGTGGTGGTCTCGAGGTCGTCAAGGCCATTGTAGACGACAGGGTTGACGCGCTCCCCATATGTAGAGGTAAGGAGGGCGGCACGATTCGCATCTCGGAGAAGGCATGTTATAGGGCTGGATGGAATCGACGAGTGGGAAGATTGCAGCAGCGCAGTTAGGATACTTCCCCCGATGAAGCCTGTGGCTCCGGTAAGGAGGATCTTGGCGTCGGCTGTCATGTTGCTGAGTGCGCAAACTGAATTGGAAGAACGGCTGCGTTCGAGTAGAGATTGTCTCAATTTGTGAGCTTGAAGAATGCCCTAGAAAGGCATCCACGGCGCCGTTTTCCACTTAAGTAGAAGCAACCAGGTGGGTCTGGTCATTATAAATGGGAGCTATTGCAAAGCAGTAGAATGCGTAATTACAAACCACACTCAAAGACTAGGGAGGCGCCGGAACCGCCGTCGGAGCTGCCACCGGCGCTGCCACCGGCCATCCCACCAGATCTACGACTCTTTGATACCGCCTTACGATAAATGATCATCAGGACAATATGTTTTAGTACTACACAGACGGCTCCCAATGTTGCTCGTCCTATATAAGTGTTCTTCCATACCATGATTTTAGAATGTATACATACGAAGGCTTCATGCATTATAGCTCACTCCACCAAAAGACCACTGCCCAGAATGCCCATTTGCCATGTTACATTTCTCTCAGCAAAATTACTGATATGCTACAGCAACTCTATGGGTCAAGCATAAATTCAGCACTTCTCTACGTCCACTGTCTTTGGCATTATTATTAATCATTAGACAAATACAGAACCAATACAAGGAGCTGGTTAGTTGAGGAAAAAAACTCGCCACCAGGCACCCAAGAACGTCAGGTCCTATCATGGGAGAGTCGTCAGAAAGCTCGGCTACCGCGACGTATGTTCTGTGATTCTATGTTGTCACTGTCCTTGGGCATGGCCATCCCCCTCAACTCCTCCTCGACGGACCGCGGTCTGCAGTAGATTGGTTCGCCCTTGATATACCTCTCAGAGCACTACACCACTCTGGATTTCCCACCTCTATCCCTCTTGTGAATCTCGACGCGCAGAATCCTTCGACAATGAAGTGGCTAATCCTCTCGTCCTGGCAACGATCCTCAACCAGCGTACCAATGCCGCAGACTGTGCACTCTATACTGTGAAGCCCCAGGATACATGCCTGAGCATTGCCAGGTCACAGAATGCAAAGTATGCGCAATTCCTTGCCTGGAACTCGAATATCAACATCCAATGCTCGTATGTCTTCACAAATCGTGCATAGAAACTTACTTATACATTCTGTCGCTAAAGCAACCTTGAAGATCTCACGGGGCTTGAACTATGCGTGAGCAACCCCTTGGGTGACTATGCTATTCCCACAAACAGCAGAGGCTCTCCGTCAATCGTAACAACTGTGGCGTATGTACCTGTACAGCTCAATGTTGCGGTGTTCAACAATGACAATCAATAGGCCGGTACCGGTCCCAACTCCTGTCAACACGACCTTGAAGTGCGGAGAATACTATCTTGTGGAGCCTGGGAGGATTGTAGGATCGTGATCACGCGATTCGAGATCCCACTGGATGATTTGTAAGTGCTGCGCCGAAGACTCGACATGTTTAACTTCATGCAGCCTGTTTCTGAACCCTCAGGTCTGGGAGAACTGCACAAATCTCATGCGGGACTACTGCTACTGTGTGCGGCCTGTGGGTTATATCACGACCTATCCTGGATACGGCGGGTCGACCACAACAGAGCCATTTGAGCAGACCCCCTCGACCCCGCTCCCCAAGGACCCAGTCGCCAACTATCCTTCTTCCTGGCTGATCATTCCCATTGCTAATCGGACGAGACAAGACTGTCATTCGTAAGGCTTTGCGTCCCTTCCCAGCTCGCTTACTGTGCTGACTGGGACCGCAGGTATATCTCATTTGAGAATGTCACGGGAAATCTAGAGGCAAACTGCTAGAATTTAGCCGCTATTGTTAGTGCCAGCCGCGAGGTATGGTTTCACCACGAACTTGTCTGTCTCGCGCTTCGCTAACCAGCTCAAGGAATTTGTCCTCTGGAATCTCTCGCTTGGCGACAACTCCACGAGCGTGGGACCGCCCGTAATCAGCACCGTGGACGGGACAACAATAACGTCGACAAGCGACCCGTACGCGTACCCCTACACTTTGGCCGCAAACACCTCTTATTGCGTGGCCCTCGCACCACCGCCACAAACCGTAACGGCGACGGCAACGCCCATCGAAACGCCGGCCCTGCGTGCAAGCGGCGAAGTCGCCAACTGCACCCTGTGGTACGCACCGGCAGACCAGGACGACACCTGTATAAATATTCTGAACACCTTTGGGATCACATTCGAGCAGTTCTACGCCATGAACCCGTCGGTTCACAACGACTGCAGTGGCCTCGTTCTGGGAACCCACTACTGTATCTCGACGTACCCGGATGGCGTGCCTGGTGGACAGCCGGACTGGATGGGGCCCCCTGTGACCGTACCTCCAAGCACCCCAACCACGACAACGACAACAACATCATCAGGTATCTCCACCCCGTCACCGGTACAGACAGGCATTATCAGTACCTGTAATGAGTTTTACCGCGTAATATCTGGCGATACCTGCTACGACATCGCCCTGGAGAACGACGTTCCGCTGTCAGACTTTTACACCTGGAACCCGGCGGTCAAGTCCGACTGCTCGGGTCTCCAGGCCGATGTATATGTCTGCATGGGCGTGCAGCCCCCTAGTAGCACCACAACAACAGGCACGACTTCAACGTCCGGCATATCGACTCCTTCTCCCGTCCAGTCCGGGATGACCACGGCATGCAATGACTTCTACTTCGTAGTCGCAGGCGATGGGTGCTACGATATAGGCCAGGACAGCGCCTTACCCTTGTCAAGCTTCTACGACTGGAATCCAGTCGTCAAGACAGATTGCTCTGGCCTCCAGGCCAACGTCTATGTATGTGTTGGGATCCATGGCGGTAACCCTACTGCTACTACTACTACCGCCACTACTACAACAAGAACCATGACAACCATAACAACAGGGATTTCCACTCCGACTCCAACACAGCCGGGCATGGTTAGGAACTGCCGACAATTCTACCTTGTGCAGTCCGGGGACGGGTGTTGGGATCTGGCGAATCAACACGGCATCTCACTGGCGGATTTCTATGCGTGGAATCCCGCTGTCAAGAGCGATTGTTCAGGGCTGCAAGCGAATGTTTACGTATGTGTTGGACTTGATTAGCCTATGACATATTCTTGGAAGGAAAGGGACAAAGAACGCCCCTCTACTACAGGAGGGACTTGAGCTCCACATACTGGTCGTACCGTCTTATCATTGCTAGTTATGCAGGTTATTGGAAGTTGTATTTGTGTTGCGCGGGTTGTGCTTCGGGAATAGTTTACTAGCACAACAGTATGTATTAGGGAAGACGTTGATTTCTTAGATGCAATCACCTAGGACGAATGGAACAATTGATTCATACAAAAACCCACTCCTTCGGGTCCTTTAGATAGCCCAGCTTCGCCAGCACGTAATCAGACACATTCGGCCGCTCATACGCAGGCTCAAAACTATCACGGACGACCCCAAGGTCAGATACGACCACCTCTTCATTGCCGACAAACGGGTTCGAGCCGTCGGCGTACAGGAAGGCCTGCACCTCCTCATCAACCCACACCGCGTGCCCAAACTGGACGTACTGCGTCGCTGTACCAACTGTGACCCTCGGCCGGGAAGAAGGATCGCGTGTCCTCCAATCAAGCTTGTCCCGTATATCTTCCAGCAGCCCCCGCCACGTCCCGCGGTTGTCGGGGAAGTAGAGGAAGCTGAGATGCACGGAGCGCAGTGTATCTGGGAGAGCGTCCAGGAAAGCCACAAGGTCGTCTTGATCAACAATCAAACGTGACAGCTCAAAGTGGCGGAGGGCGGGCCAGTCGTCGACGGGAAACAGAGTGCGCATAGGTACGAATGACGTGCGAGAGTCAGGTTCAACGTTGGTGTGTAGGCTGATATGTTCGAGCGCGCGAGCTTCCGCAATCGCGCGGTAGAGGTGGCCGCTGTTGAAACAGGGCCAGCTGATAAGCTCCTGGTGGCCGACTAGGAGGTCAAGGTCTAGCCGCTTGAAGCCTGGACGGCGGAGTATAGTTGCGAAGTCTTCGTACTCTGCACATGGGTGTTCAAAGACGCGGCTGTTGAGGCCTGTGCCCAGGTAATTGACGTCGACGATAAACTCGGAGACTTGGTGATCCGTACAGTCAGCCAAGGCACGCGTGACGATGCTGAACCCGCGGTACTGTTGTTGAACTTCTTCGTCCTCCCACGGCAGGGCCTCGGGCTTCCATTCCCCGCTGGGGACGTTCGGCCAGCTTCGTGGGATAGGGTAGTTAAACCCCTTGGGAAACGCGCGAATCATGGGCGTCTCGTACAACGGGGCGAATAGCCAGCCATGGGCTGCTGGCGTGATAGTCACCCTTCTTAGAGCTGGGAACCGAGGCAGGCCATATCTCAGGGCCTTGGCGTCTTTGTTAAAAATGATAACATCCTCCTGCTGGTAGAATAAGTTCTGGTAGTACTGCCAGCATATTTTGGCGGGCAGCTCCGCGGCGACTTGCTCGGCACGCTTGACATGATCTGGCCGGTCAATGTCCTGGCCCTTGCGAAAACGCAGTTCTTCAATGTTTTCCTTGCACGCGTCGACGAACCACGCGGGGCATCCAGTCGGCGGATCCCTGACGTGACTAGGTGCGCCATCCAGACATTCAACGAAGCGAGCGTCGTCCCAGATGATCTCCTTGACGCCGTGTCGGAATGTATCACTATTGGCAACTGCCAGAAAGACGGCGATGTTGAGGGGGTTCGCGGACAGGAAGACGCGATCCAACCGGAGTTGGACGGCGGCACAGAGGGTTTTGCACGTCAAACGCAGGGTTTTGATGGCGCTGTTTGTCAGGTGACTGGCAGTGATCTGGATTATCTCCACGGGGAGCCCCGTGAGGCTATGTGGCATTTTGCGTGTTTCTCTTGGCGAATGATGTTGACAGAGAGACGCGACAGGCTTCCTTGCCTTGCAGAGCGCATGCTAGTCCATTGCAGACCACGTGGCTTGCGATAGGATATTTCGAAGAAATCAAGTATGACTGGAAATTCGATAAGCCAAAAGCTCATTTACCTTGCTCTGATTACCGTGGAGCTGATACTCCTTACGTCTATTATTTTGTGGCATTTGTATTTGTTCCAGGGCAAGGGTAAACTTGCTACCCGAAGTACCGGATACTGTAGGAGCCTCAAAGCTTGTAAGGAACGTCTCTCGATGAACACGGTCGTATTAAACTAAAATACGAAGCATGGAGAACTAATGGAGGTTCCGCGAAGCGGGACCGACTATATACAGAGGATTGTCACGTGGCGATGACCTAAGCGGGACATAAGCAGGGCGAGGCCCGTGACAGACCCCAAATTCATTAGGATCACACATAGATTAGAGAAAATATATTTCAAAGTTGGAATTATTAAAAGCTGTTTGTTCGCAGGGGATAAGGGAGCTGCCATTGCCGAATGGGGTAGTCGCTGCGCTCAGTTGCGACCGTGCAGGGGAGGGGGGATACAGTGGCAAGAGCAGACAAGGTCCAGTGTCATTTGATATCCAACTTACAGCCTTGGTTGTCTCTGTGTTGCTTACCTTGAAACATATGATCTTTGAACCAGTTTGCATTAATCCAAATGAGACTGGTAACCTTTTCTTTGGAAGACACATGTGGCCGTGTCTGGGAGTGGGACCATGGATGGGATGATACAGTTATCTGACCCCGGGCCCCAGAGGCTACTCACTTGCTCCACAACACTGATAGGCTAATCGCATTCGGCTTAGAAACTCCGACCCTGCTCCGTACATATTTCCGTTTCATCTCCTCCCCACGCGGTCTCTCTCATTTGTCGTGTTTTAGTGTCCTCGCGAACGATGTCTATCCAACCACATCATCGCCAGCCGTCCCGACACGATGAAGCGAAAGAGTTGGTGCTCCGCCTTGGCTTCTATTCGTGTCTCCTGATACTGACCGAATGCGCCATCACAGACTCCTGGGATCAATGTTCCTTATGGGCTTTGAGGGTACTACTGTGACACCTCATATCAGATCATTGATTGAAGACTACCGTTTGGGCGCTGTACTCCTAAACGCCCGCAACTTTATCTGTATGTCGACCCCCTTCTCCAATACGAGTGCCAGCTGTCCGTGGATTGTCACAGTGCCGCTGACAGCTAGTACTACCTGGTGTCGGAGCAGCTGCCGAACAAGCTTACTTTAATTCGAGACCTGCAAATCATTGCTCACGAGTCGCGGCATCCTTATCCTCTTCTTATTGCCGTGGATCAAGAAAATGGCCTTGTCAAATCGGTCACCGATCCAGACTGGATCACACAGTTCCCGTCATCTCTGGGTATCGCTGCCACCGGATCAACGAGCAGCGCTTATCAGGTGGCCTTGATGACTGCCCGAGAGATGTCGTGCCTGGGAATCAATTGGATCTTGGGACCTGCGCTGGACGTAATCCTCGACAGTGCTGTCCCAGGCTTTGGATCTCGATCCTTTGGAGATGATCCCGAAGAGGTCGCCAAAATGGGCAGAGCGTTCATCCGGGGTCTCAGGGACGGAGGGGTCGCCTCGCTGGCCAAACACTTTCCTCTCGGCGGTAGCCTGAAATTCGACGAGTCTTCAACCACAGTTCCCATTATCCATGAAACGCTGGAGCAACTTCGGCACAAAGTCCTCGTACCCTTTCGAGAGGCTGTCAAGGAGGGCGTGCCCTCCGTCATGGCCTGCGGCGTCGCTATATCATCTCTGGGTCCACGTTTACTTCATGCATGCTTTTCGAGGAAGATAGTTACAGAGCTTCTGAGAGAACAGCTGGGGTTTGAAGGCGTGGTGGTCTCAGAGTGTCTTGAAATGACGTCCATCGCACCCAACGTCGGCGTTGGTCAGGCAACTATCATGGGAATCCGTGCCGGTTGCGATATCCTCACCATTTGCCGATCGCTTCCACTGCAAGTGGAGGCTTTTGCATCCTTGTCCCTCGCTCTGGAAAACGGCGGTCTCTCATGGGACTTGATTCAAAGGGCCACCGAGCGGGTTATGAGGCTCCGTGCGGCGCACACCTCCTGGTCTCGAGCCTTGAATCCAGGGGCGCTACAGCAGCTGGCGCCCAATCGTCTAAGCCACCGCACGTTAGCGACACGTGTGTACAAGGAGTCAATGACTCTTATTCGCGATGACGCAGGCAACATCCCTCTCACAAAGGTCCTGTCTGATTCCAGCACGGTCCTGATTCTCTCGCCGCTTTTACTGCATAGAACGTCTGACGGAGCAAGCACCACGACAAGTTGTCCCCCTCTGCCGGCACCTCGAGAAACTGCAAAAACAGTATTACAAAAAGGGGAAGAGCACTTTCAACATTTTGGCCATGCCCTGGCTTCGTATAAAATCGGTCAAGTACTCCACACATCATACACGTCTCATGGAGTCCGTGAAGAGCACGAGAGACTCATCGCCGACGCCGATGCGATCATTATTTTCACCGCAGATGCCCTGCGCAACCAGTACCAGGTCGCCTTTGCAAAGCACGTCGCCGCGATTTGCAAACTCCGAGCACTGGACAACAATCGGCCCAAACGGCTTATACTAGCCTCAGTCAGCACTCCCTTTGACTTCCCCACGGAAGCGACCTGGTTTGGGACACAGATATGCGCCTACAACAGTAGCATAATTGCCCTACGCTGCTTAGCCGGCGTACTGGGCGGGGAGGTTGCCCCAACGGGGCGTCTTCCAAGGCTCACCCCGGCGCGAGAAGTGAGTATTGCGGAGGGAACTCACCACCAGACATGGCTGGTGGAACAACTCGATTTAGAGAAGGACCAGCAAGCGCTTGTGAGATTCTTCAAGGAAACGGCTCAAGACAATCCAGACGGAAGGAGTCCTAGAGAAGATCTGTATGCTCTTCTCGTTTCTTGTTATTCAGAGAATATGCGACGGCCCTTTGATACCAGACTGCCAGTCGACTTCCAGGGGTTCGTCATTCGCAACACAAGTACCAAAGTTATCTATGGTTTTGCCTCTGCTCTATACTGGCCTCATCTCCGACGGGGATTTCTTGGAGATGTTTTGGTTCTTCCAGAGCGGCGGGGCTTGTCTATGGGACGCGATTTGTGCACTTCAGTTGCAAGATATCTCACCCAGAGGCATCGCATCGACCGCATACAGTTCGGGAGCCCAATCCTAGCCACTACTCCAGGACTTCCCGTTCCGGTGGACTCTAATTCCCCTTCAGATTTAGGATTCTTTACATCTCTGTGAGTGAATCTTTGGACCAGCCAACCGACCCTTGGATTGAGCACATGTCTAACGCACCAGGAAACGCTTGAGTGGCTGGGATTTTACCCTTAACACGAACACCCCAAGACTTGCTTCATTTCGCAATGCACGCCTTGACTCAACATACCAAGAATGTGTTCAGAGAGGTTGGACACGCCAATCAGGTGCCGAAACTCTCGTCATCGAGCAAACACAAAGCACTCGCTGCGGGCGAGAGCTTTTGGGACTGGCTCGTGAGACCGCTGCTATCAGGACAAGAAACTACTGGATTCTGTCTTTGATCAACCAGGAGGTCGATCCAAGCAGAGAAGAAAGCTTCATCTCGGATGAAAGCTTCCAGGAATTGAAACAATCGGGGTTAATCGCGACTCTGGCAGGATCAGGTCGCACTGTGGCATTCCTACCGCTCGTCACTCGCGAGTGCCCTCTCGCACGTTATACTCCTAGCCTCCGATCATTGCCTGCTTCAACCCTTGCTCTTCTATGTCCCATTATTTCGCAAGCGGGATCACGGGAGACACAATCTCGGAGAGACATTCTACGGCAGCTGCTTGTTGTTGCTGTCGACGATGCAAGGCGGCGAGGAATGCAGACTCTTGTCGCTCATGCGGTGCGTTGCTCTTCCCCCCCCCCCCAACCCAACATCTTCCCACCTCCTTTTTTTGTCCAGGAGACACCCCGACTTGAGCTTATGACCGCTGTTTGTTGTGACAGATACCCACCTCCGATCTGTTTGCAGAGGTCCTCATGGATTCCGGGTTTGCGCAGGAGGCTACCTTTGCTGCCATCGACATGACTTTGGGCGACACGTCGCAGTAGAAGTAGGTACAGATACTCGAAAATCCACGATCAATATATTAGACTCCCATCTACCTGTTTATAATGGCATAAACTTCTGGAATTTTTCTACAGTCGCTGGTCTCTTCATCCAAATCCTGATCTTGACAGTACTCGCGATCAGACTGCGTGCTTAGTCTGTTCGTGTAAAACACCGCTTGCCGAATTTCCATACTTGATCAACTTGAAGCTCTCGTGAGTCGTTCCCTCCATCTGACCACGACAAAACGACCAGATCAGCGTCAGCACCAACTTTGAGAGTCCCTTTCGTGTCTTCACACCGAAGCATTCGGGCAGGCGTAGCCGTCACCGTTTGAAGTGCCTCGGCTGCTTCGCATCCGGTCCAACGAATGAGGTTTGAAACACACTGTAGCAGCGTAGTTGTTCTATAACCCAGTAAGAGAAAAGGCGATTAGCACTGCACTTTAGTCTTATTGGATGCTGCCTAATACCATGCAAGAATCAAACACGATTGGATTCAGAAACAAGACTTACCCGCCAGCGATCGTATCCGACCCTTCGAGAAAGAGCTTCTCCCCCTTCTTGACTACCTTACGTTGTAGCGTCCACTCGTAGGTTCCATCTGGAAGATCAAACCCGGTCGCCGCGGTGCCGTCCGTGGTGAGGATGCAGCCCTCCCTGTGCACCGCCCAAGCCATCCTCACGCAACTAGGCGCGACATGAATGCCGTCTGCGATGAGTCCAAAGAAGGGCCGCTCCCTGGGCGGAGCTGCAAGGTCCGTCTCGGGCGCACCGATCAGCCCGACGAGCCCAGGACTACGATGCAGGCAAGGTTCCATCGCATTGTACAGGTGTGTGAGCATCGTGGCGCCGGCCCGGACGCCGGCCAGACCTTGCTCGTATGTAGCCGGCGAGTGGCCCAGTGAGCAGATGATTCCGTACTCGTGCGTCAAGGCGCGGATGGTCTCTAGCATCCCTGGAAGCTCAGGTGCCAGGGTGATCTTTCTGATTGCGGGAATGGGGGCTGCGAGGCTCTCCTGTCCGTAAAGGTCTCGAATGCTCTGTATGCCGTTGGCAGGTTCCAGCAAAAAGTCAGAGGGATGGGCGCCTTTTCTTTCACGGCTGAGAAACGGCCCTTCACAGTGGCAGCCCAAGGACTCGGCTCCTAAATCGTGGTCGCGTTGAGAACATTAGGACGGACAATAGGCAAGGCCTGTAAAAAAAAGTCAGGCGAGCTACTCGAGAATAACATGTTTCAATGTCATAAAGCAGATTATCCAGATGTCGGGCCGTCAATGTAGAAGCGTCCCAACTTACAAGCCGATAGGTTTGAGCGTCAGAAGTCACCAGTGTCGGAAGGAAGCTCGTCACACCCATTTCAAGGATTCCTCGGGATGCTCTCCGGAACGAGGAAGCATAAGACTCGATGTTATCCACGGGAACATCGGAAAAGTCAACACCCTTGGCTCCGTTGAGCTGAACCTCCAATAGGCCTGGCGAGAGGATGCGACCGGCCAAGTCAACGACCAAAGCCTTGTCAACGCGAGGATCGGTTTTATCAATGATCTTTCCTGTGCTGGTATCAATGAACAAGTCCTCCCGCTTGGCCTTGCCGCAGCAGGCCAGTAGACCGTTGGTGAAGCGGACGATCGATGATTCGGTTGCCATTGCGTCTTCTGTTGAAGTTGTTGTGATCTGTTCTCGAGCAGACGTGACCTCTTCGTCGGGGAACGAATCGATACCCGTACCGTTATCTATCGCTTCACAGGATCTGATAGTCGAGGGTCAACCCTGCGAGGCGACGAGTAACTTTTCCTGGGCTAAGGGACCGCCCTCAGCTGCCTCTGTATGTCACCCTGCCGACAGGCTCCACGCAAAAAGACAGCAAAGCTGTGATCATGGGCTGAACAAGGCATAGCGAGAGACCTGTTTGGAACTGGATTTTGATTGGATTCTCCTAGGACCTTGGACTGGATACCTACTACATAGTCCTTACCCAACAGTGCCACAACCGGCCCCGGTGGGGATGACCTTCTGTGCCACCGTGACACAAGTGGGGCCGCGGCTCCGAGGTACCTCTGTGCACAAAAAAAGTATGGAGGAACTGTTGCAAGATGTTGGGTCTATCATAATCTCTTCCCATTTTGTGTAGGCTAGAGGATCAAGCACAGTCGGGTTCCACCTGATGGTAATTTGCAAGGCATAAAAGAGAGTGCTGGTGATGTGTCTGAGTTCTAGGGAGATAAGATACCTCTCGCAGGCGACTCGCTATCTGCAGCCATGTCCCATTCCACCAGCCAAGGTCGATAGCTGGTAACCTCGTTATCGTGTCAGTTGTCCACGCAGACGGTTCAACATGCAGTGCACGCGCAGCGCGGCCGAAGCGCCCGCGAAAGTGGCATCCCCTCCACCATCAACCACCAAGGAGCAGTTCATCGACCATGTGTTTTCGAGCTTCACAGCGGCTCTTGGCCCTGAAACGCTTTATGAACAATCATTGGAACTCACCCAGTCCTTGAGGAGTAAGCTGCATCTCCCAGATTCACTGGCCATGCTGCCTTCTTTTGTGGACCACCTTCCGACTGGCAAAGAGCAAGGAGACATCTTGGCCATTGATATTGGAGGGTCCACCATGCGCGCTGCCATTGTGTCCCTGGACCCGTCCGCCGTCATTCCAATAAACCGACTCAGAGTTCGAAAGCAGCAGGCTTGGCCCATCACAGTCCATGTCAAATCGCTCTCGGGCACGGAATTCTTCAGGTGGATCGCGGGCAACATCCAGGGCTTTCAGTCTCAGTGGACGCGGACTGATCTGGGCTTCGAGCTCGGCGCCCTCCCTGCCGGCCTCGTGTGGTCTTTTCCACAAGAGTAGGCGTACCCCGCTCCCTTCGCAGCTGTCAGGATAATGGTTAATATAAGCTGAATAGTCAATTCGAGCTTAGCGATGGACATCTACGGGAGATGGGGAAGGGATTCATCGTTGGCCGCGAGTTGCAGGGGCAGTCAATCAAGAAGTGCTTGTACAGGGCATTTGCGGAAAAGGTGGGTTGATTGCATTCCTTGCGGTGCGAATCCATTCCCCAGTATTTCTAGCGCGGTGCTAGGTCGGAATCTGACGCTATCCCATTAGGGCCTCGAGATCCGATTAGAAGCCATCCTGAATGACAGCGTGAGCGCCCTTCTCGCTCTGTCCTACATCGACCCCTCCACCGAATTAAGCATCATAGCAGGGACCGGGTTCAACGGCGGATTGCGCCTACCGGCCACTGCCTTTAGCTCCTCAAAGCTGAAACACCGGCCAAACCTTCGAGACGAAACGACGCAAAAGGAGACGGAAATACTCGTTGACGCCGAGCTCTCTGTTGTCGGGCAAGGGATTCTCCCTCGGGCACAAACGATATGGGATTCTCGGGTCGCCGCGTTGTTGCCATTTCAGCCGGACCTACTCGGGTTAGAGCTTCATGTCGGAGGGTTGTTTCTCGGTGAGCTCGTTCGCCAGGTCGTTGTCGACGCGATCAACACTGTGGGCCTCTTTGGTGGGTATTTGCCTGAGCTGGTTCAAGCACCCATGAGCTGGGAACTGCGGCATGGTGCGATCCTGGAAAGGTATGAGGACTCATTGTCTAGACTTTTGTTTGTACACAGTTTAACCGAACCCCGTAAAGTTCCAGCCCGGAGCTGGCAGCAGCGGACGTCGACCTGGGACAGTGCATCGCAGAATCCTTCGGCCTTCCATTCAAGCCGTCTATAGAGGACACCTACCTCGTGCGGCAAATCTGTCGCGCAGTCACAACGAGAGCTGCTGCATATGTCGCGGTTGCAGCCTACTCGCTGAGAAGTCTTCAGGTTCTATCTCGAAATACAAACAATGAGGTGGACGTGTCAAAGGTCTCTTGCCTGGGCTCTGTTATTGAAAAGTACCCAGGTTTTATGACCAAGTGCCAGGAGTATCTTGATCAACTTCAGCGGGTTTCCGGGATGTCTGGGCCGCAATTCGGTCCTCTCCAACTTCAAGCATGTCCCGATTCGAGTCTGACTGGTGTAGCTGTCGCTGCCTTGTTGGGAAAGACGCAGGGAGCCGATACAGCGAGCACTAGAATGTCGTCTCCACCACCGGGAAATTTTTCGGGAGGAAAGACCATGCAGCAATCATGTGTTGTTGTTGGCAAGACGACCGAAAATTCAATGGAGTCGACGAGCCAAGGAAGCGGCATCGATGAAGATCCACCCAGAGAACGACTGGGCATCTGGGATTGGTTTCGAAGATTCATGGGTTGTCGCGGGCCGGAATAGATCTGGACACCTGTTTATATAGTTACAATAAAGCGAAGCACAAAAGTTTCATCCTCCTAATACGCGGGAAATATCATATGGAACAATTCATCCTCCTATACCCTAAATCGTTTGTGCTCCAGGTGCGTGTAGTACGGTTTGGCGCGATACAGTTCGCCACTAGTCTCTGAGCCCGTTTCAATATGGCACCAAGGATGCGGCCAGTAAACTGGCTCGATAGGAGGCTGCCACCCACCGATGCCAATGGGTATGTACTTGTAGCGGGATTGGGTCTCGGCGGATTGTGTTGGGCCGCTATCTGGCTCTGTGCGCTGCTTCTTGGAGGCATCGCCGTTTGTTTGCTCTGCAAGGGATACTGTAGATTTTGTCAGAGCCGTATGGGATGATCTATCCTCTGGTACGGTGGAATGATCTGGCGTAAGTGGCGAAATAGAAAGTGTATCTGCGGGGACAGATCCAGATTCACGTGCACTATGATGGGATGACGGGCCGTCGTGGATACCAGGCGCCCAAGGCACTGCATCTGGGTTGAGTTCGGGAATGGCATCTTGTCTACATGGTGCGGCTGTAGACATGAGATGATGTCCTGACAACTGGCCGCGGCCTGTGTTATCGGTAACACCGTGCTGGCTCTCATATACAGCACGAGCAACGGCCGCCTCTTGCTCCATTGGTCGGTCGGGGTCCAGAATGCTAGTTGTAGTTGTGAGTAGAGACTCTATTGGGTTCATCCAGTCCCACATCGCTTGGGAATAAATGAGTTCCTGCGAAGGGTCGCCGATCGCAGATGAAGAGTACAGGTCGAAAAACGAGACCTCCGGAGCTGACGTCCAATCCGGCGCCGAAGGGCCAGAAAGATGCAGGTCAAGTCCAGCCATGTCGTTTTCCGGCCGGGGCATATCCCATTCAGATATCTGGGGCACTTCAGACGCACAAAAGCTCTTCGGGCTCCGGCCCCGGACTGTAAGAAAGGACGACCCGAGCTCAGCAAGGGTACTACAGGTTCCGTCCTCCCACGATGCCATTATCGCGATAATCAACTTAAATTGCTGTCGAATTTCCCTTCTCCGCTTCCCATTATTTGCTGTGGCCGACCGAAACTGAAGTCTCTCCCATGCGAATTGAATCTCGAGATGCTCCGAGCTCGTGGCAGAGCCATCTTGCTCTCGGCTCGGCGGAAGCAACGGGATGTCAACTGGCCGCGCACCCCGTTCAGCTATCGCATTCGATCTGTTGGCGCCTGAGGTGAGAGCAACTTCGGTCGCATCCCAGGATTCCACAGCCCTAAGGCGAGCAAGCAAGCCCGTGATTTTGGGATCCTGTGCGGTGGGATCGCGACCCGTCCCGGATGGCAGTGCCCATGTCGGCCATTCGTCGATCGAAAGCAGTCCAGCAACACTAAATAGATCGCGTCGGTAGCATGTCAGGAAGGTCCCCTCGTCGCCCCCTTCCACGGGCTCTTTAGCCAGAAGGAACCTCCCGCCAAGGCGCGCGCGAGGGAGAAAAGAAACGCATTGTCCATTCTTGCCGTAGAGTATGGAATCAAGCGGTGCTTGCATGGGGAGGAAGTCCAGGCAAGTTTCTGGGACATGGCCAGCAGCGGGTTCATCGTCGACTGCTGACATCGTGGCCAGGCCTGCTTAGTGAACGTTGCATGAGAAAATTCAAGAAGGGAGTTATCAACCAGGAACAAGAACACGAATACAACGTGCAATGCATGGCCTTGGAAGACATGAACTGGATGATTGCGATATGAGATGGATGGAGATTGGGATTCCTGTTACATAATTATCTATTAGTAATCGCTTGGCGCACCAGCAACCGCCAATAAGGGGACCCTGGCACCGTCTTGGAGGGACTGCGCTCAAGGTCCCACGAAAGTAAAATTGGGGGAAATTAAAGCTAAACTCCAGATTCCCCCAGCCATTGATCGTGTGACCCTGAGACCTCGGCATGGGCGGATCATGGGTGGCAAACTTGCCCCGGATTCCATCACCCATACGCGGCGACCCGCTACCACATAATTCGTCAGAACCTAGAGGAAAACAAGAAATGTTCAAGGGAAATACGTAATCTGCAGGTATCTATACATCCTGTTCACTCTGAAGAGGCACAGACAGATACGATACCTCGCGCGCTACTTACCCGCAGATGCTAACGTAGAAACGAGTGATAAGGACGTTTACCCAAACAGTAGTTTATATAGTGACAGCCCATCGAGATCTACAGACTGATTCTTTTAGGGGTTATGGAAAGGACGAAACGCGCGTTTATGTTTCTTATGATTAAGGCCATGATAATATAGGGCGCTAGATATATATCATGGAGAAACGCATTAGGCGACATGCATACATTTTTGCTCGATATATCTTAGATAGGCATTGGGAGATATCGCGAATTACGGCACACCCCGGAGGAAACACCCAACCACCAGCTTTAGATACATTTCCTGTTCTCAGGGAGATCTGGATCGCCGTCGCCGCTGTAGACGCTTCTAAAAGGATATCGACAGTGATGGCGCTCGAATGCGATCTCTCCCGACTTGTGCGTACCGTTGACGTAGGCTGTACCAAGGATTGTATCGGGGGCAATGTCCTTTTCAACCCAGCGAACTATGGCGGCTAGTACGTTTCTTTCAGGCGTAAAATCGACAGCAGTATTTCCGAAATTGCCGATATAGGTTGCTCCCGGGCCTCCACGACAATGGTTCATGCCAGGGATAGTGAAGAGCCTGTAGAAAGTATCCAGAGCACTTGAGGGTAGCCCCATGGTTCGCGAGACATGATCGTAGTACCGAGTTGAGCTCTCGCTACTAATCATCCCATCCTCTAGACCATGATAGGATAGGATTTTCGTGCCCCTGTTCATTGCACCCGACATGTCACCTTTCCAAGTAGCAATTCCAAAGGGATCCAACAGAGTCGCTTTTGCGAAATCCTCGGCGTTTATGGTCACCGGGTCCCAGCTTGGGTCTTCGTGTACGACGTACTTGAACCACTCGGTACTTATATCGAATGGAAGACCCAAAACGAAAGGGCTCACACCCACGCTGGGATGCATTCTGGGATAGAGTAAGATGCCATCGAGTCCGTAGAGGGGTGAGAAGAAGTCCCTGATCTTCTGTGCTTGGCGTCCCGTCAGACAGTTCTGAGTCTGATTGCTCGCGCATATGAGTGCCTCTGGGCGATATTGGCACAGACTCGGACTCCCCACAATGCCATCGACAGCGCCATCAAGATCATCACATTGATTCAGGATGTCTTGTCGAATCACCTGCCACATATCCTGTGAGATGGAATCCGGTGATCCAGGGACACCAGTTATGGCGATGAAACGTGCCGCCCAGGCGACCAGGTTGTTAAAGTCAAAAGCCGGGGCGCCAGCAATAATTCCATCAAAGTCATCGGGAAAGTCTTGTGCTTCTTTAAAGCCCTGGCGCCCCCCAGTAGAGCAGCCGAGGTAATAGGACTTGGTATGCGCCTTGTGGTAAAATGCCTTGGTCACTTGCTTGCCTACAACGACCCCTGTGTGGACACTTCTGTATGCAAAGTCCTCGAGGACGGCGGGGTTTTTGTAGAAGGCGGCGCCGGACGTGCCATTGTGTCCGTTGTTTGCACCAACGGACGCAAATCCATGGGTTGTGCTGTACGCCAGCGCAGCGTAATCGATACAACCACCCAAACCACCATTGCCGGTGCTCAGGAATCGACCGGTCCAGTCAAATGGCAACCACGCCTCCATAGAGATGTTGCTGGCGGAGCTCGTTTCAACCAACATGGCCACACGGCAGATGTCGACCTCAATGACTTGGCTGGCTACACGGCAGGATGGATGATTTTCGATTAGAGATAGATTGGTTCCCGCGGGTACATGTTCAGTAAACCATACAGTTGCGTTGGCGATGTCCAGTTTATCCTTCAATAGATTGCAATCGATCCGTCGCTGCTTGGCGTAGACTTGAGGAGAAGCGGCCAAGCCAAGCATGCCCACAGACTTGAGAAACCCCATTGAGGTTGACTGAATAATCGCGATCGTATTGGCAGTAGAGAAGAGATGTGTGAAACGTACCCAAGATCTTAAAGTGTGATGCTAATTTTTGGGGGTCTCCAGATAGCAAATATGAATCTGGTTGTATGCCCAATATTTTCACTCCGCACCCCCGGTGTGGAGTATTTTATGTCCCATGTCACCATGCCATAGCCCCACTGGCTTTCCTTGCCCAATAACAACTTCACCAATCGACTGAAAAGGTACCATGACACTAGTCTAGTGACCGATGGTGTAATATAGCTCAGATTTCCGGCTGACACCCAAACCACCTCATTCAGACTTATCTTCTTGGTAGAATTCGTCTCTTTGGCAGTCAAGAGCAAATCTCTATCACCTTGATACTGATAATTTGTCGCAATTCTTATTAGTAGAAGAAGCCCATTCACCCCCTGTTGGAAACCCCATCCCTTTGTCTTCCACCGAAGGTTCTAGCACACATGTGTCACATGTCTTCTTTCATGTTATCTAGCTATATCTAGCGATTCCCTAGCTAGATAGCTTCATCGTTCCAACACATATGCATGCATCATCTTTGGCTATGGCTGAGTTCTCTCCTGGAGCCGTAGCGAGCTCTGTCAACCATGGCGTCCAAGACCGTGGAGCGTTGCAGCAAAAAAGAAGGAGGTTGCTGCTTCGAGAGTGGCAGTACTCCTCAGTGCAGACTTGGCTTGTAGTAGCAGCATCTCCAAGACTCTGGCGTGCTTGCCTGCGGCTAGTTCGATCTTGAAGGAGAAGCATGGACATTTCCACTAGTGTATAGCTTGGGGGTAGATGCAGGCTCTGATGATATTATATTTGAAATTTTGCGACCTTGTTCCTTGTACAGATCCTACTCTAGCGGCATAATTCGACGACCCTAGTGCTCGCCGTCACATATGGGCAGCAAAGAAGCAGAAAAGAACAATTCCTAGCTTTAATGCCCCTCGTCATACTCAAGATGTTGCATGGTTCTATCTCCTTTTTTCTAGTAGTCATTGCTCCTCTGGACCCTGCAGATTAACGTGTTGAGTAGGCAAATTTGGGGGTTGATGCATCACGCAGGCTGAGGCAAGACTTCTTTCACCACTAGTTTAGAGGCATCTTTGTAGATGACTCACAGATAATAAGTGTCCCGCTGGTAGGCTGCTTTACTGACGTTTAGCTATTCCTACTGTTTGTTACCCCATAGCCTATATACTCAAGCCTTTGCCTAACGTTTCTATATTATTATGATATAGAGCCCCATGATTCACTGCTAGCTTTTTGTTCTCTACAAAATTAAGTCACAAATGTGACAGTTGTTATAGCTTTTGGCATCTTCTATGTAGTTCATATAATCAGAATCCAACTACTTACTAGGTCAGCTACAGTGAGCTATACTTATAGCTAACTAGTATCCAACGTTGATCCGCCCTGCCTTATCTTCAGTTTTCCTCGCGTATATATCTCTTAAATTTCTACTACCATACCACTCTGCATATTGAGGCTCTTGTGTAACCGTTGCACATTGGATATTTAGCTATTATGTAATCATGCCCCAGCCCACTTTTCATACCTAGGTATGTGCATAATGCTAATACTCAAGAGTTACTTGCTGGACATTGATCGTATCTCGGTTCGTCGGTGGAATTAACAGCGACGCAGCATTGGGTCCTCAACCCCGCTTTTTCTGAAATTCCAGTCGCTAACGGTGGAGAGTATCCCCGATATGCATGAAGCACGCCTTATATAAATTGAACTACGCTCTACAGTTGATTGGCCTTCAATATCCTCGCCCACAGCGCTGTTTGAAAGGCAAGAATGAAGCTCACCTTGTGCCTAAGCCTTGCAGCTGGTCTCTGCCATGGAGTAAACGCTTCTTGGCTCAGATTGCTTCACGACTTTACTACGCCTCCCGTTGAATACAGGCCAAAGTTCCGCTATTGGTGAGGAACATCACCCCCTGAACCGTCAGATACGGCTCATTGCCGGTAGAATACACTGACAGCCCCGTCCTAGGTTACCAGACGCAAGCGTCGACCCGGACGTGGTACGAGATGACCTCCGCCAGATGGCCGCTGTAGGTGCTGGAGGGTTTGAGCTCCTGCCCTATTTCGAGTTGGGGGACGATCCCTCGCACTGGGGAGAGTTCGGCTACGGGACGGAAGCGTATCGTCGAATATTCCGCGTCGCGATGGAGACGGCAAAGGAGGAGGGCCTGCTCATGGACTTTGCTGTTGCGGCAAACCAGGGCCAAGGAGTACCGGCCGCCCCCGGGACTGAAGGGCTGGCCATGCACTTGGTACGAAGAGAGCACTCCTTGTCCATACCCATGCCATTGGCTTACCAGACCAGACATACTCCAACGTGACTGTTGCACCCGGACAAACCTTCAACGGGAGTCTGCCGCTTTCCCGCCAACCACCCAATGAAAGGAAATTCATGCACCCCTTGGAGGAGTTTGGCGAGCAAAGCCTCACCGCTGTACTTGCAATTGAGGTTCTGCCAGGTGAGACGGCTGTGATATATCGTTTGTAGAAGGCCAGGGGTAACGTCAGCTAACGAAGGTCTAGACGATAATACCACAGCAAGACAATACAAGAAGATTGATCGAATCATCAATCTGACGGACCAGGTAGCAGCGGTATCGCGCTCACTTACCTGGACGGCTCCTGAAACTGTTCCTGGAGCGACCTGGCAGATCATGGCATGGTATGAACGCCACACAAACCAAAGATCCATTGACGGAGGCCCAGAAGCACAGACATATGTGCAGAATGGTTCCTGGATTGTTGATCATTTCAGCGCCGCTGGCGCTCGTCTCATGACAGACTTTTTTGACACTCACGTTGTCCCCGAACAGAGTGATCGCGACTTGCTCGCAGCCGTCGGTAAATATGGTAAGTCAGAGAGACGACGATCGATGCTGCTCTAGGCCATGGCAATATAGAAGGATGCTAATGGTGTCACCGTGGTAGCATGGGAGGATAGTATGGAGATGCACTCAACTGTATGGTGGACTCGAGGGTTTGACTCGGACTTCCTGCATGAACTGGGGTATGATATTCGTCCGTGCCTCCCTCTTCTCCTGGTTCGAGAGAATTCTTGGGCCCAGTTGAGCACACCATACGGAGTGGGATTCGAGTCCGTGAATGCATCTCGAGGAGACGCCTGCAACCACGACTATCGATCGGTCTTACAAGCCAAATACGAGGAATACGTACAAGCTCATGTCCGATGGGCACGGCTGAGAGGTCTTGAGTATTCGAATCAACCAGCGTACAATTTGCCGCTGAGCATGGTATGAGCTGACCGTCCAACACGTGCTTTGCTGGTTCCTGACATCTCCAGGTTGACTCTTCACGTTTGCTTGATGCCCCGGAGGGTGAGAATCTGGGATTTATCGAAAGCATCGACGCCTACAGGCACATGTCTGGGCCATCCCATTTCCGGTCGAATCCAGTGACATCGTCAGAGCTGGGTGCCGTCCGGGGCACGGTAGCATACTCGCAGACGCTAAGCCGACTGCTTTACTCATTCCATCGCGGGCTGGCGGGTGGCATTTCCATGAATGTCCTCCATGGCTTTCCGTATGGAGGTCCTTTTCGAAACACGACGTGGCCAGGAGTAACCATCTTCCACTTCTTGTTCCCCGAAATGTGGGGGCCACGGCAGCCGACTTGGAGAGTTTTCCCGGACCTTCTTGCGTACATGGCTAGAAGCCAATATATTCTGCAGGCTGGCACTGCCCGGGTTGACCTGGCGATATATGCGGACGATGCTCCGTGGACCCTATCTTCGGGTTACCATAGCGCCAACCTGCAAGAAGCTGGATTCACGTACGATTATATCGGACCAGCGCTCCTTGGAAGCAATCTCGCCATCACCCGAGAGAGCATCTTGGTGCCTGACGGACCGGCGTACAAAGCTCTGATCATCTCCAATACAACCACCATCGATTCTGCCACGGTGACCAAGCTTTTGAAACTCGCCCACGATGGTTTACCTATTTTCCTCATTGGCGACTTTGGAGTTGATCGGGATGCTATGGGCCCGCTTTTTCAGCGAGACTTTCCACGCGTATCTAGGCTTGCTTCATCCAACGCCCTACCCAAGGCGTTAAAAGATGCTGGAATCATTCCGAACGCGGCGCCCTCCAGTTCCGACTCGGCAGCAGGGTGGTATTCCTTCTGGCGCAGTACCGACGAGGCCGAAATAGCTTGGTTCTACAACGACGGCGAAAACGACGACACGCCTAGCAGGACAGTCGACATTTCATTTTCCGGCATGGCCAACAAGATGCCGGTCTTGTTGGATGCTTGGTCCGGTCAGGGTACGCCGCTCCATTATTTCAAGAGGGGCGAGACTGACATGGTCATTCCCCTGACGCTTGCCGCCAACGAGACGAAAATCATTGCGTTCATTAAGAATCGCGGGAACCGCGGACCGGGACTTTCGACCAAGAGCCATATAACAGAGTTTTCTGGAGCAATAGCGGCGTTCTTTTCTCCTCCCGTCGATGAGTCCCAAGATGCCACTTTTGCTCTGCTCTCGGGCGGCACGGCGAGTGTGACGTTATCCAACGGCACCGAGGTTCACTTTGAGGCATCGGTGCCGGAACCCACAGTCCTCGATTTGTGGAACATTACCATTGAAAGTTGGCAACGCCCAGATGGGAATGAGAGCAGTGGCCCGAATCTCCAGAATCTCCGGTTCTCGGATACGGCGCTGCTTCCATGGATCAATCTTGATGGGGACGAAATGGACCAAGTTAGCGGAGTCGGTTATTATTTCACCGAGTTTGCACTGCCGTTGTCTTCGCCGCAGGGCAGGAGGCTAAGTGCACATCTTCATCTGGGGAGGTTTGAGGGCGCCGTCCGTCTTTGGCTTAACGGTAGGCAACTCCCTTCGGCGGTGGTGTACACTGGCAACGACACTGTCATCGACCTGACTTGGCATTTGCACGGGGGTTCCCGCGACGTTGCCCCTAGCTCGTATCTTCTAGAGGTGGAAGTCTCTACCACGCTTCTTAACAGGGTGCGAGCGGATAGGGATTCAATCATTTCGTCGGGAATCGGAGCCGGAGACATCACTGGCGCCGGACCAAGGTATGAGGCTACGTCTCCGGCACGATACGGTCTGCACGGTCCGGTTTGGGTGGAGTGGTTGGAAATGGTGCAACATATCTAGGATTAGCTAGGCATTCTCTATATAATACATCAGATACGATGACCATGGGCATGTCAACTACTGCACTTGGTTTAGCCTGCGTGACTGATATACTAGAAATTCTTTCCTTTCGGAGAAACAGAGTCTACTAATCGTATCAAAAACAATGTTTATGCCGGGAGCTCCTGATAATAGAATCGAAGCTCCGATGAAGTAGTATAACTATCCTGGGATCTATGCAGCCACGGTAAAAACAAGGCCAAGTCAATCCAGATGCAATTGAACTTATAGATATAGTGCATTAGGAGATCAATCACCATAACAAAAAGAAAAGGTTTGCAGGGCTTAGTTATAGTCAGCCTTCTATTTCCCATAGAAAAGACACAAGAAGTGACAAGTAGCTAGCAACACCCTAAGTTATAGCTGTTGTATCTGGAACAATAATAGCCTGCTCAAGCACTTTTGGTTCCCCAACAGCGGTGAGCGGGGATTAAAAACCTAAGCACCAAGCAAGCCCCTGACGCCTGCTTATCTCCATGGGCTGGCCTTTTTTTGGTGTCAGCATCCATTCTTCCTTTGGCCACGTAGCGGGGGCTTATCGAGTGGCGAATAAGGCTTTGGGGTATACAAACTTTGATGAACTAAGTGTGGCAGCCTGGCTACTTTGACTCGAGCTTCAAAAGTAGAATGTGTTACCTTGCATCCCGTTGCAAGAGTGGGGCGTGCCACGGTCGTACAATATATTTTGTATGGACCGGCCAAGAGATAGTCATCTCATAGCGCGGGCTCTACTCCTGTACCCCGCGCTGATTTCCCCACCCACTTCCTACTAGTCGATAATGGTAATGGCTTGTGCAAAGCATAGAGATAAAGCATCCTACAAGCTAGAGGTATAAAGGCCGCAGGTACAAAGAAAGAGGGTACACCAAAGAAGGCAAAAAAAATCAAAGCTGAAAGAAATATTAGCATCGGTACACCTTTGGTACGTAATTGTCCTCTTCGGGCCATCCCTGTGGCCTCAAAACCTGCCTGTTTTCTTGATCTAAGATGTGTCTTCCTCCCTGTATGCTCAGTGGAGGGCCGAGATGATGTCTAAGCGTCACCATCCTTCCCCCCCTTTAGCGTTTACAAGGTTGTACTAACAGACCCCCTTATTAGATTGGGACACTACAGGGGCGTCCACGACCGGCAAGATGAAGGCTGCCATTTACCACTACCTTTTAGGGTGGCTAGGAACGTCTGCATCCTTAATCGGGTCCGCAAGCGCCGTTTCGGCTCCGCAGGTGTGCCCCCCTCCTCAACACCAGAAACCTAGATCAGAAGGCTTCAAGGTACCAACCACGGCCGCGCTTATCATCGGCGAGGGCACCGACCAACCTGCAATTCGTGTTGTGCAAGACGTCCTCAAGGACGCCGGGGTGAAGCGCATCACCACGGCCAGCGAGGATGAGCGGCTGCCCGACACTGCCCTGCGCGTCTACATCGGCGGCCCGTCTGAGAACTCCGCCTCGGCTGGCGCCCTCCAAGACCTGGGATTGCAGGGCCCCGAGGGGCTGGATCCCGAGGGGTACGTCCTCGGCATTGGCCGCGACTCCCACGGCCACGCAGTCGTTGTGCTTTCCGGTCGCGACCAGGACGGCACATTCTACGCTGGGCAGTCGCTCCGGCAACTCGTTGTGGGACGCGGTGGTAGTTCCTGGCTGCCTGGTGTGGAGGTCCGGGACTGGCCCGCGACTTCAGTGCGCGGCACGATCGAGGTGTTCTACGGCATTCCGTGGTCGACCGAGGACCGCCTCGACCAGCTGGACTTCTACGCGGCTACCAAGCAGAACACTTATATCTACTCGCCAAAGGATGACCCGTACCTCCGGGAGAAGTGGCGCGACCCTTACCCCGCCGACGAGCTTGCCGTACTCAAGCAGTTGGCGGACCGCGCTCGCGAGGACCACGTCCACTTCACCTACGCGCTATCCCCCGGTCTCTCCATGTGCTACTCTTCCGATCAAGACACACAGGTCTTCATCGACAAGTTCCAGTCGCTGTGGGATATCGGCGTAGAGGCATTTGCTGTTCCCTTCGATGACATCAAGTACACGAGTTGGAATTGTGCCGAGGACGAGGCCAAATGGGGCACGGGGGGCGCTGCCGCAGGCCAGGCGCAGGCATACTTCCTGAACCGGGTGCAGAAGGAGTTTATCGACACCCACCCCAGCGCTAGCCGCCTCCAGATGGTGGCGACCGAGTACAAGAACACGACCGACTCGCCGTATCGGACCGCGCTACGCCAGGAGCTCGACCCGCGCATCATCGTCTTCTGGGCCGGTCCAGTGACCGTCGCGCCCAATATCACTGCCGTCGACGCGCTGCAGGCAGAGGAGGTGTTTGGCCACGACATCCTGATCGGCGACAACTACCCGGTCAACGATTATGTGTCAAACCGACTGCTACTTGGGGCCTACACTGGACGCGAGCCCGGTATCACCGAACACGTTGTCGGCATCACAGTCAACCCGATGCCGCAGGCTCACCCGTCCAAGATTGCCGAGTTTGGATCCGGCGCTTTCCTCTGGAACAGTCGAGCATACGACGCCGAGGCCACGTGGCTGGCCGCGCTGAAGTACCTCGCGGGTCCGGTGTGGCGCGCCTTGAAAGTGTTTGCGGAGAACAACTACTCCTCCGTCCTGAATGCACGCGAGTCACTGGTCCTAACGCCCCTCATTGAACAATACTGGCGGTCCTACCAGACCAATGCACGCGAACTGAGCCAGCGTGCCCGCGCGCTGTCCGAGTACTTTGGCCAGATGGCCTCTTGCCCGTCACAGTTGGCGCATGGTATGGACAACAAGGCATTCGTGGCCCAGTCGCAGCCATGGCTCGATAAGCTAGGACTATATGGCGAGGCGGGCCAAACCGCGTTGAAGATGCTTGCCGCACAGCAGGCTGGACACACGGACAAGGCGCGCAAGGAGCGCCAAACGCTCAAGGGGCTGCGCTCCCAGCTCGACAACATCACGGTGATTGCATGTCCGCTCGGCCAGTGCCGACCTGTTCACCCGGTCGTCGCGCAGGGCGTCATGGAGCCGTTCCTCAACCGCACCGTGGAGCTCAGCGATAGGTGGCTAGGCCTCGACAGCTCGTCAGGGACCTTGATCTAGAGGATCAGTGTCAGGATCGTACTCCATGCCAGCTTGTGTATTGCCAGGAGGGGCTGCTGAAGCACGGTTCGAGTTTCGGCTACCGGAAAGGGCAGAATAGAACCATTCGACCTTGGAAGGGATAACCTGGCTTCTAAAAACACGCCTGCCTGTACCTTATCGTATATCTGTACTAAATGTAACGTTCGTTCTAGTTTCTTACTGTCTCAGAATGCCAAGTGTACAAACGGATGTGAATCGGTTCAGATTATTTCAATAGACATTTCGGCAGTGGAAAAAGAATAAAACATCTACTTACTTTACCCTCAAGACCTAGCCAAGCTGAAGACCTAGAAGGCTGGGAGGAGGAATGGTAGCATTAGGATGTAATGTCGCATGTAGCTCAAGTGACTGCTTATAGAACTGTTCTACCATCACAGGGACATTATTAGGACCATTGCCCACGAACGCCCCTCTGTCTATTTTCCGTCTCCTACCCAGCCTATTAGACTTGTTATAATATTTCGCGCACTTTGAAGCGTGATATTTCTCTGTTTCCTTGTGAGATACACCCAAAGCCATCAAATATACAGGTCGTTGAAAGGCCCTGTCTCCATCTCCGCCACGTTGTAGGTGGTTCAATTCAATTCATACCTGGTGGAGCCTGAATATGGTGAACTGGCTATGCAGGCCTTTATTAATGAAGGAGAACCTAAAGCCAAAGCACTATTAACTCTATCTATATACATACCTGACGTGTAGGCTTTATAGATACACTCAGTAAATGATTCTCGACCCCATGCTGTCCAGTATTGAATCCGGGGTTCTGGCCCTCTGCTGGGCCTCTGGAGAGGTAAAGCCAAGCTTGGAAGCTCCCAGGAAGGTGTCCTGTGTGGCTGGCACCAACTCGGGCGTCACTGGAAGTACATCAGCTCCTGACGTAGGAATGAGAATGACTCGATCGGCTTCCTTGTCTTCTTCGGGGCTAGATTTCGATTTGCTCGCGGCATTTGGAACCATGTCAGAGTCAATTGACTTGAAGTACTGATACAGTCAAAGAGGCTCTCGTCAGAATGAAACTCAACCTCGGCAAGGATTTGAAGTGGAAAGAAGGGAAATCTGTCAAGGACTTACTTTGACAGTTTTGACTTTCAAGTCCAGCGTAGCTTCCTCATCGACAATAAGGGTAGCGTACCGATGGAGCTGCAGGCAAGACAGCGTCCACATGTGATTGACGCCCTCTTCGACACATTTCATCAAGGCCAGGGATTTGTGTGCGCCAGTCACGAGAATCAACACTTCTCGAGCCTATTCGCGGTGTCAGACAGGCTATTCGGTTTGGTGACAGGTATATACCCATTTTTAGGCATCGAGGGAAATCTTACATCCATGACTGTCTGGACCCCGACGGTTAGTGCTGAGCGAGGCACCTTGCCCGCGTCTCCATCGAAGAAACGAGCATTGGCATTGATGGTTTCCGTGGTGAGCGCCTTTATCCTCGTCCTAGACTGGAGGCTGGAACCCGGCTCATTGAACGCCATGTGGCCATCCGATCCCATACCACCTAGAAAAAGCTCTATCCCTCCAGCCTGGATTATGGCTTGTTCATAGGCTCTGCACTCGGCATCCAGATCCGGGGCATTTCCGTTGGGAATGTGAATATTCTCCGGTCTGATGTCGATATGGTTGAAAAAGTTGTCAAACATGAAGCGGTGATAGCTTTGCTCGTGGTGAGGCGGCAGGCCAACGTACTCATCCTGTGTATTCCAAGTTAACCGCCAGTCTCTCTCCTCTTGGCGTGGGGTTTCCGTAGTAGTACCATGTTGAATGTGACGACATTTTGAAAGGACAGAATCCCTTGCTTGTGCATGTGTACAAGGTTTCTGTACACGAGAAGCGGAGTGCTGCCGGTTGGCAGACCTAGGACAAACGGTTTACCGGGGGTTGGGCTGAATTGGCGTATTCGATCTATGTACCCCGACGGGGCTCATTAGCATCTGTACTCGCGAGATGTATTGGATAAAAACATGGCTCAGGCAGACCGGCGGATAACGTACGAGCAATGTACTCTGAAGCAACCCGACAGACCTGCTCATCGTCTTGGCGGATGAGGAGTCGCATGGTGGACGAGCTTTCTAACGAATTTAGAAAAGAGATTTGGTGTACTCTGATGACCCTGTGCTATGCCCAGCTCCGTGGACGAAGATAGTACGACAAGTTTTCTGTCTATAAACTACATGTGTTTGGGGAATTGGAGTAGATCCGACTTTCTATCCAATGGCCGAATCTGGATCTCGGTCCCAAATCCGTGGGCTGCATTGGCTGAAGCGGGAGTCCATGTGGGGCGTGTAACAGTGACACCATCCACTCTGATAAACCTTGGATTGTACAAGGCCCACTTGTGTGACGGTACAAAGCGAAAAGCTCCATCGGATATCGCAAAGGCCTGGAGGCGAACCTTCGAATGTGGACAAAGTGGCTGATAAGAACGAGACCCAAAATCTGGGAAACTGTTATCTTGCGGGGCAGGAAGCCACGTGCTGCTACCCTGTTCTGTCTAGAGAGGCTATATCTACGTCCTTTCCTGGTTCCTTTGACATCCAAAATCAACTCAATTGAGCACGACTGTCAGCGATATACGACTACTAGATAGCCCAACACCCAAGATGTCCGCACTAGCTGAATCCAAGGTGGCCGATTGCGTCAACACCCGTCCGGCGGACGATCTAGGTTCTGCGAGGCCTAGGAGATGGCTCTACCGGACATGGAGGATTGGACCCTGGACAACTACCTACTACGCATCCCCTCTGACGCAAGTCATCCTCGTGTCCCTCCTCTGTTTCTGCTGCCCGGGCATGTACAATGCATTGTGAGTCTCCACCAGATTCGAGTCCCGAAGTATAAGCTCGACTGATTCATTGTTGTTCTGTTCCAGGACTGGGCTTGGAGGAGGAGGCCAGCTTGACCCTACTGTTGCTAATGATGCAACTGTGGCTACCTACTCCACCTTTGCCGCTGTTGCTTTCTTCGCCGGTACCATCCACAACAAGCTTGGCGTGCGTAAAACGCTAGTAATGGGAGGGTTCGGGTATGCCGTCTCGGTTTCCTCTTACATCTGCTACAACTACACGGGTAACAGAGGATACGTCATCTTTGGAGGTGCCCTGGCTGGCTTTTGCGCGGCGCTTTTGTGGACGGCTCAGGGTGCTGTCGTCATGGGCTACCCGGCCGAGTCTGCCAAGGGGAAGTATATCAGCTTAAACTGGGCTATCTTCAATATGGGGGCCGTGATAGGAGCCTTGGTAAGATAGCATTCAACCTCACAAAAACATCTTGTGGTGGTAGGAGACTGTGGTTTGCTGACTGTACATTGCTCTGGCTAGATTCCTCTCGGCATGACGATAAACGGGGCTGGAAGTAATGTTGGGGATGGCACCTATATTGCCTTCACCGTGATTATGCTCGTCGGCACGTGTTTAGGGTTCCTCCTTGTCAAGACCTCCCTTGTCATTAGAGAGGATGGCTCACACGTAGAGCTGCCTGCGCAGCCGTCGTGGAAGAGCGAGCTGATTGGACTCTGGGAAACACTGCGCACCGACATCTTTATTGTATTCCTTTTTCCGGTTAGTTACTACGTTCTTCTTGCTATATGTGCCAAGATACCTGTTCTGACGCAGCTTCAGATGTTCCTCTCCTCCAACTGGTTCTACACATATCAGTTCAACAACTACAACTTGGCGAGATTCAACATCCGCACGCGGTCACTGAACAACGTCATTTATTGGGCGATGCAAATCATCGGATCTTTCGTATTCGGATACGCTCTCGACTGGAATCGCTTCTCCCGACCGGCCCGCGCTCGCGCCTCCTGGGTCGCACTCTTCCTCCTAACCATGGCGACTTGGGGCGGTGGCCTGAAGCACCAGATCGGGTTTGAACGAGCCGACGTCAAGCCCGTAGCAGAGGAGCGCATCGACTGGACCGACTCCGAGTTTGCCCCTCTGTTTGTGCTCTACATGTTCTGGGGTTTCTTTGATGCCGTCTGGCAAACGTGCATCTATTGGTACATGGGCGGATTGTCGAACAGCCCTCGGAAGCTGTCCATCTACGCCGGCTTCTACAAGTCTATTCAGAGCACCGGCAATGCGATTGTTTGGCGCCTCGATACTTTGCTCGTCTCTTACACTGTCATGTTCGGGCTTGCCTGGGGGTTACCCGTGCTTGGTCTCATTTGTTCGGTGCCCATCGTATGGTTCAAGATTAAGGACCATACAGCTTCAGAGGAGGTCATGGTCGAAGGCCGGGCAGAAGATGTTTGAGGCAGCAAGGATAGGTCAGTACACCGGCGGTTCCACTGTTACACGACTCTTTGGGTTTATAGTAAATTGGTGTCGTGCTACAACCTGATTCATTGATACAAGTGACTTGTCTAAGATACAGGATAGTAAATATTGCTACGTGATACTGGTCTATATACTTCTAAATACATGCATGCTCACTGCAAACATGCCCTACTAAGTCTTTGTCAGTCAGGGGGTGACTTAGCCTGTTACAGCTCCAAGAGAGAACTCAGCCATAGCCAAAGATGATGCATTTATATGTGTTAGAACAATAAAGCTATCTAGCTAGGGAATCACTAGATGTAGCTAGATAACATGAAAAAAGACATGTAACATATGCGTGCTAGAACCTTCCATGGAAGACAAAGGAATAAGGCTTCCAACACGGCCCCTAGCACACATGGAGATACTTGAAGACTATATAACCCTCCTCCTTCCAAGCTTTCCCACCCTGTATATCCTTGTTCAGTCGTTAGTCGAAATAGGAAGGAGAGGCTGTTTAATAAATGGTTTTAATTGCTTTGGAATACATAAGTTGTTAAGGGGACCTTCAATTTCCTAATCCATACCCATACAAGGGCCTAAAACCTTTAGCACCTTCCCACGCTGTGCATATTCATCACCCATTTCATTACCTCCATCGTGGAGGACTTGGTCATTGCCTCATACTTCTTGATTGGACTGGATTGGATGGTTTATCAGGAACTCGGAATCATCCCAGCAGACTCTCGAGACACAATATCTCCCGACCTCGGTTCTAGGATCCTCAACATATATTTTTGTAGGCAGTACTATATTGTAGATATTCAAGGCTTGCTTTTGCCTAGCTGATATATGTGGCTTTTGGATGAACGGACGATGCCACGAGAGGATAAATACGGGATCTGAGTGGTGAGCAGCAAGAATCAACTAGGTGAACATATAGCACGATCCAACACATTCATATTGATAGGTTTCCGTCTTTGGGTATCTGTCGAGATACTCAGCCTTCGAATCGACAACATGCTCACCAAAATCTAGAAATGCGGTCCAGTGGGTATTAGATTCTTGCCTGATCAACAAGGCCTTGCAAGAACCTGGGTAGGCACACATAAAGGCATACCAGCCGGTATTAATAAAAAGGAAGAGAAAGAGCGAATAAACCCCGAGTCAAGATGGGCGAAAGTATCAGCGTGATCATGTAAGTAGAGGGACTATAAGAGCTTCATAGTCAGTGAAAGCTATCACAAGTATCAATAGCAGAATAGTATATTCTCTTGAGCTTATGAACCAAGATAAGTGCATTGTGGGCTACCAGAGTGCCACTAGAAGTCTTATCGCTCAATCTCATAAGCAAGAAGGCTTCACGTCCACTGCGTCATTCTCATGAAAAGACATGGGATAGTCCACTCTCGGAGCATTATGGCAGGGCTAATATAGGCAGGGAGGCTTGGGAGCTCCAGTTAATCCAGGTTCGAGACCATGCACCCTAAACGTTTCTCTCGACTTCTATGGGATTCTCTAGCTTGATGCGTGATTGAGTACCTTGAGGTCAAAATTGGACATGATACTTAGCCTTAAGGAGCATGTGAGCGCGCCATCCACAAGTAAGTCCCGGCCAGATTCCATCTAGCGGACCTTTCTAGAATGTCCTTTTGATTGAGACAGGTCCTAGTTGTAGTAGTTGGTTTTAGTTAACCAAAACGGCAAGAGAAATATGAGACATTAGTTCTGGCTCAATTCGTACATAAGGTCCAAAAGTACGGCCACGGCGGCCATGGAGATGTATCGCAAGTCTGTTTCCCTCCACAGGCTTGTATCTATTAGCGCTTCAACTTCTCCGAGCAGCAAGCGCCATATAGCCAGCCGTCATCATTTGTTCTAGCCACCTGAATTTGAACAAAGAAAACAAAGTATCCAGGTGTTCACGCTGCAACAAGCAGCTACTTTCAGAGAGAAAACAGAGAATTATTGCGCGCAAGCCAAACTACTCCATTATTTGATCATCAGCAAAGAACTGGCTTTGAGAAAGTCACCACATAGGTACACGTGGTACCCCTGTAAAAATATTTACAGCTAATCCAGCGAGTCAGCGAGAACGAGCAGTGCAGAGTCAAGTTAAAGAAACAGGCTGGTGGCGTACTAACCTTGGAAGTCAGTGACGAAGTTACGAAAGTTGCATATGGGTCTTTATATGAGACACTGACACGGTCTTTGGTCCAGAATGGCCAGTACTACTAGAAAAGTGAGGTCCATCGTTAGATCATCCACGTAACGAAGAAAGACAGGAGAATTGGAGCTCGATGAGTTGAATTTCTGGTCAGTCCTTGCTTCTTCTGCCGTGGTCGCTTTCGGATTTTTCATCCGATTTATGCGGGAATTCACAACGATTTGAACAATTTTACTGTTCGAAATCCCAATCACAGGTCAGGAGGCAGCAGCGTTATTTTGGCCACTTTGCGGGGAGCATTTTCGCGTGGTGGACCTTTTCTGGCCGATGGCTCCAGCGGTCCGCGACAAAATGCGGACAAAAAGTTCAAGCATTCTTGCTGGAAGATGACCATGCTTTATCCTGAGTCTCTCTCCATGCTGCCAACGACCTTCGATTATCGAGTCTTGATCTTGTTATTATTTGAGGAGGGTAAAGCTCAGTCGCTGACGTGGCAATACTCGGAAGGATTCGGCCGGCCATGAAATAACATTTGCTAGTGCTGTCCAAGCATTTGAGAGCCCACGAGTGAGATTATGAGTTCACCGATTAACAATTCTTCCAACCGAGCTTCGTCCTCGTGCGGACTCTTTTGGGACCCCTGTGGAGAGGAGACTCTCAATGCGATAAAGAGGAATCACTCCGGCCTCGCCACCGCAGCTAACTACTAGCTGGGAGATTTCAGAGAATGGGATAATGCTTGCTCATCTTAATTTCTGAGACACAACAAAACTTTAGTCCTCGCTCCTTCCGACATGCATGAAGGAAAGGAGTTCGAAGTCGGACACGAAGACAATCGCGAAGTGGGAAGTGCTCAACAAGCAAGTGTCTGCTAAATAATAGGTCAGTTGGGCCAATATTTGGCGAGTTGGTGCACACAGCCGTCGAGTCTGGAGATCGATCTCCAAGTCAAGATTCTGTTCGGGCTTCGGAGTAATACCGAACCAAAGCATCGTGCCATTGGTGGTGATGGACGGCGGGAGATTCTATTTTCGAGCAAGGCTTCTTGGCCAGCAGCTTGGATCGAATCCTGGACCTGGCGCCTCTGGCATTGATTCGACTGCAGCGACCAGGATGTGGAATTAGGCTTCGACGGACTTGATCTCTCCATCAATGAGACTTGCGGGGAGAATGGGTCAACATGCGACCAGTGTTTTACCTCCGCATCGACTCCGAAATTTCCCCAGGAACTCAAATCTCGCCATCTCAGAATTCTTCGACCTTGATCCTCCCTTCGTGACTCTCGCAACTTCGTTACCGGATGAGTTCGACGAAACTCGACCCCGTGTCCAGCACAGGCGAAGACCGGGGGCGTGAGAACCAGCAAACATGGCCGACAATGATCCCTACGTGTCGATGGCGACTTATTTTGAGTTGAGCTGGTCAATTCTGAGTAGCATCGGTCTGTTCGTCACGTTTGTGGGCATTTGGGCGATCTTCATCACAAGACCCAGCCCATTGACCTATATCCCGATTGTTGTGTCTGTTTCCTGCGCCATAGCGAACGGTGCTTGCTACTATGCCTTCTACACCGACCATGCCACCCGGAACAGAGCCGCCGCGAGCGGTATTGCTGATCTCTTCTGGCTTGTAATGCTATCACCCCCGCAGTCACCACTATGGACTAACTCATTTCGTGTGAAACAGGTTCAAGAGGCCGGCCTCTCCTTCTACAGTTACCAAATCCTGATTCACACCCTCCGCGACACCTCACGCAGGATATTCCTCGCCGTATTCTGGTTTTTCATGGCCTCCTTACTCTCCCTCCGCATCGCAATCCTCGTCTTCAGGGTTCTAGAAATCAACAGCGGTTCCAGTACCCTAAATTCTACCGGCCCCTACCAACACCAAGTTGGCCGCCTCCATGTCGGCTACTTTACAACCATCGCCCTCGTCGAGACTTGGAGCTCTTTTTTCCTCATCCGACTCTTGCACAATGCGTACCGCGTCTCCCCGAAACTCTCTTCCACAAGACACGTCTTCCGATTCCTTCTTCGCACGACTGAAATTCGGGTCGCAAGCCTGTGTTTTATTGGTATCACTCGCGCTGTGACATACTCCTGGCAGGTCACATCACAATCTGCGACCACTGTGGCTGGGCAAATCGATCGGTTCGCGTATACGATGGAATGTCTTTTCCCGCTCGTGATGTTGTGAGTCTGTCTAATTCCTAAGTATGCACGGACCGTGGGATTCTAATACTCAAATCGATCAGAATTGACATCTTGGCATCTAAAAAGTTCAGCGCCGGCACGCAGCTCGAGTCATTCTCGGCATTCGACCCGGCTGTCTCGCCCATACGGTACCGGAATATCCATACCCATACTGAACCCCTCCCACCGGTTCCGCGGCACACGGCCTGGATTTCTGCGAGGCGAGGGTACGGCTCTACGTAAGATACGTAATGGTTCTTTTGATGGTTATGATACCCTTGGGTTATGATTTGCTGCCGGGTTGAAGGCCCAAGCCATGGCTGGTAAAAGTGTTAATATGTACTATTTTAATACAATAATATAATTGACAGGCACACCACCCCCCTGCATTGTATAGATTATCGAAAGAATATCGGCCAATGCGACTGCGAAATGTGACCTTTATTGTCCGGAGGTCCTCCGCCTGTGCCACGTGCTGGTACCTTCCCGATCGCTCAACTAGGTTAGTCTACCCACTTCCCGCCATCCTCCCGAGTTTCATCGATTGAGGTATCCATTGGAATTCCACCTGCAGGGCCCGTTCACGATCTCACGATGGCCGATCTGCGTGCATCGGGTAGATCCTGATCTCATTCAGGTCATTGACTGCTTGATCTATATTCTGATATCTACCGGCTTTCGAGTTGGACTGGACAAGCCGGCAGCTGATGCTTCGTTCCTGGATCAACACCACGGATCGAGCGGTTTCTACCATGGTATATGCTGCGGATCAACCATTAAAGTGTACAGGTTAATCATATGGTTATTATCTCTATTCTAGATCTTCAATACTGTTCCAAACGGGGGGATTTCTCTGGAACATTCCAACGCGGCTTTGCTTCCAAACACCTGCCAACTTGCAAAGGATCTCTCTCTTTTCTTCGCATATCCTTCCCATCTTGCCTTATCTTCCTAAACGTATAATCACCTCCGACTCTCACTCGTCATCTTGATAACCACCGTCTTCATAATGTTCGCATTCTGGTCAAGGATCAGCTCCTGACTACTATTGTCGTCAGCAACAGTGCCCTTCCGCGTCTTGAACGTCATTCTTGACACACCGGGTCCCCTCCGCGCATACACATCGTCATCTCGGGACGTCAACTCGACTGCACCGTGGTTTGTGCCGGCGGCGCCGGTGATGGTACGGCGGAAGTTCGACTCGCCGTTTTCGTAAGCTCCGTAACCGGCGTACGGGGAGTTTGAGGGGCGCTGGCAGCCGTAGGAAGATCCTCTAAAGATGCGAAGGAAGAGGGGGCGGAGGGAGGGAGCGGACGCGGAGATAATTGCGGCGTTTACTTTGATCTGAGACCAGAGGAGAATCTGAACAGTTAGGTTGGGAACCAACTACTCGGTGAGTTGTGTAGTGGGCTCTTGCACTTACTTGGACTGCGTCTAACGATACGTCTTCTGTTCTGTCACGGTGTACTTGTAAAGAGCATTGAGCCGGGCAATAGACGCGGCGGATGCAAAGGTTCCTGTTAGGAATATTGCAATCAGAGCATCTGGGGCATATTAGCGTTGGTTGTTGAGGCGGAGCATGCAGGTAAGTGTACATTTCCTCCGTCGGTGCAGGCTCGGCTTCATTAACTGGGGCAGAGGCATCAACAGGACAACCAGGTCAGTGAAGATGGTTATAGCAGCTGTTGAAAAGTAGGTCGCCGGAAGATTCTTGCAGCCCTCGGGGAACGCATGTCCCATGCGCGCCACGGTTTGCTGTGACATTCAAAAGCCTATATTCCGTCAGCAATCCTCCAGATGATGGATAGAGATGAGTGCTCACATTGACTAAAAAATACAGGCAATCGTGTATACAGCCACGAATATGCCCACCGCGATGACCTGCCTTCTGAAGTTCTGCACCTCGAAAATCCGATAGTACTGCGCCAGGATTCTGAACTTGACCAGCCCGACTGTGATCGGGTAGACTAGGCTGGTGGGCATACCAGTGCTTTAGGGTGGGGGCTAGAACTTGGCCAGCACGGGCGCCAAATTGGACAAACGCTGGCTGAGGGGGGTCAGTTCCTCAATTCATTGCCTATGACCAGGGAAGTACACACACCCTGTACCCACGGCGATATGAAACCGATTCATGACACCCATCCCAATTATGACTGCCAGCGCAGCCACGATGGGATAGTCATCAAGGCCAACCTTGTGAACGCGGAAGAGGCGGCAGTGCAACCGCAGTGAGACAGGGGCTGCCGAGAGGAATAGTAGTAGGCTCACGACTCTGAGGAACATTGGCTGCAACGAACCATTGCTAGCCGTGATGTACGCATTGATTCAGTCCGAGCAGACGATGTCGAGATGACTGCATTTGCGAGCAGTGCGTTCTATTATTTCCCTCCAGAAAACACGACGGGAGGAAAGTCCACAAAGGCGTTGTTTGGCCAAATCTTCTGAGCGCGGCTATTAATATAGGTCCATGGAATTTGAGTTTCTGATGGTCGCCATTCATTGGAGATTTTGATTATGTGCCATTCATTGGTAAGGTAGGTAAGGACAGTTGACCCAGAATCCATATTCCAGACCGTGGTTACAATCTGAAAGTGTACGATAACTGTGCACCTCGTTTACTTCTGGCCAAGCCACTACATTCTTTCTTGCTCTCCTCTGAAGAGTCAGTGAAGACTGGGCAAGTGCCACGCTATTGTTGACCATGAGCATCAATGACTTGCCTTGAAGTGGACAGAACGGCGTTTAGGCTTCCGAACACAGCATCCGGCCAATCTACCGACATCTCCTCCTGCAAACACTCAGGGTGACTTCCATCTCGATTGGCGGCAGCTTCTCCCGACTCCATACCAAACTTTGGAGGACCGGTTTATCTTGTCGTATATTTCTTCGCATCTTGGAGGTGGGCCCCGAATCTCAACGCAAAATTTGCCAAAGCAGCGCTAATGCAGGCTAATTGACTCGCAGCACTCTCATCACATTGGGGCATCCTTGTATCGAAGCCGGACTTAGGGCTACGAGGCTCATGCCGAACAAGTCATGGTCGAGAAGCCCCCAAATGAACACGAAAGTTTGTCTTAAAAAGAGGGAGCTTTATCCATGTGGTATCGGAATTTCTTCACTCATAGCTCAAAGTGTTTCATACAAACTTTCAAGATGCATCTTGCCAAGCATCTCATTTCATTGGCTTTCCTCCAACTTGCATCGAGTGCCGCCGTAACGTGTAGTAACCCCCCTGTCCGCAAAGAATGGTCAGCCCTTCATTTGAGCACTTTTGACTCCAAGGCGACTGTCAATGCTGACTTTTCACCCGTAGGAGAGAACTGAGCCATCAGGAGAAGAAGGAATACCTCGATGCCCTTCACTGCTGGACGACTCTTGACTCCATCTCTGGCCTGGACGGTGCCGTCAACCGCTTCGATGATTTTCAGGCTGCTCACTCCGACCAGACCCCAAGTATCCACTGGGTGGTAATTCAATTGTCCATATCTGTTCCTTTTACTGTCCATCCCGCTGATCACAGATCTCTTCAGGGTCACTTCGCCCTCTGGCATCGATACTTTGTCGCTTCCTACGAGAAGGCTCCTGGGGAGGAATGTGGATACGCTGGTGCCCAGCCGTAAGTAATCATGTCCTCCTCGGGAGAATCTCGGATGAAGATCACGAGTAGATTGCCGTAGAGCAGAAGGCCGGTATGCTCGGTGCTGACCCCGCTGGTCCTCTTGCAGATACTGGAACTGGTCGCTGGATGCCTCGACGGACATCGAGTCCACTGCCATCTTTGAAAGTGATATCTCGATGCATGCCACGGTTTTGGTGGTAACGGCGCCTATGTTTAAATCACCAATCCCCCTGGCAACCCGTTTAATTTGATCGGCCGCACCGGCGGTGGCTGCGTCGAGACAAGTCCCTTCACTGCCGACAAGTTTCAGCTGCGTCACGCTGGCGGCGGCTGCCTCAAGCGTGATTTTATTCCATGGACCATGAACACTTTCGCTCAGCAGAGCCTGGTCGACCACGTCCAGAGCCAGCTCGACTATACCTCGTTCGCTCGTGCCCTCGAAAACATTCCCGCTTTCACCGAGCCTAATATTCATGGTAGCGGGCACTTGGTGTCGCTGGTGTTCTTGGGACAATTGGGAACCAATATGAGAGTCCTGGTGGTACGTTCTTTCTCTCGGTTTTCCTCATCCCTTGCCCATCTTTTCTCTTTGCTGATAAACACACATCCAGACCCCCTCTTCTACCTTCACCACGGGCAACCTCGACCGCATCCTTTCGGAATGGCAACAGCAGGACCTCGAAACACGCCTACACCAGGTCGGCGGCCCCATCGAGCCCATGGACTACAGCGGCGCAAACGTTACGCTTGACTTTACTGTGAATATTGGTGCGCTCGCCGGAGACGCGACCCTTGAGCAGCTGCTGGACACCCGTGGTGATGTTCTTTGCTACACGTACAACACCGCTTAAGTATATTAACAACGTGTCTTCATTTCTTAGAAATCCTTCGAGTCTTCCCGGTCTCTGCATGACTGCATGACTGCTGGGGATTACTCGATTTGCTTCCAGGAGGCCTTGGCGATTGGTGCTTCTTGAATTCATGTCAGTGTCTCCGCTTGTTTAATAAGATATTTATATGCCTCTGTTGAGTTCATCTTTTCTGAGAAAAAGTCTAGCAATCATATGGCTAACCATTACTGGCTACCACTTTGTCGTCGCGTTTGCCGATCTTCGGCAGTCGGCTCCTGACACTGCATTTGAAAGCAATTTACGCAAGACAATGCCAATATATATTACTTCTATGTACCGGAAACAATATGTTGGTATCTTCCCGACGCTGGACGGACCATTATACCAGAGCAATATCTTCCAAGTGGCAGGTCTTGGATTCCTCTCGCACCCCATGTTCTAGATCTTTGGTGGAAAATAAGATGACAGTCTCACAAGGCTCAGGGCACGGCTCCGGCTCACGATCAGAATCGTGTGGTGGACCATGATAGTGAGATCCGCTGGAGGTCCTGCGTAGTATATTGGCATCTCGCTGGAGGAGCATTGACGAATGCCCCATGGTCTCTAGTCTCCGTTCAATGACGAGGACATGGATGAGAGCACACGAGTAACGCAATGCCCACCGCTGCTGGATATCAGCCAGCCGTGGACTTGTGTAGTCGGTTGACTAGAACTTCGAGCCCTCGCCAGCCAGCCAGCCAGCCTTGGAGTTGAATCTTTGACGATTCTGTGACGGGGATTATGCAAGTGTGGATACTACCTGTCATTGTGGACGCGAGCCCGTCGACCTCCCCATTCCAGGATTGCCATATTGCCCATATCCCGAGACGTGTGCGCCGTGTTGCCGATAGCATTTGCTTCATGTCTGGTTTCTCTATATTCTTATCTCTCCCTATCTATTATGAATATCTTTTGGTATCCCGATTCTCAGATATCAGTCATCAACAGCGACAGCTATGGGGCGGCGTAATTATCAGCCGCTGGACCGTTCTAGTGCCATACTGTACCTATATCTACTTATTCTTGACTGCGGCCGTCAGAATCGAGCCATTCGAAGTCTTGAAGATCAGGCAAATGGTACCTACCTCGCAAGTCACCCATCTAACACCTCTTGGCTTGGTCTCCCAATCCCATATAGAGCGAAATGATCCCCAGTCAAGCCTCTTCTCGCCTCTGCCGTTCACTTTGGGCCTCCCTTTCTCTCTCCTTTTCCCTCTCCATGCTCAAAAAGCTAGCCAAGATTCCCAAATCATACATCACCTTCAGACCACCCGCAAGGATGAACGACGCCCCAAAAACGCCCCTATCAGCCAAAATACCCGTAACCAATGGCCCCAGGCTCTGTGTCGATGTCTTGACCACGTTTATGGCGCCCATGATTGCCGTCCGCTTGTCCGCGGGCAGTGCGGCAGCCAGGAAGGCCGAGCGCGGCGCCGAGTCCATGTTTGAACTGCAAGAGCGGAGGATGAGGAATGTAAGCGCTAGTGGGAGGGAGTTGGGGACGGGTACTAGCATTAGGCAGAGAGCGGAGGGGAGGTGGGTAAAGGCCATTGTTTTGATGTTGCCGATGCGTCTTGCGAGAGAGGTAGCGATGAACATTGATGCCGCAGCGATGATGGATGTTGTGAAGAAAATGGAACCGAGGGTGCCTTCGGGGAGGAGGAATTTGCGCTTGAAGAAGTAGGTCATCCAGGTCCTGTTTTATCGTTAGTTTACTCGACGGGAGGGGCTTGGGGAGGAACCGAGGAAGGAACGTAGGAACGTACAAGGAAGCAAGCCCTGAAGCAAATGAGTCCACACCGAAGAGGATAAAGAGACGAATAACAAGCGACGCAAGTTTTCGATCCCCAATGAAGGCAAGGACCGATTTCCGCTCAGGCTCCTGCTGCTCCTGCTGCTCTGCAGGTCTATCACGCAGCAACGGCTGAGTCTCGCCACTCTCATCGCCCTCAGTATCCTCTCGGCTCGCCCGTTTTGAAGTCTTGGTCTTCACCTCGGCTTCGACTTTCTGGCTCATCGTCACGGAGAGGAGGAACTTCAGGGCTCCGATACCCGCGTACGCAAAGAAGATAACCCGGCAAGCAGGGATGAACTCCCATCCCCTCTCCGTCTGGAGCAGATTGACCGCCCAACCACAGGTCATCACGCCAAGCGCGGCACCCGCGGTTCCGAGAAGGGTATACCACAGGAGGATATCGCGGAGGAGCGCATCAGGGGTGAGGTGCGCGAGCGATGACTCCTCAACTGCTTTGAAGGGACCGATTTCGTTGCCGCTTTGCCTGATCAGCTTCGGATTCAAAAACATAAAGTCTCTCAGTTTGGACAGAACAATCAAAAAGACAAGACGAACCTCGGACTAATAACTCCCAACACCGCCGCAGCAAGCAATATCCAGAAATTCCCAACAAGCCCAAAAGTAACACCACTGCCGACCATCAGCGCCGATCCCAAGGCCAAGACCGCACGGCGGCCTATTGAGTCCGCAAATAGCGTCAAAAAGAAGCTAATCGCTACATCACCAACAAGCGTCAGGGTCATGAACAGACCGATACGGTCGTCGGAGATGCCCAGCGCAGAGAGGTAGGAGGCGAGCACAAGCGTCGAGCCGCCGTATGCGAAGAAGCGGACAAACCGTTGCGCGCAGAGGAATTTTGCATCGCGTGGGGAATGCCACAAGGAGATCAGGCCGAGTTCTTGAGAGGCCTTAATGTAAAGCGGTGTTGGTGGTGAGTCTGGGCCTTGAGTCATGGTTCCGGCTCGGTGGGGACTGCTACTGCTCTATAAGAGAATAGAAGTTCTTATAAAAGGATCTAAAGAGCCAGATAATATGCGGTTGTGTGTACACTTCCACAAACGTGCATGAGCCAGAGATACAAGATGCGAAACAATTGCGAGCGAGCGATGAAATATGAGCCATTGCCAAGACTTGTATACTCGGACTCGGCGTTCGCCCAGGTGTAACGTCGTACCATTCTTACAGCTTTTCTTACAGACATTCGCACGTGAATACACGATACATACAAACAGTATCGAGCCAAGCCTCGGGGATACGCGATGGATACGCCAAATAATACTATTTACCCCGACGCCACTCGGAGTTAACATCAAACCATTTTTCATCGATACTCATGCTCATATGATTTAAAATTAGCAATAATCCTCCGGCGTGTATGCCGGGTAAACGTGATCCACATTGCAGATTGAGGGCGTGTCGAAACCCGGGACATAGAGTGGTGTGGCTAAAAGTCAATTTAGCGATCAAAAGCATCTCGCAGCGTGTCATCCAAGGAACAGTAGACATCATGAACATACAGTCGTCTTCTAAGTCCCTCCTCGGGCTTCTAATAACACTGTCCAGCCTCCCTGGGACCATCAATCTCCGCTGACACTCGAGCTCCTCATTCACGTCCCCACGCAACCAACCAGTTCCGATCCATACTTTGATACGCACCACGCAACTCGCATCCCAATCATCACAGTCACTGCAGTAGTCCTCATGCCGTAGGTACTTTTGTAAGTAAGGATCGTATATGATCTCGCACCGCTGAAACATGCCCGGGGCAGAGGCGAATGTCACGGGGTTCACGTAGGTTCCGAGACCGCCGGGGATGCGGCTACGGTTGCCACAATTGTATGCAATGTTTGGACCTTGGTCCTCGTTGGCGGAGATGCCGTAGAAGGTGTGGGTTATGTTTGGGAAGATACTGCAGGGCGGGTTGGTTTTTGGTGGTTGGGAAGGGAGTAGAGTTGCAGGAGTAGAGATGGAAGCGAAGGTGGAAGAGAAACTAGAGGTGAGAGCGACGCCAGGGCCAGAGAAAGAGATGGTCATCGTAATAATTAGAACAGCTGTGATTATCACAATGCCAAATAGGCGATCAAGACATGGTGGGAGAAGTTTCCTGTGGGAGGCAAAATGTAGTCTGGGTCAGGTGGATAAAATGAAACTCTATTGAAGCAGTATCCCAGCCTGATGAATCATCGTATAATTTGCACCATTATGGCGTACGCCACTATAAGCTAAAATCCGGCATTACAGAGCAAATCAATCCAGAGTACGATATATCCAAAAGCATATCCATAAATCAATCATAAGTCATGTACCACAAAATCACAGCACCATCTTGAAGTTGGGATCGCGATCATCGTTGTACCCCTCGTACTGGGCGTATTTGCCGTTCCTCTTGTCTCTGTTGACCTTGGCGCAGTAGAAGACGTTGAGTAGGATCCTGCACGCATAAGTGAGCTGATACGCCTTGGGGAAAGGTACTTACATGAACCAAGCAAAGACCAACAGGCTCATGACTACTGTATGGCCCCGGTGATACTGTGGCTTATCCTCGTTGGGATAAATGAAAGCTGGCAAACGTTAGTCCCATAACAGTGTGCATAGGGCAAGTGAATGGGGAAGTAGCGTACTAGCCACAAATCCTCCGCAGTTTGCAATCGCCAACTGCATTCCTGACGTGGTCGCCCGCTTATAATGCCCCGCCGAGTTGTTCGAGTTCCAGACCAGGATACAGGGGACGCTGGCATACATCCCTGTCGCCATGAGGAAGGTCATGCCGTACTTTATATGTGCGTCGCTGATGTTCCCAATTGCAGCATACCCGGCGATGGCGATAGGAAGTGTGAAAAGCATGAGGACTCCTCGAAGTTTTAGCCGGTCAGAGAGGAAGGCCACGACAACTATGAATATTATGTTAGCAGGCAAAGCAAAAATTAAGGCAAGGTAAAAGGACTGTACCTGTTAAGCCAGCGGCCACGGCGTATGGAATCACAGTCCAGAGCTGGACTTGATTCGCATCCGAAGCAAATCCACTTTCGTCAATGATAGTCGGGAGCTAGACATAAAACGTCAGAAAGTAGCCATCAAGATGGAGTAGGCATCTTACGAAAAGTCCAAATGAGTACAGCCCAGACAGAATAGCAAAGTACGCTGTGGCCGAAAACCACATCTGCGGGTCTAAGAGTCCCCTTCGCACTTCGGACCACCTAAAACTGTCTTTCTCGTCTTCCAATGCCCTGCACCTCGTCAGTGCTCTGTCCAAGAGCAGGTAATATGAAGGGAGGCATACCCCTGGGCAGAGGGGCTGTCAAGCCTGATCCTTTCGCGTGCAAACTTGCGCTCTTCCTCGGTCAAAAAGGGAGCGGTTTCGAGGCTATTAGGGAGACCAAAGTAGCTGGCGACACCGCATACAAATGTCTGTTTGGCCTTCATTAGAGGTAGCTCAACTAAGCGCGAGTGGTCACTCACCAGGAGCCCTTCGATGATCATGATCCAACGCCACCCTTCTAGACCTCCCCTGGGACCGATCTCTGCTAAACCGCGAGCCAAAAGGCCTGGTGAATGATCGTTAGTCTGCACACCTAAAAGAGAGAGGAGAACCACATACCCCCGAAAGCGCCTGACAGTGAAGCAGCTGTATAGAACAAACCAATCCGAAGAGCCAGGTCGCCTCGTCTATAAAAGGATGAAAGGTACAACACCTTCGCAGGTTAGCGCGCGTCCTTATAGACAAAATGAGGTACATACCATCCCAGGCAGTAATCCACCCTCTGCAATTCCTAGAAGCACACGGACTGCAACAAAACTGCCAAAGTTGCGCACAAAACCCAGACACATTGTAAAGATACCCCAAATTAATGTAAGTGCAGGGAGCCAAATCTTCGGTGATGCTTTTTTGATGATCAGATTGCTCGGAACCTCACTGGTTGCAGAGCACGTCAGCAGAGAGGGGTTTTGTGCTACGATCGGGTCAAGACAACGCACCTCAGGATATAAAAGAGATAGAAAACGGCGAGTCCAATATCGTATTGGTCATTTGTGATGCTGAGGTCGTCCTCCAGACCCAGGATTTTTGCATTGCCCACGTTGGTTCGATCGAGAAAGGAGCATAAGAAGAGGAGTGCGAGAATTGGTAGGATTCTTGCTCGCTGTTAGCACATATATTCCAGTCTTGGTTGTTGTGAGCTACCTCGTGTCCAATTTGAACAGGATTCGCCGGGTTAGCTTCTGCTCAGCCTCGAAATCACCCGTCTCATTCAAGACCTGTCCTTTGACATCGTCGCTCATCTCTGTTTGGGGCTTGGAGTCCATGGTTGCCGTATATTGTCGAAAAAACAACCAACTAGGCACTTGCTAAGGCAGAGGGGACAATTGAAAGAAGAGAAAGACGGGGGAGGAAAGGAGGGGAGGAAAATAAGACGAGATGACAGCAAAAAGCAAGGTGAGCAGCTCAAAGGGAGCTGATCGGCCCTTACTTCTGTCGCCGATCGCCAGTCGTGGCATCTCTTGGACTCTTGGGAAAATTGCTTGACCCCGCGTTTGACGGAGGCCAAGCCAGCCCCCCAGATTGCTTACCCCAAAGCCAAGATGCGGTTGGCGGGGGAGCTCACCCATTGTTATCCAATTATTCGCCATCGATCAGTGATCGGCCTCTATTTCTGGCGCCGTGCGCCGTGCAGTGTCTCCGGTCCCTCCGGCCTTCTTCCTGCCTCCCCGGATTCTCCTTTTTTATTTGCCCCAACGACTCAACGTGGCACGCTTGGCGGATGTCACGTCGGAGTCCCTCCGGCACCAGCACGCTCTCCAGGTTCTCAGTAATGTGTGGATGACTGGACTCAAACAGTCGAGTTTATTGGTTGTCAATATCCACACCACCCAATTTGGCGTTGATATGTTGGCTGGTATACCTGTTCTGGCAGCTTTTGTGCTAACCCGTGGACACCCTGACTGACTGATTTACGCGTATACGCACACGCTCAAACCCGCTTCAAACAAAAGCGAAACCCAAGTCAGACGGGAAGCGAAACCCACACACCTCGTACCATCATACCGAGAACAATAAAGATGTCGAGTCGAAATAGCTGAACCCATCCACATACGTGATGCCATAACCAACTGATTATGGAGTTGAGACATTAGGGGGGAAGTCGGACGGTATGGGGATCGCGGACAGCCAACAAACCAATAGAGAAGGCGATTCTCCAGATTGCAAGATTTTGCTTTGCTGGTTGTCCGAGATACCCATACCGTCCGACTTCCCCCTAATGTCTCTATACAGCGCCGAGCTCTTCGGGATATGCCCAATTTCTTGTCCAATTCGAATGTATGATAACACGAATTCGCTATCATCGTCCAATAGATGTCTCTGACGCCCGCGTGTGTGTTGCTTACAGTACTAGTATCGGCACCAAAGACGGCACTTGTCTTGGGCTTTCAGGAATGAAGACATTCGTGCGGTCGATTCGGTTGTGGCGACGTGGCTGACAGCGCTATTTTATAGTTCTACTTGGCCAAAGCAAAGTGACACCGCACGGATGCCAGATGCCTGCCTACTCAGTCGAACTTGGTCACCGTCCAGAAAGAACGAGAAGCCAAGTATCCAGGTACTAGTTTAGCAGATGGGCTCAATCGATCTACGACATCAAAAAGGCATGCTATCATGTCAGCGACTGGAAGCCTTGCAATAAATCTAGAACATGATCTCAAAACTCCCCAGTCTGGGTCTTGAGCAGCGAATTTCATCCCCGTTTTATTTCCTACAACGCTCACTTGCTCGCCGAAACATGCATACATGTGTAAATCTATTGCAACGGGTATATACACATCTCAATCAATATCAAATCACTCCATAACAGCCAGTTGCTCCGCAATATGGAACGGAGCCCCGGTCTTCTCCTTGATCTCCTCGACCTCTACGCCCGGAGCAAGCTCAGTCAAAGTGAGCTCACCCTTCTTGCGATTAACCTGGAAGACACACTGCCTTTTGTCAGTATGAGATTCATCACTACTCGTGTAGGTTTCATACCAGTTCCGTAATGATGGTGCTAACACAGTTTGCACCAGTCAGCGGAAGGGCGCACTCGGACACGATTTTGGGGGAACCATCCTTTGCGGTATGGCTGGTGGCGACGACGATCTTGGTCTGGTCGGGGTTGGATATCAGGTCCATAGCCCCGCCCATGCCCTTGAACACTTTTCCAGGGATCATGTAGTTCGCTAGATCGCCGTTGGCGCTCACTTGCAGAGCCTGTCTGGTGGTCAGCACGGCAGTAGTGCTTGGATATGAGAACTCACGCCTAGGATAGATACATCGACGTGTCCTCCTCGGATCATTCCGAATGACTCGGTGCTGTCAAAGGTGGCCGCACCCGGCATGAGTGTTACAGTTTCTTTGCCAGCGTTTATGATGTCCCTGTTGGGGTTAGCATGTTCTGTAAAGTGAATGAAGGAGCACATACGGATCAACCTCATCTTCGGTCGGATACGGACCCTACGCCGGTTAGCTCACGTTGAACACAATATTGACGCAGATAATTACCATTCCGAGAATTCCATTCTCTGATTGAATCCATACTTTGACTCCCTCTGGCAACATTGAGGGTGCGAGGGTAGGAATTCCTACTACTGTTAGCACCGCCCATGGAACGTGGTTCGGAGTACACACCAACACCCAGGTTGACATAGTATCCTTGTTTGAGCTCTTTGGCCGCTCTCTTTGCAATTCGGTTTCGCTCGGTTATGGCGGGTGATTGAGCCAGCGATTCTGAGCCTTCTGTCTTGGCCTCGCGAAGCTTTAGAATCTCAATGTGCTTCTCGCTAGTGGCGGGGACAATTCGGTCCACGAAAATTCCGGGTAGGTCAACGTCATTGGGGTCGATGGAGCCAACCGGGACAATATTTTCTGCTTCAACGATCGTAAGGGTAGCTGCCTTGGCCATAATAGGGCCGAATGCTTTCGTAGTGTAACTAGGCTGGTCAGCATTGTGATAAGTAGATGCTAGGGGCCGAGATACCGGAAGACGCAGTTTCCAGCCTCGTCCGCCTTCCACGCTCGGAGGATTGCAACATCACCAGTAAGCGCAGTTTCCATCAAGTATGTCTTCTTGTTGAACACTCTCGTTTCACGACGCTTGCCATGCTCTAGCACCTTGCCTGACTCATCCAGACGTACGGGGATTTTTCCGTCCTGGAGGAAGGTATCTAATCACAGTTAGCAAGGGACTGAGTTGCGAGTGATTGACATACGAGCTCCAGTGGCCGTGTAGAAAGCAGGTATACCTGCTCCTCCAGCGCGCAGGCGCTCTGCCAGAGTTCCTTGAGGGCACAGCTCGATCGCAATATTTCCTGTAAGATACTTCTTCTCCAGCGCCTTGTTATTTCCCAGATATGATATGATCAGTCGGTTGACTTGGCCGGAGTGTGTCAGTGTAGAAAGTCCACCTTTGCCGGGCGCACCGGCGTTGTTTGAAACCGCAGTTAGAGAGTGAATGCTATCGGGCCCTCGACGGCCAATCGCGGAGATAAGTGTGTCTGTCAACATTAAGCTCAATCCGGAGCGACTTAGCAGTAGAAGTCCTTACCTGCAACTCCACAGAGACCAAACCCAGAACTAAGGATGGTTGACCCGCTCTTGAGATCAGCCACAGCTTCGTCCGCATCTTTGTATAATTTCGAGGCAGCACGGTCAATTGTAGGAGCCCGTGTCGGTTGTTCGATTGTTGTAGATGAAGTGGAATATCTTGCGTGATGAATTGACGCAGATGGCCGGCCACATGTTCTCTGATAGCATGCGCGGAAGCCCAGTTGGACCCGAGCGATGCTTGTCGCTTTTCTTGATAGTGTTAGCGCTGAAACTCTGAGAGTGGCCATGTTGCGCTATAATAGATCTGCTTATAAACAGATGCTGTAAACTTTTAAAGGAAGAATGCGAGAGCTTGAGGGAATTCTTTTGCGTGACGTCGCGTTATTTAATGTCCGCTACCTTAGGCTCTCGGGGCTACTTCTGGACGCCGACGTGGAGATGTGCCGAATCCCCGAAATGGGTTGCCACACCAGAGTCACAGACACAACAGCGCAGAGACATTGATTATTGTTTAAAAATTGAATTCTGGGTTGCTTATGTCGAGCCAGTCCCAGCTCAACATATCGTCGAGTGGAACATCAGGGACGCTCGCTCCAAATGCGGTTCCAGCGCGATTTACAGCATCAATAATCTGGTCGTCAGACATGGCCGAAAATTGCAGAGGTTCTGACCAAAATAGTGAATGCGCAAACGTGTCTTGTGTCGTTGTCGGGATGGAGTTGAATCCAGTCAGAGTCGTTGGTGGTAGATCTTGAGGTTCAATTTGGGCCTGACTTGGAGCGGCCGGCGTACGTCGGATCAGTTCACGAAGAAACCGTCCATATAGCACCGACGCCCCATTTCTATGGCTAGGCGTCGCTCCTATCCGCTCGAGAACTCCAGCCGCCTCCTCAATGAGGTGTCGGACACTGGGGGCCAGGCTGGATTTGCTATCCGTCGGCATCACGCTGAGACTTAGTGCAGAGCACGCAGCAAACGATATCATGATCACTGTGTTGTTTGGCATTGATTTGAGTCTTGCTTCTCCTTGGATAGCTGCGCGCATGACATTGAGGGCTGAGGAAAGACCAGCAGCCCGAAAAAATCGCTTGACTTCCACGGGTGCTGTCGGGTGGTTTATGACGCCTCCATATGTTGATAGCATAGTATGGGTGACCAGGATTTCGACGTATGGAGGCAGCGCGCGCGCTATGAGATATTAGCTTGAACCTTCACATATTAGTTACTTGACTTACACTGGCCTTCTCCTATAGCCGGGGTCCACGCTTCGTACCATTCATTATAAAAGCTCTCTATCATCGATTTGATCCTGCAATGTCAGTTTATGACTTGAATGGAAAGATGATAACTCACGATTGCGCGGCCCCAGACCCGGTACTACTTGTCTGGTAGCTATCACAGCTGGCTTTGACGCGGCTAAAAAGCCCATCCTAGTAACATTTTAGTGATACTCTCAGTCATTGGTTGATGGAGCTCACAAGGTTCCTTCGGAGTACTGCCATCGAATTCATAGCGCCATCGCGTGAGTCTGCAAGCTCGGCTACATGCCAGCGATCACAGTTTTCAATTAAGGTAGTAATCGGTACAGTATAGTTTCTTCCGCGAGCCAGACATACACTGCGCCGTTATCAGATATATAATAGAAAATGTGGAGAGACTTACCCTCGCTCGAGAACGAATAACGCAATCCAAATTCTCTCTCGACGTCGTAGAAGCCTTCGGCCCCATTCAGAGGTTGGGTCGACATTATCAAACCCATCGATGTGCAAGGCTCTTTTCGCGTCGATACAGTCCGCTTTGGCGAGCCTTCTTGAGACACTGCTGTCAAAGCTTGTTGATGGCAGCACTATCTTGTTCAAAGACAGGTCCAGTGCAACTGCCAGTGCCATTGCGATGTATGAACAAGTATCATCATCACCTAAACAAGACCCTGGTGCCATCCACGGGACGTTAACCATGAAAGCTAGTACGATCTCCGCTGACTTAAGACGCCGCTTCATAACTTCATTCGCCAAGGATTTGCTGTGTTTTGATAATCTTTTACACAGGGCCGCAGCTGATGGCATAAACAAGGCGGCTGTGGCCATGATTGAGGTGAAAAGAAAAGCCGATTGCGAGCGAACGAATTCCACTGTATGGACAAATGGATCAAGGCCCCATCTTGTATGTGCAAGGTTTTGGTAGAAACTAGAGATAGTGAGCTCCTGCATTTCCAGCTTATATCGCGACATACAAGGAAAATAGGGATTCAGCTTCCTGCAATGTAACAAGCCCATTCTCTATGGGATCCATATCAGGACTGATGTCTAAATGTGCCCTGACCGGTACAAAAAAAGACTTTGCGGCAGTCACACTAGTTTCCACTGGGATCGCTAGATTTGGGGGTGCCATTGGTGGCCATATTGGCGCGTCCCGGACATCGTTCGGAGACAGCTGAAGATCAGATGCACGAGCGAGTAATTGCAGAGGGTTTTCCGCATCATCCAAAGCGAGGTTCTCACCGGAATTAGAGTCTCGCGGAAGGATAAGAGGATCAGTCTGATCGGGGCCCTCGGAAAGGTCATCCCTATCGTTCGGAGACTGCTGCGAATGGGAATTGCTGAGCAGGTCCTGGAGATTTGCTATGAGCTTTTGCGCAGCTTCCGCGGTTGTGTGATCTGTCTTTGGCCGCTTGATGGCCTGCTCTATCTGGTGAAGCGCTTTCTCCAGACCTTTGCGTTTACTGTGTGGCCCTGTCAGCGCACGTTCACACTGGAGAAGAATGGGTTGCTTACTTCTTCACCCCCTTCTGCCTACCTACATGGTGGTTCGGAACGACACATTGCAGATGAGAGTGGCTGCATCTATCGCATCGCTCTTCATTCTGGCTGCGGTTACAGCGAATCTTGCTTTTCCTGCAGTTGAGACATGCGGCTTGCCTGCTCTTTGTTGACTGCCGTTGATTTGACTCTGAGGTCTGGTCTTCCATTGCTCCAGTTTCCAATGTCAATTTCGCACCGCCCTTTCCAGCTGAGCGTGATCCATGTGTCCAATGGCATAGAAACACAACGGGCGTTGCCGCGGTTCAGGACGGAGGAGGTTCGTCAGGAAGTAGATGTAAATCGTATGTTTCAGGTGGCCTTAATTTCAGTGGCTCTCGGCTAAGGTTTGCTGCGTTGCCATCACCTCGGTGCGAGTTTTACAACCACGTTCTGTTGACTTGAACGTGATCTCCAATGGTTAGGATCTCAAAAAGGTTCTCCTGTTCGTAAGATCATCGCAGAAAAAAAAGAGAAGAATAGGGGAAAAAATTAAATTGAAGCCCAACGCGGGGGTTGAACCCGCAACCTTGAGATTAAGAGTCTCACGCTCTGCCGATTGAGCTAGCCGGGCTTTTGTTGAGAAGCTGCTGTCGGTAGTGCATTTATGTTCTTCTTTTATAGGTTATAATAGTCCCCTCGAACACAACATATATTGTATCGCCATTTCGCCTGGCGATAAAAAATGTTGACAGCATTTGCGGTCTAACCTATGCATCACAGCGCACAAACCTGTACTTGTGGAAAACGAACTCCATGTAGTGTTACCATAAGGACCAGGATAGACGCAAGAACAAATATATACAAGCCTATGACCCACCAAACCCACACAATCTTTATACGCTTCTCCATGGTTCGCCGAGAAATAGACACAAAAGCAGGATGCTAAGGGAATTTGGATGAACAGGCATACGACTGGCGACAACACAAGAGACATCAGATCAATTCGCAGCCCGCAATGCCCGCAGTCTAGCCCCTAGGCCGTCCTCGAGGTCTGCGTCGACCTTCGTCTGTTCCTTCACATCCTCCTTCGGTGCCGTATCCTGCTCTAATGCGAGCCTCATGTCTACACCTGCATCATCGGCAAGCTGCTCCATCAGGCGATCAACATCGGCCTCGCCCTCCGCTCCATATTCCTGCATCGATACACCTTGAGCGACATCCTCAATAGCGCTGCTAGCAATCTTGAAGTCCTCCGAGCGTGCGAGGAAGTTGTTAGCGTGTGAAACCAATGTCTCGAGGTTGACGCTCTTCGACGCAGCGTCCAGGCCTCGCGACGCCAATGCAAGGGTCCGTGATGTGTCTCGAGTACTCTGTGCGGCTTTCAATTCATTTATGATAACGTCTGCACGAGCGGCCTCCGCTCGTAGAGAGACTTGTCGTCGCTTCTCCCGGACTGCGGAGGATGCGTGGATACGGGCAATCTGGAATTCGCGGTTCTTCATTGCCTTATCGGCCTTCGCCTTCTCAGACTTGAAGGTGGCCTCCGCGCGGGCGGCCTCTTTCTTTAAGCGATTTGAATGAAGCTATTGAATTGAAGAGGAGTTAGAATTGGTATAAACAACCGGCGAAGGCCTGTTCGAGAGGTGATGTCGGTCAAAGATAAAGCGGGTACGACTCACTTTCACATTCGTGCGGGCTTCGAAAATGGGATCTTTCCGAACCATCTTGGATAATTTGAGAAGACAAATACTATGTGGAGTAGATGGGGACAGCTTCTTTCTAAGAAAAACAAGAAATGCAAAACGTGGTCTCGACTGCAGGTGGTTGGGTTCAGAAGAGAAAGCGGATTCTAGAAGTGAGGGGAACGCCTTGGGTGGCAACGTCATTTGGCTGGGGTTATATATACCTCCACAGGACGCAGGCACCGACAAAGCCAGCAATTCAGCATTTTTTTCATGCACTACTGTCACTACATGATTATTGATCATAGTCTTATTTGTAGGATAAAATTTAGTTGTAAGATAAATTCTACGTACTAAGCGCTCGAATTGCCAGCTACCAGTGGGTGAATAGCGCAACCTCGTTAGATGAGGAAGGGCGATGGCTTCAACTACAGTCGGCAACTTCCGAGTCAAGTGGATGATCCAAATGGGGGTTCTGAATTGGTAATGTTGGAACACGCTAATGTACAATTATTGAAAGCCCTTTCCCATCAGCCGAGACGTCAACGCCTCCTTTGGTTTGGTTGAACTCCGTGAACTCCGCATGATCTTATCAGGCTTCCCTGAAACGCTGCGCCGACTGCTTTGCAATGACTTTAAACCACTCAAGATCCTTCTCCTTCGTTCTGGCTTCTCAAGCAGATTTATCGCTGATGCCATGGTCAATAAGGATTCCCAGCTCCATCGACCCTCTGAAACAACGGCGACCGAACTTGATTCCCGAGAGAACCTCTCACGAACTGCCAGCTGCAATGCCCTGCCCGTCGCATCGCGAAGTGGACGCGCCATGGCTGGGTTGCAAGCTAGCAATCTTGCAAGAAGTCTGATCCGGAAGGCCGTGGGGTTGCTCGAGGTCTTCGAGGGTGACAGGCTCGGTGTCAAAATCAACCATAGAATCAAATGAGAATGCCGATAAATCTCCTCCGTCGAGAACGCCAAAGGCGAACCCGTCTTCAAGGATTGAAGAATCTGGGTCAAGGGATGAATCACTGTCGAATAGGCGGCGGAAGTCATCGTCAGAAAGAGGAGCTGCAAGGTCATTTGTAGACTCATGCTTGATGATGGTGTTGCCGAGGTCAAAAAGCGAGAGGGCACTTCCATCTCCTTCGAGTCCGCCGACTGACACTGCAGGTCACACAACACCGCTGCAGGATGTTGTGTCAAGTCGGAGGACTCAGCCAGAGAGGAAGGCTTCAGAGTAGGAGAGTAATCGGTAACGGAAGGAGTCGGGAATGGGATTCGGTCAAGGGAGATTTCCTCACCCTCTTGTTTGAAGAGAGTGGGTGTGAGAGTAGGTGATACAGAGGCGGGGGAAGAAGGCCTTGGGGTACTGTGACGGGAGCCCCGGACCTCTGCTGATAGTTGGGCGACTTGCTGGCTCAGACGATTGTTCTCGGCTTCCATCTGAGCGAGTCGCTGGACGAGAAATTGGTTCTGTTGTTCCATTTGAATCTTTTCGTTTTCCAGCTTCTCCATCTCTAATCTCTTACGCTCGCGCGAGGTCTGCGCGGCTGCACGATTACGAAGAACTCGCTCAATACGGCGCTGTTCTTTCTCATCGTCTGTCTTGGCGCGTTTCCTAGGTAGCTGTTAGAGGAGCTTGCCAGAATGATATACGGCGCTACCACGTACCGTGGAGGAAGATTTGTCTTGGGTACTGGTAATTCCTGGCCCCAGGACTTTCTCTTCTTCACTGGCTTCTTCTCGGTTTTCGTCTCAACCTCGACATCTTCAACATCCTCCGATTGAAGAGACGTGTCGGCGGGGGAGACTGTAAGCACAGGAACCTCCATGGAGGGAGTAGAGGGTAGAGAGTCTGTGAAAGGGTCCTCCATTTTCACTGGCTTGACAACCGGTCTGATAATTCAAACAACTCGAGATAGTAATATGAAACGCAGAAGATGCGATGAATCTGGAATGGTTGATGGAGTTGAGAGAGGGATGTCTCGCCTAGGTCATCAAGACAAAAGACACGGTGTCATAACGGGACCGAAGCCAGAGAGAGGCCAGATCCCAGCCAGTGAAATGTGTTGGGGCACAGGTACCAAGGGGAACAAAGTGTGGAGAGGATGAAAAGGACAGCTGTTCATAAAAAAGTGATGGTGCTGAGCAAGAGGTCAGAGGGGGAGCTGGTTGACTCTTTAAAGGCCAGCGTGGCCAATTCGGGCGGACTCCTTTCAGCAAGGGGCGGAGTCCTGGCCTCAGCCACGTAATTGTAACATTACTGCTGGAGTACGGGGATCCACTAAAGCTGACGAATATCTCACTAAGCTCTGTCCCAAGAAGCGTTTCTGTATCGAAATATATGTTCCAGCCTTCCTGGTCGCCTCCTCTGGCACTCTCCTTGGCCCCTGAGTCGGCGTGTCAGACCTAAACCTGCGACATGCAGTGGAACCCCGACAGTTGCATCACTACGCTTTTGATGAGGCGATGCGAGACACGCAAGAACGAGAGACCTCCACACCAGGCCGACGACGACAACTATTGGAACTGCTCACGACCAGGCTACGATGTAGGACCAGCTTACTCTGTATCGGTGTAGATTTGGAAAGGCCGTTCTAAAATTATCGGTCTCGAACACGATGAACTCGCAAACGTTTACGCCGTCGCCTTGGGCTTCTTGAGTCCGTCCGAAGTTGATGTTAGTCCTCGGAGTCTCTTCCCTCAGTACCCTAGGTAGTATCTCAGTGGCTAGGGTCCAACCTTGGATTGGTGGACTATTCTCCCAGGGTTCCTCGCTTCTCTTTGTGAAGATACCAAGTCCTTCCTTGTTGACTCGAAGAGGGTGGGTCTTGAATAGCAGCCCCTCCTCGACAATACTCCGTAAGGAGCGGAATGTAGCCTACGTGGTACGGCAGCACCACGGTTCCAGGCAAGAACCCACACTCTGAGGTCATCTTGACTTTGAGATCACGACCAGAACCACGCCTTTGCCTTCACAGATACGGACATCTGACAGCTGTTAGTCAAACTTCAGTCCAAACAACAAGCAGACTTTGTGAGACCCCGGCTCGTCCTGCCTTGGTCGACCATTTTCCCAGGGGCAAGGGCCCACTCAGCAGAATGCGGGGAATCGAAAGGAGTCGAACACTCGAGGTGCAACCGTGCAAGGATAAAGTTCTCGCCGGAGATTTATCTAGTCTTCTTTAACACTATTTTCTTATCAAGTGCATCGGCAGTTTTGATTTAATTGATCGATTTCTCCGTGCCCCTGCTCTTTCTCTCTTGTCGCAAAATAATACATTTAGTTCAGCCGAAATTATCTACTTTTCACCGAGATCACCGACATGGTTCGATTCAGGAAACGTCTCGAGTTTGGGGATATATGCAAATCATAAAGCATTAAGAAATCAACTAACGCCGATCCGGACTCGTCTTTTGAAAACCAAAATCATGCACCGAGGATAAGAAACCCAAAAATGACCCTCAAACTCAAAAGGTTGTGTCCATCGTATCATCTCCCGCGTCAAGGGCGTTTTGCCTCTCTGGATCTGGGGCGACGACGCCGCGCCCTCTACCGGCTAACAGCTCACGCCTGACCTCAGGCCCGATATCTTTGTGTCCACGGACGAGCAGCAAGTCTAAGAGAGCTTCTCGCTGATCCTCGGTGATGTCGTTTCGGTAACGCTGGGCGAAGACCAAAAGTGATTGATGCCAAAGCACAGGCAGTTTATACGCTTTGGTGTCACGAGAGGGCCCGTCTGTCATTGAATCCTCTGGGTCGGCAGCGCGGAATCTCAGAAAATGGAAAACCAGGGCATCAATAACCTTGTACGGAAGGGCGTACTTCTTTTCCAGGAAGATTCGAATAAAAACATTCACTGCCCCAGTGCTCTCCAATGACTTCATTGACTGCTCCGCAGCCAAGTCACACATGCGAAGCAATGCAGCCGCTGAATGTAAAACGGGGATGGAGACACGTGCAATCACAGAAGAAACGATGTGAGCTTCACGTAGCGTGCATGTTCCACTAGAGACCAGAGGGAACAGCAGCCCCTTGAAGAAGCAAGCCGGCTTATAGAGCGCCTTCTTCATCGCATTGTATGTATGCACATTCAGCTTCTTCGTCTCGAATATTTCCTCGCGCACCCGCTCAAGCAATACTGTCGAGATAAACTCCTGCGCAACAATCGGTTTGTGCGAAATGAAAATCCGCGTTCCAGCGTATACAGCGTTGGCAGTCCACGACTCGGGGCGGGTGATTGAAAGGAGAGTCTGCCAGTTCGGAACGGTAGGGAGAATCTTGAATGGCTTTGGGAGAGGCCCGGACTTGTATCGCGACAAAATCATGCCGACCCTGTAGCCGGTTAGCACCAGCAAGGAACCCAATTTGATAGCACTCACTTCTCGTATACTTCGACAGCCTTTGCTGGTATTTGAACAGCATCTTCTGGCAGGCCTCCACCTTGAATCATAGGCCCAGTGTGTCCCGCCTGCTTCGCTTCATGCTCTGCGATCTTTTCCAGAATGAGATCCGCAAGGTTTGTAGTCTGGCCACCAGTGTCGGTACCACGAGGGTTAAAGATCGGATCCTCCTCGCCTCGGGGGACAAACTTGTGGAACATGTCGAGATCGTTCGGATCAACCTCCTGTGCCGGTTAGAGATGCACAGTGCTAAGACGGTTGATTTACATACCACTTCCTCGACCTCCTCCTCATCATCCCATTGTTCTTCGTTGAATTTTCCATCGTCATCCGAGTAGATATCTTCATCCTCAAATCGAGACTCGAAATCGAATGCCGAATTCCCCTGCCCCGCGTCGACCACCCGCGCAGCGTTTTGTTCGGCGGCATCTTCATCGGCAAGTTCTTGTCCAATCTGCAGAATCTTGCGCGACGTCTTTGCGTCAACGAAGCGCTCTGCATTCTCTTGCTCCTGTTCCGCCTTTGATTTGCGTTTATCCTTCTTGCTTGGATGCGTTCGTAGGTGGCCCGTACTCAGAATGTCCTCGGCGAGAGGGTTGTGTCGGCGGCCAGCAGCGGCGGCGCGAGAGGATGTGGCCTTTGGCATGGTGGCTTTCTTCTGATCTGGTGAAGCGGCAAAGCTGGTTCCCTAAGCCGGGTTGTCACTGGGCCGCTATCTCTTGTCCGTTAAGGCAAGCACGGTAAATAATCTTTTCGGTCGAAGCCGTCAATGTGTGTAAATTTCTCGATCATGTGATCTATTTTTTTTATTGCGACTTTTTCCAGCGGGCTTATCGCTGTCACCGCCTTTGGTGCCCCTCCAATCTCCGCTACCTACTGTTGATCGGCCAAGAGGCCTGGCTTTCTGCCGTGCTTATCCGCTCTGTCTGTCCTAAAGTCGCGACCGTTCGGAGATATCCAAAAGCTTCCACCGCATCCAAAACACCCTCTCCACGGTATGTTGCTCTGCTCTTTCCCCTACCTGCACCCCATCTTTAGCTCATTAAACGGCAGCTGCAGCTCTATTACTGAGTTATCACCATAGCTGCCTCAGCCATATCATTCACGTAATTGCGCACTCCCCATGACAACCTGACACTCTCTCCGCGCATCTACCGATTACGCTCGTCGCAAGAGCCGTCTACCACGCGCCGCTGAGCGGACCTCAGGCCGCCGCCGCCAAACTCAGAGTACTGTTTTGTAGCCCTGCAAGATGGCGTCTACGCACGCAGCCGGATCGCCTGCTCCGTCTTCCAACATCAATTCGCCCGTCCTGAACCCTACACTTACCGGTCTTCCGAATGGGCCTCTATTAGACGGAAATGTACGATCTTCCCCAGCGCCGTCGACCACCGCGTCGGGTCAAGCGGACGGTGCAAGGTCGAAGCGTAACAAACGCGATAGTCGAAAGAAAAGGGAGGCAAAGGGATTAGACCAGGAGGGTCCACCACCTAAGAAAAAAGCAGTTACTGTGCATAACACCGCGATTCCGAGCTCAGATCTTACCATTCTAAGGCCAATAGCAGTTGGGGAACCAAAGTCGTCCGATCTACTACCACCGCAATCTCGCCAATTGAATTTCGCAGTTCGAAAAATGTCTGGTGTTCTGGGGCGGAGTTGGGATTTCTACGAAGTGGTTGACAAGCTCACAAATAAAAACGGTTTTCGCTATACCTATGCCATTGCTGACACTGGGTTTCCGCATATTAAGTACCGGCAGACAGATGTTCCTCCATACCACGCTCGATTTAGCTTTGAAGACTCCCCCGCTGCGATTCTATTTTCCAAGGACGCTCTCGCGGTGACTACGAGTGATCCATGGCACACAGCGCGTGCCAACGTATGTGCGCGCGAAGGGACTTATTATTATGAAGCTCGGATCATAAGTGGTGTGATGAATGAACCAGGTGCAGCAGTACCTTTGAATGGAAACACGAAGCCTAGTCTGCCAGCAAGAGGCCACATACGTCTCGGGTTCGCGCGGCGAGAGGCAGATCTCGATGTCAACGTTGGTGTTGATTGTTATGGGTATGGCATCCGCGACGTGAACGGCGAAGTTGTCAACCGAATGCGATGCGAATACTTCTTTCCAAAGGGCGAATCAATCCGCGAAGGCGACGTTATCGGCATGCTCATAACCCTCCCGCCTCTCTCACTTCAGAAGAAGATTGTGGAAGGAACATACGATCCAGCATCGGACGCGAAACACGAGCCTCCTTTAGCGCCAAACCTCATCCGTGATCGCATCCCCTTCCACTACAAGAATGACTTTTGCTGGCAACAATCCAACGTCTTCCCCACCAAACAGTTGCGCGACTACGCCTTCAACCTCAAAGAAACCCCAACATTCGGTCCGCCATCACCACTAAATGTGGAGGATGCATCTCTACGCACATTACCCGACTCGAGCATCACAATATACAAAAACGGTGTGAAAATGGGAACCCCATTCAAGGAACTATACGCCTTTTTACCGCCAGCGTCTAGACTCGCTAACGGCACCAACAATCTCGGCCTCGGCGAGCGAGAAAACGCCGACGATGGCATGATTGGCTACTATCCAGCTGTCAGCTGCTACGGCGGCGGTGCCGTCGAATGCCGCTTCCAGAGCCCGTGGTGGTACGGTCCTCCGTCACACACGGAAACTGGCGAACCCATCCGGGGTATAGGCGAGCGCTTCAATGAACAAATCGTCGAAGACGTCATTGCAGATATCATCGACGAGGTCGAGGCTATGCTCGTTTGGGGCGATGCTGATGACGGCGGCGACGTCGTCAACAATGCCGAGATGGATGGCTCTGGTAGCGGTGCCGTAGGCGGCACGGATGTCCTCAAAAACGGCGTCGGTGCGGCCTACGACTCTGCGCTGGCTACAGCATCTGTTCCTGTGGGTGGTACCGCCATCAAGCTTGCGGATCAGGATACGACCAGGGCCGCCGCGGGCTTTGAGGATGCGATGAACATCGGTGCTGCGAGTACGCCGATTGCGGCTCCCGACGTTCCGGAGCCAGAGGATACTCCGATGAACGGAGTTTGAGTTGCGAGTTTATCTTGACGTCCTCTTTTACTCTGTGGGTTGGTTTGGTCTTTTTTTTGCCTTTGTGTACGCTTATCTGGAGCATTACATGAAGCGGGAATGGGGTTGGAGTGTACAGTATATTTTCATCTTTTATACCATATGACAGGGTTGGTCTGTTTACGATACTCCTGGCTGTTCCGCCCACCTTTATCATACAATACACAATTATATCCCATACCCTTCCAGCAGCTCTCCTACTTTCAGAACAAGCTCATCATCACCATACTGGCCGACTACCTGAATCCCCGCGAGATCCCCTTCTGCATGCCCCTCGCCGTTGCTCCTCCCCGATACAGGAACGGATATAGCTGGGAGACCAGCCAAGCTCGCAGGCACCGTGAAGACATCATTGACATAGGCATCCAGTGGTGACTTTGCTCCACTAGTGCCCGTGAGATCCGATATGCTCGGCGGCGGAGAAGGCGCAGTCGGGCAGATGAGGACATCGACGCCAGCTTGTTCGCTTTGCTGTTCGGTGCTAGATGCAGGCAGAGGGTGCTCCGCTCTGAACACGGCGTCAAAGTCATGCCGGACAAGGCGTCGGATGCGCTGGGCCTGGAGGAAGTAGTTGTCGATGGCGTCGGCGCTGAGACTGAATGCGCCGAGCATAATCCGTCGCTTGACCTCGGAGCCGAAGCCTTTGCCTCTTGTTTTCGCGTAGAGGTAGCTCTCTGATTTGTCCTCGTCGCTGTCGCGGCCGACGGTTTGCGTACCGTACCGTACGCCATCGTATTTTGCCAGGTTGGAGGATGCCTCGGCGGGGGCGAGTATATAGTATGCTGACAACGCTGACTTTGTCATTGGAAGAGAGACGGGATGGATGGTATGTCCTTGCTGGCGCATGTGCTCTAATGAGCGATACCATGCCCGCCGCACAGAAGGGGCGAGTTCGCATATGTTGTATTCGAGAGGAACGCCGATTCGGAGGGAAGGGGAGACTGGCCGGGAGGAGAGATCTAGTTTCGATGCTATCCGAGAACGTGACGATGGAGGAAGGCTTGTCGGGTCCCGAGGGTCATGCTGGTTCAGGACGCCTGTCATTGTCAGTGCCCGCCAGCCAGGACATGTGAACACTCTTACCGAAGACATCCCTGACTGTTGATGTCCGCTTCGCAAGAATCCCAACTGTGTCCAGTGAGTTTGCGTATGCGACAACACCCCATCGAGAGACCAGCCCGTAGGACGGCTTGAATCCAACTATCCCTGTAAACGCAGCAGGAAGGCGGACCGATCCGCCAGTGTCCGTCCCTATCGCACTGTTTATCATTATCATTAGACGAAACACATAGCAACAGACACAGCACATACGAATAGCATTGGTCTGTAGCGACAGCAACTGCGCTCCCGCCAGAACTTCCTCCGGCCGAAAGGTGGCCTGCATCTCCGCATCGTGCGCTCTTGACCGGTCCGAAATGTGAATGAATTGAATGCGATCCCATACCAAACTCATCTAGGTTGGTCTTTCCAGCGACAATGGCTCCGGCTTTCTCCAATTGCCCAACGACCGTCGCGTTGAATGGGCTTGTAAAGGTCTCGAGGCTTTTCGAAGCGCATGTTGTAGGCAGATCACGAGTGCAGATGTTATCCTTGAACGCGATCAAGCGGCCGTCTAGTCTGGATTTTGGGTTTCCTTGATGATTAGTCGAAAACTCGCGCGCTCGATGGATAGCATACCTTGTTCCCAGCGGAGATCCGCATCTTTTACCTGGTCTTGCCATCGACCGGCGTTACGGCGCAGGGGGGTTATGAAGGCATTTAGGGCGAGGTGGGAGCTCTGGTTGGCGACGATTTTCTCAGCTTCCAACAGGAGGGACATTTAGACTGGAGATGGTTTGCGCGAGAGCGAATTGGCAATGCGGAGGTCGAATTCTGGATGCCACGCATGGTCCGTGCGTTATCAATTACTACGAATAGTATATCCTACTACAACGTTCTATCACATCACGAGCTTCGGATTGATTAAAGACTTGCTTCACGAAAAACGTAGTAGATTATAGGACTCGGGAGGTATTTGCAATGGTTGGATTGGATTATCACTGTCTATAATAGCGCTCGAGGCGTCGAGCGTTTTATATATTCCTGCGTACATACCTAGTGTAATCTTTATGGGCTCAATTCTCGCGGGTATCCTATATATAGACTATATTGAGCCAACCTTTCCAGGTCACTATTTAGACCGTAGTTTTCCATTATTTATTGGTGAAGAGCCGCTCCGAGTCGGCAGCTTGCAGAGCTCCGTCGGCCCGAGGGGGAGAGATCGACGTCATCCGCATCTCCCCCCGTCAAGCTCTCAGAACTTCTCCCGACAATTGATTTCTCAATCGCGATCAAAGCCTGACATCAGTCACAATGTTCTCACGCTGCATTTCCCGGTCGGCGACGCGAGTCCCGATTCCAAAGTCCGCTGTTTCCTCGTCCTTTACCCCTGTCGCCGCCGCCGTCGCACGTCAAACGCGGCTACCGAATACATGCCTCGAGGGCCGGAGATATATCTCTGCGTACGGATATACACAGGCCAAAGCGCTCGTCTATTCTAAATATGGCGAGCCAAAAGATGTTCTTCGGTGAGTAGACTGATTCTGGATTTTCAAAAGCAGTATTGCTGATAATGCTCAGATTGCACAAGCACTCGATTTCTGCTCCCCACGCAACCCAAGTGAACCTCCGTCTCCTCGCCGCGCCATTGAACCCCGCCGACGTGAATCAAATACAGGGTGTCTACCCCAGCAAGCCCCCATTTGAGACGACACTTGGTACACAGGAGCCCTCTGCCATTGCCGGAAATGAGGGCGCGTTTGAAGTTATCGCGACCGGGCCCGACGTCAAGAGTCTTGCCAAGGGTGACTGGGTTATTATGAAGCGCACAGGGCAGGGTACCTGGCGGACACACGCGCAACTGGATGAGTCGCAATTAATCAAGGTTGAAGACCAAACGGGGCTGTCACCGCTGCAGGTCAGCACTGTGAGTGTGAACCCCGTCACCGCGTATCGAATGATCAAGGATTTCTGCGACTGGGATTGGATGCGTGCCGGAGAGGAGTGGTTGATCCAGAATGGTGCGAATAGCGGTGTTGGGCGCGCGGCTATCCAGCTTGGGAAGGAGTGGGGCATCAAGACGCTGAATGTTGTTCGTGAGAGGAAAACGCCAGAGGAGACGGAGGAGCTGAAGCAGGAGCTGAAAGATCTTGGAGCGACTGCGGTGGTCACAGAGTCTGAGCTGCTTTCTGGAGAATTCAAAAACATCGTCAAGGAGCTCACTCGGCAAGGAAAGGAGCCCATCCGGTTGGCTCTGAACTGCGTCGGAGGGAAGAATGCAACGGCATTGGCCAAGGTCCTGGCTCCGGGCTCGCACATGGTCACGTACGGTGCCATGTCAAAGCAGCCTGTTGCTCTGCCATCGGGGCTTTTGATTTTCAAGGACCTTGTGTTTGACGGGTTCTGGGTGAGCCGCTGGGGCGACAAGAACCCGCAGCTCAAGGAGAACACGATCAAAGATATCTTGCAGCTCACACGGGCTGGAAAATTCAAGGATATACCCGTCGATGAAGTAAAGTGGAGCTGGAACACCGAGGGCCCCGAGCTTGCAGCCTCTGTGCAGGAAACTCTCAGCGGGTATAGGAGTGGAAAGGGCCTGCTTAGATATGAAGGGGACGATTAAAGTCATTTGTATGATATGCCATATGCTTGAATTGTGTAAAACATCATTTCCACGTAGTTAACACGCACTTTCTAGTATGCGGTTGGATTGTGACTAAACCAACAACGTCTGACAGGGCAGACAGCAGACAAATGCATTTCCTAAAGCGGCGGCCGGTATGTACCCTATCTATGCCGGACAACCCCAGTTGTCCTTCACCCACTGTACTATAATGTCCGTCAGTGACGTCGCCGGCATGTAAACATCACTTTCCAGAGGTACATCGACATTGAGCCCGGCGTATCTGGCGGCCAAGGTAATGTATGGCTCAATGAAGTCGACGTATACTAGGTCCACAGTTTCTGGTGTAGCGGATTTGTCGTCGAGGATCAGCGCACCTATGCAATTCGGTATCTCGTAGAAATCGATCTGCGAATGGATGGTATCATCACCGTCTGTGCCGAGATCGTCTATCGTTGTGTATCCAGGCACAAGCTCAAGCTGAGGATCGGACATGGGCTTCTGGTTGAAAGGCACACTCAAGCTACCGCGGCTGGATCTGATGTCGTGGTGGGCGGCCTGTTCAGGAGGGGCCAGACTCCATGGGATCGGCCCGGCTGCATCTTTTGTCAGAATTTTTGGTTGTCTGTTCAAGACCTCCAGAACCAATGCTGCCTTTTGATATGGGACATCCTTTAGATAGCGAAAGCCGCTTGTAAATGGGGAAACAATATACGCCGAGTCGCGTGTGAACTCTCCCTTGAAAAGATCAAATCGGATAGCCCCAGTATTTGCAATCGCAAGGGCTGGCTTCCCAGACCGGGACCTGTCCCTCAGCGAGTCGGGCAGCACCTTCTCGTGTAACCAAGCGTAGATACTTTCCTTGGAGGTATAAGGGACTCGTGACATCCACAAAGTTTCCGGAATGCAGCCATAAATTTCGTCCAGCTGAAGAACAGCCCTAGATTCATGGATATAACGAGAAACGTTGCGGCCGTGTTCGGTGGGAAATGTATCCTCGTTGAGACCGGTATGATAATGGAAAGAGTAGAGGTTGTTGTCTATATATTTTCGGTTGAAGACAGGACTTTTCAACTTATTCTCCGGGTTGCTTTCGGTAGCAAGGCCATCAATTGACATGAATCCAATGGTTTCCATGAAACGGCCGCTGGCAAGCCCGTATGCATTAGAGTCATATTGAGCACAGTCTCGGATGTGGTAATGACCGCCGAAGAATTGAATTGGCGTGTTTGGGTGGATGGCTCTGATTGCCGCAAAGACAGCGTTGTACTCGGGTGAATGGACTGGAACATGTCCAACTACCAGGAAGAGATCTACCTCATCGTCAAGAATAGCTCTTTGAAACCACTCTTCCTCGACAGTTTGCTCGACAGGATGGACGAGTGTATTGTTATAATTCATCGTAAAGTCGAAAAGGAAGCCAAACGCGACGATGCGAATCCCTTGATTCTCCGTAACAAACTTCTTGAAACGCGGAGCCAATGGCACTAGTTCTCCTGTAGCCGGATGGAAAATGTCAATATTAGACGCGAGATAATGACCTTGAAAGGTCGGTACGGTCTTCAAAAACTCGGAATCCGAGGTGCTCTTCTTGTATAATTCATGGTTCCCCGACGACAATATGTCAATATGCTGCTGCCGTAGAATCTCAGAAATGTAGAGGCCCTTTGGCTCTGACGAATCGTAGAGGCCATTTCCCTCTACTCTATCGCCGGTGTCAATGACCAGAAGATCTTGCCCACGAGCACCGGCTATTCCACGCATTCGGGTAGCAAATGACACATAGTCGCCCCAATCCGCGGAATATGATGGTCTACAGACGTTTAGTGCTGGAGTGGATGAAGATGGGCTTCATACTCTTGAAGATGACCGGCCAGCCAGCCATGTGTATCTGTAGTGTGAAGAAAGTTAAGCTGACCCCATTTTAGATCGCGTAGGGGAGCTGCGATAGGTTCTGGAGCAGAGGGTTGCACAGCATTGACAGGTGAGAGCGCTGATAGAGCCGACAGGACAAGAAACGACCCAAGGCGTAGAGCCATCCTTAAGCAAACGCAGAAAATTGATTCGGTTATATTCAAGAATGGTCATCGAGATCGCGAGCCATTATTGTACTACACCGTAGTTGATGGCTGGGGACCTCCAGTGATGCACTTTCCTCAAATCGGACGAGAGATAGCGGATGGCACGTGATATTGGTTTGCTCACAAGGGCTAAGCGCGGTGTCTCTCCTGGCCACAATCTCGGATTACTTGAGGAAGTGGTAGAGAGTTGGCCCGGTGCATGATTTGTCACGTAGCGTGCTAGCTGTGTAGAAAAGTACACATGTAGACTGCATCACGGGGTTTTCAGGACGGGAATCTCACATCAAAGAAACCTTGGAAGGGCTTCGGGGTTTTTAGTTATACGAGGCCGATAAAAGGGTAGGCTCGGAGGAGCAATTGCCCGGAAATTGAGCTTATCAGAGCCTGCGATTCGAGGGAAAAAAGTGGATATGGAAGAAGGCGCCGGTGAGCAGGGCTTAGTCAGCCTCACCCCAACGCTGAGCTCCTCACCAGAAAAATCGCATCCCGACTCGGAATGAGTTGATGGTTGATAGCCCGGTTGCTTTTTTGGTCTCGTCTCTCTCCGCCTCGTCTGGTAGTGGAGTCTTTCTTTTGAATACCCTTCCTCTGTAATCCTACCACCTACCCTTCAGCCCGGCCATGGCTTCTCCCCGACTCTTCCGACCGGCAGCTCGCCTGCTTTCTTCGCGCCTCTCAACGGCGGCCACCCGCCCTGCTTTCCGTCAGACTGCTTGCGCACCCTCAATTCTGCGCTACCGGGGATATGCTACGGAGAGCGGCACCAAGGAGGTCACTGTACGAGATGCCCTGAACGAGGCTCTCGCTGAGGAGTTGGAGAGCAACCAGAAGACGTTTATTTTGGGTGAGGAGGTTGCGCAGTACAACGGAGCGTATGGCTTTCACTTTCCGGACAACCATCATCGATTGAATCATGTATCTGATACTGACTCTTTCTTCTCAACAGATACAAGGTCACTCGAGGTCTCCTGGACCGCTTCGGCCCCAAGCGCGTTATCGACACACCTATCACAGAGGCAGGTTTCTGCGGTCTGGCTGTCGGAGCTGCTCTTGCCGGGTTACACCCTATTGTATGTATATCACTGCGTATTAGAGATATAATCTAGGCTGACCACACAATCGAACCGCAGTGTGAATTCATGACCTTCAACTTTGCCATGCAGGCCATCGATCAGATCATCAACTCCGCCGCCAAAACACACTACATGTCCGGTGGTATCCAGCCTTGCAACATCACTTTCCGTGGCCCCAACGGTTTCGCCGCCGGTGTTGCCGCTCAGCATTCGCAGGATTACTCCGCCTGGTATGGTAGCATTCCGGGATTGAAGGTTGTTGCTCCCTGGAGCGCTGAGGACGCCAAGGGTTTGATGAAGGCCGCCATCCGCGACCCCAACCCCGTCGTTGTTCTCGAGAATGAGTATGTATACTTGAAAGCTCAAAAGGGACCAAACTAACTTGTATAGACTTCTGTACGGCCAGGCCTTCCCCATGAGTGAGGCTGCTCAAAAGGACGACTTTGTCCTCCCCATCGGCAAGGCCAAGATCGAGCGCCCCGGAAAGGACCTCACCATTGTCACCCTCTCCCGTTGCGTCGGACAGTCTCTCAACGCTGCTGCTGAACTGAAGCAAAAGTACGGCGTTGAGGCTGAAGTCATCAACCTTCGCTCTGTCAAGCCCCTCGACGTTGAGACCATCATTCAATCCCTCAGGAAGACCGGCCGCCTGATGTGCGTCGAATCTGGCTTCCCCATGTTCGGTGTCGGCTCCGAAATTCTTGCTCTCTCCATGGAATACGGTTTCGACTACCTGACAGCCCCTGCTGTCCGTGTCACCGGTGCCGAGGTTCCCACTCCTTACGCTGCCGGTCTGGAGGCTCTGAGCTTCCCCCAGGAAGACACCATCGTTGGTCAGGCTGCAAAGCTCCTCCGATTGTAAATTCCGCCGGTCGACGCATCGACCTAGTTTCCCAAATGCCACTTGTCGTTGATGCGGTGTTCTTTCCAGCTTGACCAGGTGTTATGATTTGTGTACTATTATCTTCTAGCACTTTTAGACCAAAATCCAGAGCATGTCAATGAAATGGAGATATAATCTTTTTTCCTCTCGCCAGCTTTTGTTTGCACTGCACTGTACAGTTAGTTTTCGCGTTGTAATTTGTGCCTATATGGAGTTCAGAAACGCCGCCAACGCCTGCTCTACCCATTTATTTATATTTCAATTCCAATCTCAAGTCCAAGCCTGGGCCCGGATATGGTGGCTCCCCGCGCATTCAGGGAAGCAATCAGTCGGTCTGCGCGGATCATAGTAACCCCCACCCGCATTATCAGCCGCATACTGTTCATCTGTGTCGCTCTCCCCTCCAGCTTGCAAGGAATTAGGAGGTGGTCTTATAGACCTCGGATGAGCCGCATCACTCGCACCCTCCGCACCGCCCGTACTTCCCTCGTCATCATCCTCCCCAAGAACGTTCTTTTTCGCAGCGGGTCCCTTGACAGTCGTAAACGAACTCTTGAACCCTCCCTTTTTGAAACCGCCACCGCCTCCACTACTTGTCGTGCTTGATGGGGCTGTGCCCGTCTTCCCCGCGTCTAGAACTCTCAGGCCAGCCTCTGCATCAGCTTTCTTCTCGGCCCGCCTCGCCTTTTCGGCTGCCAGTGGGTCTCGGGAGAGCTGTTTAAGGTCTTGTAGGCGCTTGCGATGTTGGTGGTCGTAGGAGGATATGTGCGCTTCATATTCGGGGTGGCGGGAGTAGGATTTGTTGCAGAGGGTGCAGGTGAAGGAACTGAGCGCGGAGCGCGCTGACTCGGTCTTGTATGAATTAGTTAAGGTGAGGATCGAACGGGGTAAAATTACCTTCGGAGCCGGGTTCGTAAAGCCTCGCTGCGCCATTTTTGTTAGATATAGCGTATGGATTGTTCTCGATTGCAGCACTCACTGGAGCCATGTCTACCCTTTTGCCTGCAAGCTAACTCGTCAGTACTGAAGCTAGGCGCCCGAAACTATGATAATGAAGTGTTCTGCATCTATATCATTCGAACGTATGTGACCTCTTTGATAACAATATAATTCGGACAGTCGTGTTGAGCGAGGCCTGCTCAAGGCCGGGAGCGTCAAATTGATTCTGCCCTCCCTGAGCTAAGGTATGTACCGCCGACAGTGGACTGCGATTAAGAGCCAAGTCTTCTTACGTGATACAGAGCACAGAGTACCTACAGTACCAGTGATTGATGAATATCACGTGAATGGTGGACTTTTAAGCTTGCGACGAAGGCAGCGTGGCCCTTGGTAATTACAATACTGAGGCTTTCCTTATCCGGGCTTCATACCACGTGGCTTACGATGGCCAGCCTGTATTTCGGTGTACGAGAGACGTCACAGGCTTACCTGATTCGAAGCTCAATAGGCATAGTATTAATAACTTCCTATTACCCTTGAGGGTCTTCATTCCTTCTCTGCTCGACTCTCGAGCGCCCTATTGCTCGCCTCGCAATCACATACAAAGTCTGCCTTGTGAAATGGCCGGCTGGTCGCTTCGCGGGCTCCCCCAGAGCGCCGGACGCTCCTGGGTCTCCTTGCCAATTCTCTCGACTTGGACGCTATCGCTATACCTTCTATTGAATCCTGTGACAGTCACGGCTCAGTCTGCAGCAGACTACTATGTAAGCTCATTGCCAGGGGCCCCAGAGGGCCCGCTGCTGAAGATGCATGCTGGGTAAGCTACTTACGGACTCCTGTCAACTCTATACGCAACTAACTATCCCTCTCTCCATCAAGGCATATCGAAGTAGACCCGGAGAACAACGGCCATCTCTTCTTCTGGCACTACCAGAACCGGCACATCGCGAATCGTCAACGCACCGTTATCTGGTTGAATGGCGGTCCTGGGTGTAGCTCAATGGATGGCGCACTCATGGAAATCGGCCCCTATCGTCTCAAGGACAACGAGACACTTGAATACAACGAAGGATCATGGGACGAATTCGCAAATCTTCTTTTCGTTGACCAGCCTGTCGGAACTGGTTTTAGCTTCGTCAACACCAACAGCTACATCCGTGAACTAGATGAAATGGCTAATCAGTTCATTACGTTCTTGGAAAAGTGGTTCGCTCTCTTTCCGGAGTATGAGCGGGACGATGTACGGACTCAACTTTAACGGGCATCACTAAGTCGGGTTTACTTGTACTAATTCATATTTCTCGCCAGATTTATCTCGCTGGAGAGTCCTATGCCGGTCAATACATTCCCTACATCGCAAAAGCTATTCAAGACCGGAACGAAAAACCCGGTGGAAGCAAAGCCATCTGGAGCCTTCGCGGTCTCTTGATCGGTAATGGCTGGATATCACCTGCTGAACAGTACCCGGCCTACTTGGCTTACGCGTACGAAGAAGGCCTCGTCGAAGAGGGTAGTAAGCTCGGAAACGAGCTCGAAGTTTTACAATCTGTTTGCAAGTCTAAAATGGGTACCGGTACTCCAAAAGTGACAATCAACGACTGTGAGGAGGTTCTGAACAAGTTACTATCAAAAACCCATGACTCGAACAACCAATGCTTGAACATGTATGACATTCGCTTGCGTGACAGCGCCGACTCTTGTGGCATGTCTTGGCCCCCAGACCTGGTGGATGTCAAGCCGTATCTGCAAATGCCCGAGGTTGTCCTTGCGTTAAATATTAACCCAGACAAGCGATCTGGATGGGACGAATGTGCAGGCGATGTGAGCCGCTCGTTTCGGCCACAGAGATCCCCGCCCTCAGTCACTCTGCTTCCAGGATTGCTCGAGTCAGGCGTTGAAATTCTCCTTTTCAGCGGTGACAGAGATCTCATATGCAACCATGTCGGTACGGAGCATCTCATTAGCAACATGAAATGGAATGGTGGCGCCGGTTTTGAGACATCGCCGGGTGTCTGGTCGCCACGCCACGACTGGACTTTTGAAGATGAGCCAGCAGGTTTCTACCAGAGCGCCAGGAACTTGACCTACGTTCTTTTCTACAACGCCAGCCACATGGTTCCGTTTGACTACCCTAGGCGGAGCCGGGACATGGTTGACCGTTTTATGAACGTCGATATTGCCAGCATCGGAGGCTCACCAGCGGACTCGCGCATTGATGGCGAGCCGCTCCCCCAAACGTCCGTTGGTGGACACCCAAACAGTACAGTCGCCGAAGAGGAAGAAAAGCAAAAGATCAAAGAAACCGAATGGAACGCCTATGCCAAGTCCGGCGAGGCCGTTCTCGTTGTAGTCATCATTGGTGTCTTGGTCTGGGGTTTCTTCATCTGGCGCAGCCGCCGCCGACACAGTGGCTATAGCGGGCTGGCACTTAAGGATTTGAGCTCCACTTCTGTCCTAGATCGTTTCCACAACAAGCGCACTAATGGAGCGGACGTTGAGGCTGCTGACTTTGACGAGTCTGAGTTGGATGATCTTCACTCGCCAGGTATGAACAGGGAGCGCTATGCCGTGGGAGATGACAGTGACGAGGAGGCAAACCGGCAGCAGCAACAACCTCAGGGATCCTCATCTCGAGCTGGGGCTGCGCAGGGAGTCTAGTCTCTCCTTGTTTCTATCTATTCCTCTTTTTTCTCTTGGATCTTCATATTCCTCTTGGCCTGTTCTATTTTCTATATATCACTGCAATAACATCGGCTTGACACCGCGTCAATAGTACGACTTGAGGCTTATGGCTCTGCCGTCTATGGATTATAAACTGTCCCGCGTACATATGCAGCGTGTACACTGCAGCGCCTGCATCTCTCGCGGGATCAAACAACTTACCGCGTAATACTCCAAACCTTGATACTCCCATCATCCGCAGTGGAGACCAGCACTTCCTCTTCCTTCCTTTCATCCCGACTTCGATCAGCCCGCTTTGCCCACGCAACATGATTTATCTCGTAGATTCCATGAGCCCCGTCCACAATTGCAATTATCTTCCACTCCGTAGACAGATGTGGTGCCGTAGCCTCCACCTCAGCAGGAGTTGAAGAGTCAGTCTCCATAGGCTCACTGGTTAGGGACACAAATCGCTCCTCATACACGACGATGCGTCCATCAGCACCCACCGACGCCAGCAGGCCCGTCCGGCGACTCCAAGCAATAGCGTAGATGGAGAGAACATGCGCTGTTGGGAGAATAGCATCTTCTTCCCAGGTCTCGTCTGTCCCCGATGGCCGAATGATACTCGGGATTCCACTCGCTCCTAGAGCGCTCGCCGGTGCCTTGGGTTGTCGTCGCCAGACACGAACAGTCTTGTCGTGCGAGCAAGTTGCAAGACGGGGACCGGCCAGCGCATGCCACTGCTTCCATGACTCCACCTGAGCAGATGAGGCGTCTGAAGAAGAAGGAACATTCTCAGTAGCCTCCCAATCGACACCCCAAACTGTTCCCCCATGACCCCGAATGCAAGCAACCTGTCCCCAGTCGTCGATATCCTCGCGCCAGATCCGGACCGTATCATCGTAGCTCCCACTAGCAAGACACTCCTCCGTAGGGTGCCACGCCACGCACTTGACATCCCCCTCATGCTCCTGCATCACAGCAACGGTTTCGAAATTGTTATCCCCGTCATCAAGGTCCTCCCAGATCCAGATCGACTTGTCCCGCGAGCACGTAGCAAGCAGCGCACCAGACGCCGACCACGAGACGGACTTGACCTCGCTGTCGTGTCCGTCGAGGAGCACGGCGAATCGCCACTCCTCGTCGTCTTCCTCTTCACCTCCCTCGGCTTCTATCCAATCCTCGTTTTGAACGCCATTACGTTGTTGTCGCTGCCGCGCCGTCTCCTCGTAATTATCCCACCACCGCCAGATACCGACGGTTGCGTCGAAGCTCCCCGTTGCAAGGACGCTCTCGCCGGAGATGTTGGGTTTCCAGGCGCAGGTGCGGACGCTCCGCTTGTGGCCACCGGAGATGGTGGAAAGGAGGCGGAAATTTGTTAGGGAGTACACGCGCACGGTTTTGTCGGAGCTGCAGGTTGCGACGAGGGGGAGGGTGGGATGTGGTGAGGTGAGCCAGGCGCGTTCGAGGGAGGGCGGGGTGAGGTCGGAGAGGAAGGTGAGCGTGACGGCTTTTTCAGCTGCCATTGTCGGTGTTGGTGAAAATATTCTGGCAGAATGCTGTTTTGGTTGGTTTAATATCTTTGCAGAATCATTTGGACTGTTTCCTTCTGGGGTTGACGTGGGTGGGGTGCAGGCTGGCAGAGCCTGGTGGGGCTTGAGATCAGAGATATCCGCGGATGTTGGTAAGTACGGAGTACAAAGTATCCAGACGAGGAAGAGAGAATTCATGCCTGGCGGTAAAAATAGTAAATGCATTCTTATACGCGTCACTTCATCAGAAGCTGCCGTCATAAAACCAGCGAGATAACTAACTACAGAAAGCACACCCGTCCCAAATGCCCTCCAAAACTCAATATCAAAAAAAATAATAATCATCAGGATGCGGATTGCAAACTCCTCTACGCCGCAGGACTCATTGGGACACCCTCGCCCAGCATCCGTTCGTATATCATGCCATGGCACAGCCAGTCCACTTCACGCACTTTGCTCAGCTCCTCTGTCAACTGACCAACTTGACTCACAAATTCAGGCATTCCTGCCCCTGCAAGACTTTGACTCGCGGTACTCGTCGCGCGCACCCGTTCACTCGCACTCGATGCGCTGAGTCGAGAGAGCACGTGTGCCCGTAGACGGGACAGGATAAGGCGCGCAACAGGATCTGTAAAGTTTGTTGCACTGCTACCAGCCATACTAGATGACGTTGCGGAACTCACTGATTCCGACGATGATGACTCTTGCGCGGGCGCTTCTCTCACCTCGACCGACGTCCGGGTTTCTGTGAGAGAGGCCGCTGCAGAGGCCGTGGCAACCGGTGACAAGACCCGCCTGATCGTGGCTGCAAGCTGGGAACTCGCGTTAGGAGGCATAGGGTGAGTAGACCCGAGGATCGACTGGATCCGTTCCGGAAGAACATCATTAAAATCCAGTGAGAGTATTCGGTCCGCTTCAGACTTCCATTGGGCGCGTGCATCGCGTTTAAGCAGGTTTTTGGCAGTCAACAAGATCGACGCAGTGGCTACAATCTTGAACGCTTGGGCGTGTATTCTGTTCAGTCTCTGCCTGTCCAGCTCCAAGGTCTCTGGCATCAGGTCGTCGAACACAGGTGCGTTGCTCAAAACCAGGTCCACAAGGCCGTGGGCATACACTTTTGCAGCGGGGGGCTGAGGTTCCCCATGAATGTTCTCGGGGTCGCGCCGTCGCATCTCGTCGGCAATGATCTTACGATGCGTGCGCCAGAAGCGCCGACTCTTGCTTAATTCAAGCGATCCATCCTGCAGACCTCTCTCAAATGTCCTCTGCTCATACCCTGGAGCTTCCTGAATCAGCTGAGGGGCAGCGACTTGAATCATAAAGTTGGTGTGATCAAGAGACAAAAGGTCAATGAGGCCCATAAGCCTCGCCAGGCGATCGATTGCATCTCCCGACAAGTCCTCCGCGAATGCCTTGACAACAGGGTCACGATAGGGTGCGCAGAGCTTCGGAAGAATTGTGTTCATGAAGTTGAAAAAGGCGTCATAAGAGAAAGCACCGGCATTGCACTGGCTCTCAACCAGTTTTGGGTCAAGAACCTCACTGATTAGAACATGAAGGGAGTTTCCAGGCCGGAGAGAGCGTAATAAACGATCCTGAATCACTGTAGCCATCGCTACAATCCAGTTCGTGCCCAACCCAGCCTCCATATCTCGCCGCATCAGAGCACACATATGCTCCATTATCTGCTTGCGGGGCTCCGTGTACGATTTCTCCTCGATCTTGAATTCTTTGTTGATAAGGAGCTCGTGAACCAAGGCACGGTTCTCGGGAAGAGCCGTCAAGATCCTGGTAAATCGCTCATGGGGAGATATGCGCTGCCTTTCGTATTCTTGAAGAACTACGCTGTCCACATTGTTGAAGCTCTCGCTGATGGGCGAGGCAACACTCTCAGTAAGACCTTCGGTTGTTGCCCTTGCCGGCGCAACTTCCGCTGACCGCGGGATGGCCCGTTTGGAAGAAGACTTCTTTTTTTGTCTCTTAGCCTTTTTCAGCGCATCGCGCACCATTTGCATAGCCCTGTCAGGTCCCGCCAGGCGCTTGAGTCTAGCAAGAAGCAGAATCTGATTCTGTCTAATACCTTGACGGTAATCATCAGCCACACCGCCAGCTGTGTCATCCTTGACAGTCTGCCAAATCAACTCTAGCTCGATAAACTGAGCGAGCATGATCTCAATCAGGACGCTCGAATCATGGGTCTTCCAAGCATGGAAGGCGGAAAAAAAGACATTGTAGGCTTCACATAACGTCTGAAGCTCGGAAACCGGTGAGCAATAACCAGAAGAAAGCAAGGGTGTCACGAGCCCAAACGAAGAGAGAAGATCCCGAGCTTTGGAAATCAGATCCTGTTCCTGTTCACCATCACCGCTCAAGACTGCGGCAGGATGTGTGACAATCAAGTAGCTGCTCAGGAATGTACGCACGGCACCTCTGCCGCCAACTGTCCCGCTCTCCATATCTTGCAGACCGCAAAGTCGAAGGACACGGGCGGTCGTAGATAGTACTTGCTCCTCCGATAACAAAGCACCAACATCCTCAAAGGCCATATTGGCAAGGCGCTGTGTGGTGAGATCGAGGTTCAGAAACTCTCTCATCACCTTTCTCGCCCGGTATAGCCTCCATGACCGCTGAATCTTGCGTGTAGCGGTGTCCTCGGTAATGCGTCTCATTGTCACTTCCAGTGTTTTCTTCTCTTCAGAAGTAGGCATACTGCTTGTGCGCTGTCGTCTAGGGGTCTGCTGGTATAGCAACCGCCGCCTTTCTGCCTCTGCAAACTTCTCGGCCATTTCGAGTCGAAGGCGAGCGTGCTCTGCAGCTTTCTTTTCGCGAATGTCTTCCGCCTTCTTCTTTGCGCGTCGAACTTCCTCCTCGCACTTGGCTGTGATTTCCGCTAGTAAGCGCTCTCGAGCTTGCTGAGCGGCCAGGGCCCGTTCCTCTCTCTGCAGATTTCGGGTGGCAGCTTTGGCCAGCGCAGCACGTAGCCTCACTTTCTCCGCATGCAACGCGCGGTCCGCAAGTCTTGCTTTGCGGGTTTCGAGGATCGACGCTCGTCGTAAGTGCTGTGCGATATGCTCGGGGGAGGCTGCTCCATGGGAGCCCGCATTTGAGTGTAGGGAGGAAATCGAGCTCCGTCGGGATGAAGCTGCGGAAGAGCGTCGAACCAGGCTGGGCTTCCGGGCGAAACGCGCGGCGAGATGGGCGGGAAGACTTAGTGAAGGAGGGGTCGAGTCATCGGACAGCATCTCTACGTCCGGTTCGTTCAGGTTATCAGGCGCAACAGCAGGGCCAGCATCAGGCAGCTGGACTTCAATGTCTGAATCGCGACGGATCATGGTCTGGCAAGGCAAGGCGCGGGGGTCGTTTAGCTAACGCATTCGGATGCTTGAGTCTAGGGAGGGGCGATTATCGATAGCGGGAACCAGAATCGACTCATTCAAATCCAGGTCTTTGGGAGGAAGAAGGGGTCGCGCGGAGGTAAAAATAGGTGAGATCTTTCAGCCCGAGGGTTTGCGTCACAGGCAGGTGTCCTGGCGAAATGAAAGAAAGTACAGTTCTAACCGATAATTCGACGAGAGCAGCACTCAAGCTGTATAATGATCCGTGCCCTGTTTCAGAAGCTAACGTACTCGGGGTAAAAACCGAGGTGGGAAGGAGGACTCAGGTGTAGTTTAAGAAAAGAATGACTTTAATGAAGAGAGTAGCTTCACGAGGACTCTAGGAACCGTCGTCTTAAAAATACATAGTAGATGATACGCAAAGATCATGCATGCGTCGCCCAGGTCATTCGGCCGCCGCTACCATCATTGTCAAAGTAAGCAAAGCTCATCTTGATAGTATTTGAAGCCGCCCGGAGAAGGCAATCGAACCGCCCGCAACCGGTGCTTATCTAAGCGCCTCAATTCCAGAGTACTACAGTACATAGAAGGTGACATTCGGATTGAATTCTTGTGTTGTTGGGGTCATATTGCAGCAGGGTCAGTATTCGCCTAGCGGCGGCCTAGTTGGACTACCAGCCTAGGTTTGAGGGTGTGTTCAATGTTGGTTGATCAACCCCCAGTAGCTTCCCGGTAGAATGATATGCTTCTGCTTGAACCAGCTGTCGCAAAGCCCTCCGACTTTCCCACCTTTGGCAGCCACTTGACACTCCATATCGCTTTCTCTGTTTCGGAGTGGGTTGCAACGCAACTCCTAGTATCGATCGACCAAACTTTGACTTTACCATCGAAAGACCTGACAACATCTTTCAGCTTCAAGTCCGTTGAAGAAAGGGGGGTATAGGGCTCACCCGCTGAGAAGATATTCACCCGTGCTACTCCAGGATAGCGATAGAATCCAAGCGGAGTGGCCCGCAAGACTGGCGACTTGCTCACCAGAAGAGGTATCATACAGCACAATCACCCTGGAGTTTCCAGCCGCGGCAAGAAATTTCCCACCGGGAGAAAAGGTAACGGTTCGTACTGGTTTGACGAGACCTAGGACGCGTTTCTCAGCCTTGGCTACTTTGTTGCCGCTTCCTGGGTGTGTAGCTGAGATAGAACACATAGTTACCTGATAGACTAAATGGCATCCGCCCCGTCTCTGTGCTAAAGATATAGACGCTGCCATTTTCGTGCCCACTAGCGATGAGTCGGCCATCGGGTGACTATACCTAGTGTATGAGTATTTGGAAATATAACAAGTGTGTTGGAAATGCTCACCAGATCTATGCAGGTTCCAAAACTACCTTTGGTTTCATGATCTCGGATCTCCTCTTCGTTCGCACCTAGATCCCATACCTTGATATGGCCATTCTGCGTGGTTCCTGCAAGATACTGGCCATCGGCAGATAGTGCAACCGCCCAGACATCAGTAAGAGTTACGTCTTTCATCTTGGACCATGACCCGTCTTGACATGTCCAGATCAGCGCCTCCCCGCCAAAGCCAACACTGACTGCTCTTGATCCTCTTTCGTCAGTCACAACATGGTGACATCCGACCTTGTGGGCTTCAAGGGTTTGGGTAAGAGGAAAGTCGGGATCAGTCGTTGAATGGACTTGGAGGCTATTTGAGCCCGATGCCGATAATATTTGCTTGCCAGTCACGGCCAGCGAGAATATATCAGTAGGGTGCGCTGCAGTAGTCTGTTAGTAGAGGAAACAATGGTGGGGACGTACAAAACCTCTCTACTTACTATTATCGGCAGAGCCATAGGAAAGATATTGTTTAGACTAGAAAAGAGCTCAATTAGAACCATAGACTGTACTTCTGAAGCGAAGGATGCGCCCTACCATCCTTGGATTAAAAATCAGCAAAGTGGTGCGCCACACTCCGGCCAATGCTGCTGGCTGTTGGTGGTTTGAATTCTTGTTGTGGTGGGACGAGCTGCACTGGAGCTGGAGACACAGATGAGATCATCAGAAATGGATTATTACCACGACAGCTTGCACCAACAATTACCACCAGCCTAGTAACATTTCCTGTGGATTCCACAGAAGTCTCATAGTTCTTAGGGAGTCAACTGTGTGACAACATTATAGTACATGAAAGGCAACCTGTCAGGTGACTGGGGCCAAGGCTGGTGCACAACTTCACATGCTGAAACAAGAAGGCAGCGAGCCAACCCAGCTAAACGAAGACTACCTAAAAAGTTCTCCGATCGTTCCTGACAGCTTAGCCCGTCTTAGCTTCAAGGTCTGACCCTCGGCCCTCTTCATACTACCCCCTGCAACATTAACTGCCGAGCTCAACCTTTCATGACTAGGTATATATGCCCCTCCCCATTGAGATCCTTCACTTGCGCTCGGAAGGCCCGCCGTCAACCACACCAGCCAAATTCTCCGCCACTGCCATAAATGACCCATCGTGTCCCCTCGATAAGTCTCAAGAATTAGAACATCGGGCGAAGCACACCGGCAGCGATGAAAAGCACCGCCCTATTATGTCGGACCTAGAGCAAGATGATCGTTCGGGGAGCAATTCGTATGGCAATAAACCTCCGGAGGCTGAAAACCAACAATCGAACACCTCTTCCACGTTACCCTCGACCGACTCGGACGAGCTGTTGCAACCTGAGCATGTCGAATCCCAGGATCCTGTTAGTGAACGCCTTTCGCAGCCTAGAGAGGGCGTAACAAGCGGGACTGCAGGAACCTCGTCTCCCACCGTTAACCAAGAGCTTCCTGTTCCCACTACTACCCGGCATGGTCCGCAAAGCGAATCTGACAATGCACAGGTCCCGGGTGGCTCTATAGACCCGGCCTTGGAAGTGGATGATATCAGTGGGCAATCCTTGCTTCCTGAAGATGACGGAATGGGTGCCCTCCGGAGCCGGATTCATGCAATCCGAGACCTGGGGTATACCAGCACCGATCAGGCGCGCATGATCCATGATCTTATGACGGAAAACTACAACTCATCCAGGGCATTTATGGGAAGTCATCTCTCGCCCATCTCTTCACCCACTCCTTCTTCCCGCACTCTCGAACGAACAGATACTCCCAACCGTTGGAGCGGCCAATCCTTCGATCAACCTTCCGTCTCCTCGGCCTCTACCGCTACATCTGCACTACATGAAATCCTCCAAAACCTAACTGCTGAAGACCTGAAACCAACCTTTTACCCCAGAGTAGAGTCCGAATCACCGGCTGCTGAGGACGCTGAGGACGAGGACATCGAAGTATTCGACGAGCCTACTCTAGGGTGCCCTCATTATAAAAGGAATGTCAAGCTCCAATGCTTTGATTGCAAGAAGTGGTACACTTGTCGGCTCTGCCACGACGAAGTAGAAGATCATCGTCTTGATCGTCCAAAAACAGAGCACATGCTGTGCATGTTGTGTGGGCATGCTCAACATGCCGCGCAATATTGCAAGAGGTGTGGAGAACTAGCAGCACAGTATTATTGCGCGTCTTGCAAGCTTTGGGACAATGATGCTAGCAAAAGCATCTACCACTGCGGTGATTGCGGCATTTGTCGCATCGGCAAGGGCTTGGGGAAGGACTTTTTCCACTGCAAGGTAAGCACTCGACCCACGAGGCTCGGAAGTCTTACCAATTTGATTGCAGACATGCAGCGTTTGCCTTCCTATCTCGATTGAAACGACACACAAGTGTATTGAAAGGTCGACTCAGTGTGACTGCCCAATTTGTGGAGAATACATGTTTACATCTCCAGAGACGGTGGTTTTTATGCGATGTGGACATAGTATCCATCAACGGTGTCTTGCTGAGTATTCAAAATCGTCGTATCGCTGCCCAATATGCAGCAAAACAATTACAAACATGGAAGCTACATTCCGAAACCTGGACAGGACGATTCAAAGTCAACCAATGCCGGCAGATTTCAAGGACACCAAGGCTATCATTACTTGCAACGATTGCGGCACTAAATCGGTCGTCAAGTATCATTGGCTGGGCCTGCGATGTGATATGTAAGTCCAGCAAGGAAAACAACCCAGACTTGAGCTAAAAGAAATTAGGTGCGAATCTTATAATACTACTCAACTCAGCGTTCTCCACGAGAATACCGAATCGTCAGATCATAATGTTGACGTGGAAAATCTACCAACTTCCAGATTGCGATCATCTTCTCACGGCGGAGATAACTCTGACCTGCCTACCCTAGAGCCATTGCAAATCGACCCTAGCTCTGCACCAGGAGCAGGTGCTCATCCGCAATTCGCCTCATCTCTTTCTGCGAATCCGTCTGGACAATTTTCTTCGTACAATCTTACCCGTGGACGCGCTGTCTCCCCCGTGATCAGCAACTATTTTGGTATACCACCTGACCGCCAATCGCAGCGATCTACTTCTACGTCATTTTTCGGGGCTCGATTAAATCAGACTGGCGAGAATGATGGCGATGGCGAACTTAGTATTTGGGGTACACGCTTTAGATACCGAGGATTTTTGAGCAGAGGCACCGATCCGGCCGATGAAACCCCAACAGCCGAGGATGACGAGGAAGATGCAGAATTGTCAAGCTCGAGCGAATCTGATAAGAATGAGGACGAGGATGATGATGAAGATGACAACGAAGGCATTGATATATTCGGCCACCGATGACACTTACATATACATGACTTGAGGAACAGCGACATAGAGACGATGGACATGGCTGGATCCATGAATGACCATGAATGATCTGCATTGGCGGTAGTTGGCTGGTTCCATCTACTATGCCACCGAATATGAGCGAACTGGATTTCTGGTGTTTGGAGTTTGGCAGGGGAAAGACTACCAACCTAGTGTCCGGTAGAACTGGTATTGAACATAGATATGCTGGAGAGGAGATGATCCAAGAGTTTTTTTCAACGTGTATTATACTTTGATACAAGACATATCTTTTGAAAAGCCTCTCCAATCATCTATCTCAACTATATCTGATACTCAGCAGACACGCGACATGCAATCGAACAAGTCAATTGAGACAGCGTTCAAAGATTCTGGAAGCGCATATTGCCAATTCCGTATTCCCACATCCCCCTCCCCCTTCCCGTCCTCCCTTTCTCTTTCGCCAGAATACACCTTTGGGAGAATGGCCTGCGTCTTTCTCCGGCACCCTCGCAATCCCCATAATCTCAAAATTCATAACCGGCTGGACGGCCCTATGCGCCATCTTCCTCGTATTATTTTGAGGGCAGCTCCTCGTGTTAGATGCATCGAGTGTGCGTTTTATGACATGGCACGGCGGCGGACTTGGCTAATACCACTATCTGAGGAAAGACCGGTTGAAATAGATGGCTGTGAGTTTATGGTGTTGCAGCTACATTATGCTCCCATAAAGTCGCTATTGCTCCCGCTGAGCTTTCGATTATTCGAACCAAGGGGCCAATGATTGAGGGTACCCGCGGGGAGTATGGTGTTGGAAAGCCTGCCAACCGATGGCGCAACCCACGACGGTCTGTGGGAGTAGCCCTCTGCGTCATTGTAAACACGTTCCCACACTCTCATTGAACAGCATGAGTGTTTTATTGAATTGCTCGCGGATGTTCCTCTGAAATTTCGGGTGATTTTGATTGATACCTAGCGGCTTATACCTGCGAACCGGTTAGACTTCATTTTTGATTGTCTTTGGCAAACGCCTTGGGTATGATGACCTTCTGTTGGACTTGTCCGATTTCATCCGAGGTTGGTCCCAATACTTGACAAGGAGCAAATTCCTCAGGATTCTGTGTTCAAGGCCCCTGACTTCGGTCGCATTGCGGAGGAAGTCCAAGGTATTGGAAATCCGGCGAGGATCAAAAGCTTGAGTCGGGGAGCGGAAGGATTGGCGCATTGTTTGGAGTACCAAATGACGCGCAGGAGTCGAATAGTTTATGGCCTTGAGACTCTGGCGGTAGAGCTGGCGATAGGCATGAATAACGGCCTGTCTGCTTGGGCTCTGGCTCGCCATACCGAACGATTACTACAGTCGAGGTACGAGACAGGATTCTTTGGCTCGAAGCCAGCATGACAAGCTTCCCCCAGAGCCAAGATGTCAGTGATGGCGCTTGTCCCGATAGGGTAGGACCAGCATGCGCCCACGATTAGGCCGAAATGGCCCCGACGCTTTGGTGCCCTTCCACCTTCTCCTTCTTCCCTCGTCTTCAACGTCAGTACGTGGACCAAGATCCTTGTACAGTGTACGTGCTTGTTTCGCTTTCTCAATATCACCTGGGCTATCTAGCTTATCGCCAGACCAAACAGGGATAAAGCAGGTTTCACGACGACCGCGTGTGGACGCCTTTATCATTCGGACTTGCGCCCTCAGCGCTCTGCATCAAGATGGTACACTGATTACTTCCAACCTACTATTAGCACTATTAGCAACTCTTCGCGCTCTCATATTACCCTGTACGAATGGTTAATCATCACTGATCGACCATTTCAAGAGTTCAGATATTGCAGTGCCTGCTTGACACAGCGCCATGATGATGAAGAAGCCGTCTTCTTTATAGTCACCTGAGGCCATCGGATGTCATCGATATGACTCGAGTAACTCGAAGGACTACCTCGGTGCTGGCTAGGCGAAGCCCGAGCAGGATTACAAAGCGCAATTTACGGAAGCATAAGGTGATCTTAGAGTCGGTCACCCAAGCGAAGAAAAAGCTCCGGAGTGTTGTATGTTGTCGCCGCCGCCTCGCCGGTCTTAGGTGTGCACTTCTGACAGTCACGGCAGATATCCTTCGAGGCTAAAGCGCCACCGGGCTACACCTTCATTCCCGCGGGAAATCCGCACTTCACAACAGCTTGTAAAGAGCTCTGTCGAAAAGATGGCATGAAGGTGTATGCTGTTTCTGTACGCTGGACCCTTGCAGTATTTACTTTTTTTATTATTATCCGGCTCTTAACCATTCTCTCCCTCGCTAGACGACCCCTCATCTGCACACGCACGGCCTGTCTCAGCATGTGCATCGTATTGGTTATCATTTCCCCAGCGCTACCGTTGCAGCTGTGTGCATGGACCGAGGTTTATACCTCACGTCAACCGGGAAAACAGTGCCCTTCTACGGCACGGGGAATGATACCGGTCCCGCAGAAACTAACTCGGTTTCCCAGATAACCATAAACACAGAAGCTAGAGATGTGCTTAAAGATCTCTTCCCAAATATCCCGGACAATGACCTGAATCAGATAATTAAAACTGCATTCCAAAAGGTGTGTGCCCCACCATGCAATAAACGTAGCAAGTATCTAATAGAAGAGCCAGGGCCAACGTAAAGTAGGTACAGCTGTCGAGCTTCCCCTCGCCCGTCGAGCGCAGTTGGCTGTTGTCGCTCACATTCGACACATCTACACAAACTATGATCGTCTCCTCAAGACTACCTCCTTTCATGAGGCGAGAGCAACTGTTGAACAGCCGACCCTCGCCAAATTAGTAGAGTGGAGAGGCGATGATGAGAACGGCAAAACCGTCCTTGAAGACGTGTTTCGCGAAGTCATTGTTATATCCGATGACGAGGACAGTGATATTGAGAGTGAGCCGCAGCCATTACATGGTCGAGATACCAGTGTGGAGGTGATCTCTAGCAATCCCGTGGTTGAGGAACTTCAGATGAGACCTCTTGATCATGACGGCGCTGCTCTTCGTGGCACCCACTTTGAAAATCTGGAAGATGAGGCCCCGCCCGGATTTCGTTTCATCCCAGAAGTCCCTAAAAGGGCTAAGATTGATCGGCGCGGCTTCAGCAGATACCAGGCTTGGGACCGTGCTATCAATCGGTACAAAAATTACAGGGGAGGTCCTGGCCAGCAAGCACCATCGTACTCCGTTGAAGGAGATCGATTGCAAGAGAACCGTGGATCTGACAGGGAACCCTCCTTGCGCCGACCTATTGGAAATCGTCATCCTTCTGGTACTCCATTGATCATATCTAACCACAGGGCAGTCACTACTACTAATCCGAGCCGACCACCACTTCAACCGATGGCAGAACATCGTGTAAGTACTAAACCTCCGTCATGCCGCGTACGAAATCGAATGGGCTCTCGCATGGGTACCGCAGTTGAGCTAACTTTGGACGAGCGATATGAGTTATATCCCCTTTCCGAGCTGCCAAGCAAGAGGAAGGATGCTCTTGTCTCCCCCAAACCACCCAACTTGGTCCCTCCAGAAAGAGCACCAATCCCTGATGCAGTGAGGCCCTCTTTTCACCAGTCTGACTTGACCAACCGGCCTGTGTTTGTCAGCGGCCCAAAGGACATCATACATGAGAGGCATGAGGACACTCTCAGATCCCCTCCCCGACCGCCGGGACGCTTACACAGTAGGAATGTGAGCCAGCAGGACCGTGTGCTCCCCTCTATTGAAAGCCCTATCCCCGTGGAAATCAAACGTCCAAGCAGTGGCCATATAGAGCATCTTACAAAAAGGCTGTCAGGGGCATTCAACTTTCGCTCAGTGACGCCACACCGCCAGATTCACCAGGACTTTCCAAACCATCCTATCCCACAGGAACCGGTGCAGGATCATGCCTCTAAAAGACGGCGCATGGCTTACTACGAACCAACCCCAATGGAGAATGCCCTTCCCAGCCATACACCCCCTGCATTGAGTGTTTACCCCGGGGAACGATATGTTCCAGCCGAACAGCCTGTTCTCCACAGTGGTACCAGTAGGGGGTTTGTTGCCTCTGTTGAACCGCCTCATATTGCAAAGCACCGGCCAGACACGATCCAGGGCCCTTCCTTGCCTTTCGCACGTTTTGATCGCGAGGCCCCAATTCCCGCGCATCAAGGACCAAGCTGGGATTATGATGCCCAACTGTTTCCTCCCGGTCGTCTTGTTAATCCTCATGTCTCCCGTCGTGAATCTCCAGGTCAGCCCCAACCCCGTATCAAACCTGATACGACATACGGCCAGCCTGTTGGCACAAGTGGCCGTGATGGGAGTTTCCAGCCTCGTTTACCGGATGCACCCGAGCCACGCACTTTGCAATGTGTTCACGAGCATATTGCCGGGGGGTACAGACGCAGAAAGATAACGAAGCCTCAGCATGAACCTGTCCGGCGGAGCCGGGACTCCCATGTGCCATATAAGCCTATAGAGAATCAGAGTACTTATGCGGCTGGCTTTGTCCGTCCCGTTGATCATCGGGACCCCAGTGTTTCATCAGAGCACAGGCAAAGCCATCGGCTTCCTCCAAGCCAGATAGTGGAAAGTCCACCCCAGCCTGCCCGGTTCAGGTTTCAAGCTGACCAGCATCTACGTGTGCCGTCAGATGGTCATGCACCAACCCCACCTCGCGGTCGAGCTCACTTTGGATCTCAGGCCCAAGCTTTCCCTCTGCAACATTCAATTATCAGCGGCGCAGGACCGAGATATCGTGAGAACGGGCAATATACAACCCCACCTCCAATCTACCAGCATAACAGACAGCCGCAGAATAACCTACCCCTTCCACGGTATGGCCACATAGGACCCGTTCTTACAGGAGCCCCGAGACCCTTCCCTCTCCCGCATGCTGCTAGATGAACCCGGCAAAAGAAAACAAATCATAAACATATAACTTACTACTTCTCTAGGACGACTTACGACTGCCATCAACGCACACACCCCGCCGATGAGCGACCACCTCCTGTCTATATGAAACCCGCAGACGATGCACGATACGGAGGTCGACCAGTTTTAATTGTGGATTGAGATGCAATTGATGAAGAACTTCTCCGAAGATGTATATCCTTATCGTACACTGTTATTGTATTCAATGATACCCAGCATGGCATGGATGAAGCCCGTGACTAGCAGGAGTGGCACAGACTTCTAATCTTGTCTAGAGCGAGGAATCATCCCCATATTTACACATTCGATTATGCATTCCTCTTGCATATTGTGCAGAACCATATGTAACTCTGGTCATGAGTCGTGGCACGGGAGTTTTGACTTGATGGCGCGCCCAGAGCTACTCGGTAGATAGGTACATTTCGAGCCCCACCATGGCTATCAATCATTAGATTTCATTCATGCATTCCAACATTATCAACCAAGACCGATCAGGCGACCCATTCAAGCCGTCACCACCTCGCCGCTGTTTACCGTCTTTCCGGTCTTCTTGATCGTGTTTAGGACTGTGTCATATTCGAGGGAGGGCTCGGCCTTGACAAGGACAGTTTGAGTGTCCAGGCTTACATCGTAAGATTTCACGCCTAGATGTTTTATTGAACCGTCAGTAACCCCGTTCAAGCGATAACTGTCCGAGAAGGTTTCTTTCCATAAGGGAGTCGAGTCTGGAAACAGGGGGGCAGAGAGGGGTAACAGCCGTCGCCAGGAACGAACTAAACGCACCGTCTAGCTTCTTGAGGACCCGCTCGACGGCACCAGAGCACCCGCCGCAGCTCATGCTGACGTTGAATTTGTATGTAGATTCTTGGTCGGACATTGTGGGTTTCTGCGAGAGGAGAGGTTGAGGGCGAGTATGTTTTGGGGTTGTGTTGTCGATGAGGGAAGCGGGAGATGGTGCGGATAAATAGTAAGTAGGGTGCGGAGACGGACGGGATTGCTTATATATTGGAAACGGCTGCCCAATATGGTATGAATAGAGAGACTATTGTTCACAGCCAGGGCCTAGTTTTCTGGTTTTATCCATAGGACGATTTTCTACTATGTTTTATTGGATTCCACGATTGGGTGTCTATAGTGATATAAAAGAAACAAGGCGCAAGAATGGCTCATGAAGCTTGATAATCACCTCATTTGGTCGCCAAGTGTCGAATGATTATTGAAGCGTAACGAGCATTTTCTCGTCCAATGGTAGCGTAGCTAGCAAGGATATAACGGTACTCCGTCTGAGAATGTACAGAAGCTGCTAGATCAAACCACAATACGCTAAAACCCTGCCGCCCTCTTCTTCTTTTTCGCCTTAATAACACTCTTTTTGACAGCTTCCCTACCTCCAAATGCACCGCGCTCGATCTGAGTCATTGGAAGATCTTCCATGACCTGGCTGCTCTGTAGTCGTACCGTGGGTGGCTGACCATTGTTGTCGGGCTGACTGCCCCATTCTCTCGCAGGACGGACTGGAGAAGAGGCGGCCGGAAGGGGTACGGATGGCTCTATACTCAGAGACTTCATAGACATGGACAACTTCTTTCGCGACCTATGTCTTGAAGCCTTTAGTCTAGCTGCTGACTGCGGTTCCTCCGTGGTGAAGGAATATAACGCTGGATCCAGGCCAGGTTTCCAGTGGTTGAGGATGCGTTCCGTATTTCGGGACATCGGCCTCGGGCTCTTGAAACTAGTGTAGGCGGATAACGCTGCAAATGGAGGGAGTGTTCCTGCAAGGTGACTGGGAACAGTGAAGTCTCGATGCGCTGAACTGCTTGAGGTGACCGTATCACCCATTTGCCTAGAAAGTCCGTATGAAGACTGCTCGTTACCTGCTTCCGACGAAGTGGCCAGGCTGTCTATCGGCCGACTGGGTAAAAGTCCATCGCCGTTGTTAAGATTCGAGGCCAACTCCGCCTCGGACCGTCTGCGCACGGCGATGATTTGCCCCAGCACAATATCGGCGACGAAATGCCGGATTGCCTTTTCTTTGGCAATCCGTGTGCGTCCGGGTATATCCGGAGGTAAGTCAACTAGCCAGTGGTTAACTAGTCGATCATAGATCTCGACCAGGTCCAATTTTGACACATCCGCTAGTTGAGTTTGTTGCGATTCAGGTGAAGTAAGAGGGTCATAAGGATGAACAAGTAGATGACTCGTGCCTCCCAGTGACAGCTGATTCGAGGCAGCCCGAGAAAGGAATTGTCTCAGATCTTGGGCGTTTTGATCGATATCGTCAAGTAAAGGTGTTCTTCCCGAGAACTCAAGCCTAGAGCACGACTGATTAGATTGATTGTGCCATGTCTCAGACCTAGGATTCACATACGCTGTTCGACCCGTAGAACGCCCGGGGTGATCATGATCGGATATCTCGTTCATCAGCTCCTGTAACGATATTTGAAAACTGACCCTGGCGGTTTCTTTGTCGCCACCAGACAGCAAGCCCAAAACCCCAGTCACTACCGCATATATCCGGGTATAATCGAATGCGAATTGCGAATCGGTCAGGGGGGCAAGATTGTCAACACCGCGGTCAGACGTTTCGGCGCCTAGTGCAGACTCGTCCCAGTCATCAACAATGAAATCACTCAATCTGTTGAGAGCCTGTTTCCGCGACCTTGCTACACGCTGATGGCTGACACGCAGGATATCTCTCCCACGAGATTTATCCTCGTCGGATAGACCACTTGATATCTTGCAATATATAGACTCCTGGACCCGGAGGCTGGAATCTAGAAGGAAGGCCTTGATGAAAATCAAGTCAGGGTGGGGGTAGGCTGCACCTTTAATTGTGGGTGCAATTTCCCTGAAGACAAGCGTAGAAAAATTCACGGCTTTTGGAAGAGGCTCTGAATCTTCTGGAGATGGCGGTACTTCAAGAATGAAAGGATCGGGGGCATATTCCGGATAATCCGTGTGCTTGGGTGAAATGGGGCAGTGGAACGCGAGAACAAGTTGGGTAAGACGAGAAAATAGAATCACATAGAAATCTGTTTCGGTCAATCATGCCCGATAGCGAATATTGGGCAACTTACCTTCGTCAACTGCCAATGAAGTCATTTGCAGTGTCGTGTCATCTGAATCACGAAAGTGGCGCCAGGATAGGCGCGGGTATAGTGACGGCTTTGAATCGGCGTGGCTCGAAATCAAGGCAGAAGTGGCATCAACCCAAAGAAGCCGACAATTTGTGAGTATGAAGACCTGCGATGACCTGCAGGTGCTTCTTCTGATACCTAAAATCCATTCGGACTTTCTCCCCAGCCCAAGCTCAATCACGGAGGATTGAGTTTGGCCATCCTCCAACCGATAGAGAATTGAGCACCTCCTGTCGCAAACAACAATATGGCGTGCGTCCCCGACCCAATCGATAGCTAACCATCCGTCATGTCGTCTAACCGTGCCCGTAGTTTGACTCTTAGACCCAACCCATGGAAGCGACCCCGAAGCCACACATGCGGCAATCCATGTATTTGCATTGCGCTGGTTTCGGAGTTCCCAGATTCCCCAATGCCCACTTTCATCCACGATGGCAAGCTGTTTCTGATTCCATGGGTTGAATTTGACGTCTGCGTGCGGTACGCCTCCGGTATGTGAGCTCGATATCTCCATCAAGAAGCCCGGATCGAGGCGTGAGATTAGGTACCCCGACGCAATGCCATTACTATCACGGCGGGTGGGGACAGGGGTGGGTGTTCTGCGATAGAGAGGCCGGAATATGGCTGTTGAATTGGAACGAACGGCAACGAAAGAGGCACTCTCATCTTCCGAGATCGATGAGCAGATTTGCCGGATGGGAGCTCCACCTGTTGCCCATTCAACAGTGTCTTCATTTCCAATTGTCGGAACCTGCAACTCTGTCATCGTGGATTGCAGAATGTCTACCGTGTCGTCCGCGATTGTCCGAAACGATATCGCGTTGCCACATTCTCCGGATGCAAACGCAACAATAGGTATAGAGAGACGTCCAGAAGTGTCTATACCAATATCCACTGCACGGCCAAAATCAAAAAGGGTAGAGGTTAGAGGGTTGCATGCATCGGCCCTCGCTGTAGTCACACTTGGGCTGTGAGCCAGTCGATATCCTGGGATAAGCTCGGGGTACCCCTCAGCTAGGAATGATTTGTCAAGTGTCGACGACGATGAGGTTGAAGTACAGAGTGATGGCCTAACAATTTTGGTCATCCCAGTGTAAGTTATGCGTGGTGCTTGTGGTTCGTCAGTACTGCATGTTGCGATAGCTGCACACTGGATAAACTTACCAGGGCGTAAGCTCCGCGGGAATGACCATGACTGCGTATCTGAGTGATATAGGGGCTTCCCCACATCCCCATATTGCAGAGGGTTTGCAGTGTTCTCATCCATTGGGTCGAGCTTCAATCTTGGCGATACATAGAAAGCCTGACCCAGAAAGCATATCGAGAATGTGACAGTCCCTCAGTCCGAACTCGGGATCCTATTACAAGAAGAAGTATTGAAGTGAAAGAGCCTTCTTTAGCCGTCACATGAGAAAACTTTGTGGCATATGCTCAACCAAGGGTCAGAGGGCTGATGTGTTCAAGAAGGAACACCTTTTGTCTGCAGCTTGTCATAAAAATTGTCGATCGCCGCGGGGTGCCAAGATCTGGTTGCGCCGCAACAAACATCTGGTCAAGTATCAGAAGCCTTTCCCGGAGCTCCATTCTTGTTTCCCCGTCCTGATAACGCACGACTCCGCGCATCTGACTTGACCATACTCTGTGCCCTAATCAGGCAAGCAGCTACTGCATCATGTCCTCCTTTGATCCCTCGCTTTCAACCAGCGGTATGCGGCCTCCACTGGCCTCCGCGACCGCTCCGTCAATGGCCGACTCACTTCCTAGTATCAACTTCGGGTTCGAAGATCTGCGCACCCGGATGGCTCAATTCACTGCCCGATTCGATGCCTTTATTGAACGTGGTAGGAAGCAAGTTTTGGAGGAACGGAATCAGTTCAAAATAGGCCTGGCGGAACTACAAGGTTTGCAACCGCGCTAGAAAGATATAAAACTTGGAAGGCTCTAACCAAGGAGATGGATAGAGGATGAGCGGATGAGACAGAGAGATATCGAGATTCTGAACTTAAAGTCGCAAACCCACGAACAAACTCTACAGAAAGAAGCCGCCGAAGCCGCCGAGATGCATGCTGCCGTTTCGTCTGTCACGCTGGAACGCGACTCTCGACTTACCAAACGTGACCGCCTCAAACAACAAATTGAAGAGACGCAGAAGGCCATCAACCAAAGACTAGAGGCGCAGAAAAGCCACTCTCGATATCTTGACGCACAGTCGCGACTGAACGTCCCTGAACTCGATTTTTGGCAGGACTATCTATGTCTTCGAATTGAAGGGGCTGGCAGGGAGGATCGATTGAAATTTGTTTATAGCCATCTGTTGGAGAAGGACTGGGAGGCTGAAGCTTGGTTTGAACTTGGTACTTCTAGTCGCGATTATGAAGTCTTCCACTCACGACCGAAGTTGGATAGGGTCTCCCTTGATCGGGAGCTTGGCTTGTTGAATGAGGATCGTGACTTTGGTGCGTTTTTGAAAAGAATGCGCAAGCTGTTTGTGGAGGCCATGAAATGAGGCCAGGCTTCTGTATGATAATGAATAATGAGACTAGTTTGCGATTTTCCAATAGAATATGATTAAGAAACATAGAATGTTCTCAACGAGTGCTGGAGAGCATATTTATATGGTGCGAGGTGTTTCTTCGCTCCAAGTATAACCTGCTCGTGCGCGGTGTTAGCACTAGTCGGCGCAGCTCTTAATCGTGATGTTGGTAGCGATATGGTAAGGACATGAGTGATTTGAGTCATTTGACGGTCATGATATCTTTTCTGACATTGTGTATAGTACAAAAATCCAATTGCTAAGCCAAACGCCGAAAAACCATGCAGTGTACAAACATGATATCTATACAAATACAGACTCGCAAACTTTCCAGCTACTAGCATGTTTGCAAAGTCTATCACTGATTATGTGCCACTCTCAAGCAATAATTCATGCCAATTGAGCCTTTCGTCCCCATTGCTTTTTTATCTCTGCACAGAACAGACCAGTTAATATCCAAAAGCGCAGAGAGGGGTGTTATATTATGCGTACCTCCAACGCAATGTTGGCACAGCACGTGAGATCGCTTTATTTGCCCGCAGGCGGGACAAGTGTTGAGGTTTTTGACGTCCTTCAAAGCTTTACCGGCCATTTGCCTGTGTCGCTTCTTCATGTGTGATGTCTTCTTCTTTGGGACAGCTCGGAGAACAGAGTCCCAGATGTCGGATAGGATGTCAGGGATATTCAGCGCAATTCCAGTAGAAGGGAGAACAGTCGAGAGGATAGTGGATTGTTGGGTTGGAAGCCGGACTGTGAAGGACAGAGATTTCGACGGGGCTAGGATTCGAGGCAGCATCTGCGGAAACATGTTGGATGGAAGCGGTCGGAGAGCCATGTTGTTGTACAAAGAATCACGTATAGATATTGGCAGAATGGAGACACTGGACCAACGGGACGATAAGTCGCGGGCGAAAGGCGTAAGTCAGGCGTGTGTCGGCGGTAACCAGAAATCAGCAAATTGAAGCTTTTCCCGACAACCATCAAGTTTGATGGGTTTGGATATGGAGATGCGCTAGTCCTACTTAGGACTAGAGCCCCCCTGAGTCGCGACAACAATTAAAGGGGTCTATCACAGCTCCTCTCTCCCTCGCAATCGATACCGGACCGGCTTTATTCTGGGGGTACAGGCCTGATCTCCTCCGAAAACCAACTTCTCCTTGCGAGCTGCAATTCTTCACCCTCGTTTCCTCTCCTTCCCATCGAATTCCCTCCCATTGACTGCCTCCTCGCCCGGGAAATCCTGTTCTCCTCCTCCCCCTTACACCACCATGGCCACTGCAAGCTCCCCACCATCATCCACTGTCTTCCCCCGGAGCCATGTCGGTTTCGATAGCATTACTTCCCAGATTGAACGGAAGCTGCTGAAGCGTGGCTTTCAGTTCAATGTTATGTGTGTCGGTGAGCTTAATTGCCTCGAAAATGTCGCCAGGTGTACTTTATGCTAAGCCGATGAACAGGTCAGACTGGTCTCGGAAAATCAACCTTGATCAACACCATCTTCGCTTCGCATCTGATCGACTCCAAGGGTCGTCTGACTCCCAACGAACCTGTTCGCTCGACTACAGAGATTCAGACCGTCTCCCATAGTAGGTGCAACCCTGCTTATAGCTTGAGCAACCCAATTCCCTAACGGGCACCAATAGTCATCGAGGAAAATGGCGTCCGTCTTCGGCTCAACATTGTTGACACACCCGGCTACGGTGACCAGGTCAACAACGACAGATGGTATTTAATTGCATTTCGTTTTCATGATGACCTGGCTAATTGTTCGCTAGCTGGGACCCAATTGTGAAATACATCAAGGACCAGCACTCCGCATACCTCCGCAAGGAACTTACTGCCCAGCGTGACCGCTACATCCAAGATACCCGAATTCACTGCTGCCTCTTCTTCATTCAGCCATCCGGCCATGCGTGAGTTCAAACCCAGCCAGGTTGTTTCATAAGCCATTGGAAGCGAAGACTGACTGCTTGTCTTCAACAGCCTCAAACCCATCGATATCGTTGTCCTGAAGAAGCTGTCCGACGTCGTCAATGTCGTACCTGTCATCGCCAAGGCCGATTCTCTTACCCTGGAAGAGCGCCAGGCGTTCAAGGAGCGAATCAAGGAGGAGTTTGCCTTCCACAACCTGAAGATGTACCCCTACGATAACGATGAGCTTGATGATGAGGAGCGTGCTGTGAATGCCCGCATCAAGGTATGGATTCCCAAAGACCTATGAGTGTGACGGTTCGACTAATGGTCGGCCAGGACATCATCCCTTTCGCAGTTGTCGGAAGCGAGAAGACGATTGTTGTGAATGGCCAGCCTGTTCGCGGACGTCAGAACCGCTGGGGTGTTATCAATGTGGAGGATGAGAGCCACTGCGAATTTGTCTCCCTACGGAATTTCCTCACCCGCACTCATCTCCAGGACCTCATTGAAACGACAAGCCAGATTCACTACGAGACTTTCCGCGCCAAGCAGCTTCTGGCGTTGAAGGAGAGCAGCGCTGCCGGTGGCCACACCGGTGGCAGCCGTCCCATCAGCCCTTCCGCGGACCGGGAATTGAGCCGCAACTCGCAGCGAATGACTATGAACGGCTACTGATCGAACGAGGGTTGATGAGGAGCAAAATAAATATCCACAGTCTTTCGGTGCCGGTGCCCCCGGGGCAAGCGAATAACGCAGGAGACTACCCGCGCGAAGATTTGATTCTTTCTATTCTTCACCACCAGAACCCGTATCACCATCCATGTCCTTACCAGCAAGCTCTTAACAGATATCCCTTTTTAACTTTAGGCTTTTCCCGTACATTTATTGTTATCCTCTCTCCTACGTTTGGGAGACTGACTGGGCTTACATCCGTTTCCTACAATTGCGTTCGCACGCCGAAAAGAGAACTAGCATGCGAGCGCTAGCGTCGATCTCGTCGTTTCATGTACTTATTTCCCTAATTCTCAGGCTCAAGAGAAATATATCTCTAAAGATACTCTTCATTGCGCTCTAATTGTAATAAACAGCGCAGGCTAAAAAAAGAGAGAAAGGTCGTCTATAACGTTTGCCGCTTAAGCAACAATGCCTCATTGCTCGAATCCAAATCTCCCACCATCAACAATGAAGTCTCTCAGCTCTTTGTAGGCGGTGTCCAGGTCATCATTAACGACGATCTTGTCGTGAGCACCGGGCTGCTTTGAAAACTCGAGCTCGTTCTTCGCCTGGTTCAACCGTTTCTCCAGGCTCTCATCGGTCTCTGTCCCACGACCCCTCAATCTCCGCTCGAGCTCCTCAACAGACGGGGGCGCAAGGAACAGGAATCGCGCATTGAGATCGGTCTTCTTCACTTGTTTCACACCCTGTCCAACGCGAGAGATTTCTTAGCTTCTGAATTCTTGTGCAGTACCTAAGTAGGGACATAACTGCCCTCAGGGTAGGACGGACGGAAGCGGAGACGGGCGCTGGATGTACAAACCTCCATCTCGATATCAAGAATGCAAATCTTCTCCTTCGCCGCAATCTCCTTGACGGCTGCGACACTTGTGCCGTAAAAATTCCCGCCGAATTGGGCATGTTCGATGAAGCCGTTTTTGCTGACTAGATCGAGGAAGTCCTCCTTTGTCGTGAAGTAGTATTCGCGGCCATGCTGCTCGCCGGGTCGCGGAGATCTTGTAGTGTCTGCACGTCGCGAAGATGTTAATACTACATCGAGATTGCGATGGACGGAGGGGGTAGAGAGGGGGGAAACGGACGCGAGATGGAAAAGCCGAAGGTGTCAGGATATTCGTCGAAGAGTCTCTTGAGGAGTGTAGATTTGCCGGTTCCAGAGGGGCCGGAGACCACTACTGGACGAAACTTTTGTGCTGCGTCGGCGCGATCTTTGTTATACAAGGCTGCTCATAGAGACGGCTTGATGGGTTGCTGCGTACCTGTACTGGTGGCCATCGTGGAAACCGGGAAACGGGGTGAAAATGACGGAGCCGCACGCAAGAGCGAAAAGATTCCACGGGCTTTCAAGAAGCTATGCATGTACTGACTCCAAAGCACCTTTGTCGTCCAGGGGAAATAAAATGATTCGAGTTCCATGTTTTACGTTGTTCGAATGGGGCCTCGAACGAAAGGCGGTGAACCCTGGATGTACCCGAGAGATAGTATGTATGGAGTATAAAGTGTGTCGTACTCGTAGGTACAGCGGCCCCGTTTGTCGAAGACAGCAACGGGGGAAGATGAGACGCTTCTATAGTATGCTATGTGACGCAAAATAGTAAGTCCTGGTATCTATCGCTAAGTTCATCCGGTGAATTAGCTATGTTCACGGGAGGCCTGTGACTCCTGTTCAAGGAAGTTGGACCATAGCTCCGCTAATGACTCTTTGCTTGCGGCGCCATTGTCCATAAACTCGGTCGCAAGAGTTGGAGTACTTGGGGTGCGATGCATTGGGGAACCTGGCACCCGAAGCCTGCTACCACTGGTGGTCCCGGAGGCTCCTGGGCGAGCTAGGCCTGCCTGCTCACGTTGCTCTGTCACAACGTCAGCCTCACTTTCTACGATCTCTCAGGGCAGGTTATCACGTACCATCTGACCAGCCCAAAAGCGCAGCAATAAGTTGCAAGATCTGGAACTTCTTTGGGTCTGACCGATCAAGCGCAAGGAAGTGCAGTAAATGATTCGTGACAATATGCCTTGTAGGTTCAGGGTCAGTAAAGTTGATATGGAGGTAATAATGCTCGAGAAAAAGTCTCACCTATCAACATTGTCCTCTGGCTTTCCCTTCTTGAGAAACCGCAGAGCCTTCGTCAAGTGATCATTCAGCGTTACAGCTTCATGCCTAAGCTTGCCAATTAAAAGGTTCTTCTCCCGAACCTCCTTCTCGAAAGGCCGAACCCTCTCAAGCTCGCCTTGAATATCCTGAAGGGACGTTTCCGCCTCGGTTGCTTTCATCTTCGCTTCGTTCAGTGCCTGCTTCAACTGCTCGATTTGAGCGTCAGAGCTCTCTACGAGTTCGCGAAGCTCCTGCTTGCGCGCTGCGTTGGGTTAGTAGGGCACACCGATCAGGAGTTCGGATTAGAAGCTCACCAGCCTGTATTTCTTGCAAAGCTCGCTGCAACCCATCCACCGTCGCCGACTGAGAGTCACGCTCTGCGGAAGCCTTCTCAAACGAGTCCTTCACACTAGCCAATTGCTCTTCCAGATCTATTACTTTCTCTCCAAGGTTTTCTCTGATAGAGCGCTCCTCCATTGCGAGAACTTCCCAATTATGCATAGCCTCTTTTGCTTGCTCGAATTCCGATTGAAGATACGACTCCTGTTCCAAGAGCTCATCCTTCTCTCGGAGCCAATTTTGCTGAGACAAATTTGTTCGTTCTCGTAATTCGGAAAGTTCTTTTGACATTTGCTCGTTTTCCTTCGTCACCTCTGAGATCTTCGACTCATATTCCTCTTTGGCACTCGAGTTTTGTTCCTCCAACTCTTCAATCCTTGACCTCGCTTGAGCAATTTCCTCCTACAGACAATGTTAGCACAGGTACTAATGTAAGGGAGAAGCTTGTCCATACAGCATCTTCCTTGAGGCGTTCACCGAGTTGCGATTTGATGGTATTTACTCGCTCGAGTAAACCACGAAATTGGGATTCGGCGTGCTCCTTTTTACTCTCCGCATCGTCCAGTTTAGTCTGTAGAGCCTCCATATCCGTCCGGTGTTTCGACTGAATCTCTTCGAGCGACTTTCGCATATCGGTTACTTCGGCGCGCAGAGAATCGCGATCACGCACAAGGGCCTCGAAACGGTCTTTAGAGCGCAAGGCTTCTAGGATAGGTGATATCGCCCTGGAAACTTGGGAATCATCATCATGTAGTCCGCCATCGTTGGACCCCGCATCTGAGTCCTTCCCATTCTCGGCCTGTTCAGGTTTGTGGTCTTCGGTCGCGTCTCCCTGGACGTCCTATTGTCGCAGTTCAGCATGGGTCATGGAGCATATAAGCTCTATTGCATAGTTACATTCTTCTGATCCAGTGTTTCTTTCACGTCCTCCTTGGAATTGTGTCCATCTGTGGCGTGGGGTTGGGCCTGCCCCTTGTTCTTCTTCTTATTCTTGGATTTTCCGCCTGGGCCAGGAAACGTCAGATAAATGGCACATTCTGACTGGAAAGCTCGGGGAAATCAGATCAAGGTTGTGACCTACCGTCGGGCATTTTTAGAAGTTTCTCTGCAACAAAAGGAGCTGCTCTGGTTGGCGAGGAATACTGTGACTCCCGGCGTCCTGAGGCGACGGATCTGTTGGCTGAAGCTGTCAACATCACTAGCGCGGTTACGGAGTCTACCGTTGCCCAGAGCTTCCGCTTACTACTGTACCATGTTCATCACAACTACTACCTGAGCAAGCGACAATGGAGCATGGACAACCACACTTCGCTTCTTCTCTCATCTGTAGACTTTGAGAATGGACAGTAAGTGAGCCAGTTTGAGAGGAATATGAGCAATCGACAATGCTAAGCCAGCCTAGGCCCTAATCTACACAGCCGGCAGCCTTCCGGCTGTACTATGGCAGAGTATGATACCTAAGGATGTACTTCTCATACACAACTGCCATTATAAAGGGTTCATGAGGCAATGTGCAAATGCAGGTGAGTCCGTTGACAATGTGTTCCGAGGACGGCGGTCCCAGGTATCGTTATCACCGGATCAGCTGTTGACAGTGTATGACAGACAAAGGCGCCTGAGTCCCGAAGAGTTTGCTGGGGTTCTACCCCGGCGTTTCCGGGTTGAAGCTCTCCAGTCGAGCATTGGCCAGGTAGCTTCGGCAGCGAAGCTGCCGCCTAAAATGAACCTAGTATCTCCCTCAATAACAGGCGCAGGTGCCAATAATTGCCAGATGCCAATTGAAACCGGCAACCATCCCCGGCTTATCGGCTTCTCGAACTTAACGCTCGAATTCTTGAGAATGCGGAGCCTGACTCCGTTGACAGTTCCACGCCGAGGAGGTTTGCAAGGGCAGATAATTCGTTGCCGAGGCTCCCGGCCTCCGAGCACACGCCTTGTATACGTGTTAGATGCTCATACATATAAACATGAGTCCGTAGATTACCAGGTAGTGTCCAGACGATCTGTAAAAGGCCAGCTCTTTCTTCAGGTTTGAGATTTGAGGTGGCCGCAAGTGAACGGGACCCTACGTGTGGGCATTCAACGAAGTACCTCGGATATGTCAACGGTGTACTTTGGCCGGCATAAAGTACGACGGGCTCCCGAACTCCAATGCCAAACTCCAAATCCTTCCAGTCACCGAACAGGGCTACGACACCCTGCCCGACGCACGACGACTCATTATGCATAAACCGGTGCGAGGATGGATTGATACACCACATTCAGCTCAGCCAATGGACGATTTCCAAGCGCAAAACAACACCCCCGTCGGCAGTGAAGCACTGATAGGCTAAAAAAGCCCCTCAAGTCCATGCGAGTCATTCTGACTGAGGGCGTTTTTTGTTTCGTTTAGAAACACAGAAGCTCCCCCCTAGTGCTCCACTTGAAGTCTCCATTGGTTGGAGACAAAACGGTCCGCTGTTTTAGTACGGCGAACAGAAGAATGGAGTTTGTCCGTCTCGTCCACTCCAGAACTGTCATTTCGTCGGACCTCGTGGGCTGAGCAGGATATACTTTGTCTGCGCTCTTTTATACTTTGTCTAACGTCTAAGCGAGGCTCCTGTCTCCTGATTCTCCGGAGTGAGGATCCCTTCCAGTCAGTACAGAAAAAAAATGAAAAGAAAAGAAAAAAAAAAGACTCGAGGACGAGGAAAATGCGACCTGTCTGAGAAATTGATGTCTTCGACAGAGTCAAGCATTAGTGCCGCATTGCGAGGTATGCCGTACTACCAATAATCCATGATGCCTGCTTTTATCACAAGACAAGCCGATCAGACAACGACAGCCCGTCCCAAAGCGGCTCGCGACATTTCCCAGTTTCAACCGGAACCGAGATCAGCCAACCCTACGGAGAATTCCACCCCTCAAACAGACCGTTTGAATCTGAGCTTTTCCCAAAACACACCCAAAACCGTTACGCCAAGGGGGGATACTTGACCTTATTAAGGACCTTACGAGGCGCTGCTCCAGCGGGTGAGCCCGTACGAAACTCCACCTGCCACATGGCCATTCACAGAGGCTCGAATTCTGGAGGAAGGAAGAGAGCGTTCCCTCCTGTTATTTCCCGAGGATTTTCCATTTTTTCCCTTACAATGGATCCGAAGACGTATTTTGGTTGTCCATCAATCCATCTCGTATGGCAGCAGCACCTGCATTCTGCATGATTGAGCAGCAATTTCTCATGTGGACCCATCTTCAAGCAGGAAGCAGCAGAGAAAATTTTTCAGAGAGCTGTTCGAATCCCAGTAGAACTGCTGAGTTTCTCTCTCATGCCGCTGTGTTCCTGTAACGAAAGACTCGATCCACGACCCCTGCTCCACCTCGAGTGTATTAATTTGGCAAGGCCCGAAGCCTGCAAAGAACCATGTCCACCAGGATTTCTCATCGATTACTCTTCTTCTTCCTTTCTTCTTTTTCTCTTCCTTTCTTGATACCTTATTTTGAGTACCAGAAGCCCTAAGTTCACTTCCACCGTTCCTCAGACGCAAGCCTCCCGCGCAGCCGCAAAACCGTTTAGCTGTCACAAGTACTATATCTTAGCTTCAATGGCTAACCCGACGTCATCCGATGACGAACCCGTTTACATGAGGGCGCTGAATGCCGCCAGGAATGGCGACAAAGCCGCTCTTGAAGGACGAGACGGACAAATTCTTGTTTCAGCCCGCGACGATTTATGGCGCAAGATCGAAGGGAACCCAGACTGCTTACTCGGCCGGCATGAATTCGCTCTCTTTAACTTCTACCGCCAACATTATGAAAGAACCGCGAAGAATAAGGAAATTGTCCGGAAAGTGGTGGCTCGATTCTGGGACAATCATTCAGAAGGCCCTTCCGGTTCCAAACGATAATAGCCCCGATATTCATACCCTCCCCATCCGCCGGTCATCTGGCTGCACACATCTACTCTCTCCATTTCGTCTCATCCCATACGTCTATCCGCCCGTCCTCTTATGTTCGATATCCTGCCTCCAATTCGTCGACTCGCTGCTTGCGCGAGAGGTCCTACGAGTACTGCATATCGTACGAGAACATGAAGCAGTCACTGAAGAACATGCACTCATATTCGGATTCGGACAGACTCTGGTAGTCTCCGACTAATCGCTTACAATTCTTTATGGAAATCATGCTATCAGTCCGGTTTTGAAGTGGCCAGCCCTATATTCAAGCCAGGAAATTTTTCTTCGGGTGTCTTATCAAGGAAACGGAATTTAATATTTTGGTGGAGTTGGGTTCTATATTGTTTGTTGTTTTCCTATCATCTCGGTCTGTTCTGAAAAGTTGCCTTGCTACTTTTTACCTAATATTGGCTTCAATTCTTGTCAAATTGTCAAGGGTTAGATCTACGCTACGGCTCTATTACTGCTTTTGGCCTCTCTTTTCTGAATCTTGGGGTTATGACTATTTGGGTGTTATTTCAGCCTGTTTTGTTTGTTCGCTCCTTTCTCATCATGTTTTAATATTATACATATTTTTTTCCAGTCCTATATCGTCTAGAGCGAAATCATTGCCGGTGCAGCATTGTATCCCCGCATCTACTATAACCTGAATGTGCATGTTTTCCACCAATTCAGATAATCGCGGGGACTATATGCTCTACTTCTCCAGTAGTACTAGATACCTTGGAAATTGGTACCTGGGTGACTTGGCCCTAGGGAGACAAGTATCAGATATTATTGCCCAGAGCGCAACCAGAAACATCTAACATACAATCAAAAGTGATCAAAAGTTCTTCCCCTTCGAGGCTTGCGAGCTGGAAGTTTCTCTGACGGATTGAAATTTTCTATTATACTCTGTATAAATCACTACCATTGCGATATCCAAGCTTTTGGTAAAGTACAATTTCTATTATCTATATCAACACGTTTTAGATATCATTACATCTATTTGTTTGCAGGAGCCTCACTGCCCATGACCGGGTTGTGAGTTTCGGCGATGACGTCTGCCGGAGGTTCTGTGAAGGTGATTGGTTAGCATCCGGCACAAGGTAGGATAGAATGCCGACTTTCAACTGGACACATGTACTTACCAGCTCTTGTGAAAGCTCCGCGCTCGCTGGCGAGCAGTTCCGTGACCTTGCCGCCCTCAACTTCGTCTCGGGTCACGTTGAGGAGACCAGGGGCCAGCCCCATTGACGCGAGGTACTTCACACTGTCCTTCCACTCAACTTCCTTCCTGTTCTTGTCCCAGTTCAGCTCGTCGCCCATCAGGTCAATCACTGTGGGGAGAGCCTCAAGTGCAGCTTGGGCGTTGAGGAATGCAAGACGGGTTCGGCGGGCGATGACATCGACGGCGGTCTGTGCGTATTCGTGGCGGACGCCGAAACGGATCTCACCGTCAACGAAGGGGTACAGGGCAGAAATGCGCTTGCCGCGGACGGGGAAGCGGGTATCCGTCGGCGCCGACAAAGCTGCAACCTGCCAGGCGCGATCTCCATACGATGTTGTCAAGTGTTTGGCGACCTCGGTCTCAAGACCATAATGCTGAATGAGGTTGATGAACAGAGTCTTGGACCAGCCATGAGCTCCGATAAGGCGGACTTGGTGAGTCTGGCAAGAGCCATCAAGTGTGGCGTTGTCGGCAACCAGGCCACGACCTCCGACACCGCTGATATCCGGAACGTTGTGCATCGCAGAGGGCTTGAGCTTGAATTCCTTGATAGCCTCGTCAACGGCCTCCTCGGCCATCTGGCGATAAGTCGTCCATTTGCCTCCGGCGCAGGTCAACAGGCCAGAGGGAGAGACGGTGATGAGGTGGTTGCGAACAAGTGCCTCCGAGCTCTTCACCTTCGGGTCGCGCACCAGAGGTCGGATACCGGCCCAGGCAGCAAGCACATCAGAGCGGTCAACGTTGATATCCGGGGCCAGATAGCGTCTGATTTCCGTCAAGATCCAGTTTATATCTTTCTCAGAGGGCTGGGGCAGGGGAGTGATGTCTGTCGGGGTATCAGTGGTACCGGCGATCGTGTTTCCCTGCCAAGGAAGGAAGAAGATCACACGGCCGTCGGACGTTGAAGGGTCGATGAGACCCATGTTCGATGGGCTGTAATAACCGGGCAGGATGACGTGAACACCGGAACTGGGCGCCACGATCTCCTTGACATCAGGCTCGTCCATCTTTCGGATGGAATCGGTGAAGGGGCCAGTCGCGTTGATGATTCCCTTGGCCTTGATGGTAATCTCTTCAGCCTCCTTGCCGTCCTTTCCGGGAATGCAATCCCTTAGCCGGGCACCGTTCAGTTTTCCAGAAGCATCTTTCTCGAGGCCAGTAACCTCCATGTGGTTCACAACAGTGCTGCCGTACAACGCAGCCGTCATCGCAAGTGAAACGTTCATACGCGAGTCATTGTGGGCACCATCTAAATAATTAGCACATCTTCCGCATCTAAAGTATGCCGAGAACTCGTACCGTAGTAAACCATGGCACCTAGAAGATTGTCCTTGCGAAGCATGGGAAAAGCTTCAATCGCCTTACTCTTTGGCAGAAAGTAAGAGCTCTCAATACCCTCAGATCCAGCCAACCAATCATATGCCTTGGTACCAGCCCAGAAGTAGGGAACCTGCCACCACTTCTGTACGGGAACCATGATTGGAAGCCAGCTCGAAAGATGAGGTGCCGTATTCAAGAAGTACTTGCGCTCTCTCAAAGCCTCTTTCACCAGAGCATACCTGTTGACAGAATCGAATATGTCAGCTTCAACAAAACGAATTGCGCTCCAATGCAAAAAGACGGGAGACTAACTGGTTATAATCCAACTCCCATACGGCCTTTTCTAGGTAACGTACACCGCCATGAACGAGCTTCGTACTTTTACTACTCGTTCCAGCGCTGAAATCGTCTCTCTCAACCACCGCTACCTTCAAACCACGCGTCGCAGCATCGAGCGCGATTCCCGACCCTGTAGCACCTCCACCAATCACAAGAAGATCGTACACATCTGCCTCGTCGCCAGCGGCACTGCGCTTAAGATCTTGAATCTGCTCCAGGCGCGACTTGATTCTGGGAAAACTTGGGGGAACAAGCTTGCCTTCATGGTATCCCGGCGGCGGAACCGCAGGCGCTTCGAGGCCGGGAATGTTGCGGGGACGGTATGAAATGTAGAGAGCGCCAGCACCCACTGTTGTAAGGGCGGCGGTAGTATAGAGGAGCGGCCGCAGAATCTTGCGAGTATTACGGGAGGCCATCGTGCCGTAATGTGTGAAATCAAAGGTGGCTAATTAGCCGTATTTAGCCGTAGCTGACGTTGTTTCTGCGTCGAGGCGAGGGGCTGCGCGTTCGCGAAAATACGAAACGCCCTGGGTTTGCTAGGAGAGGAGATTGCGCGCGTCCGTTAAAAAGAACGCTGCGATGTGCTACCAAAAAAAATATGTCTTGAAAAAGCAGTCAGAATCGTAATCAAAAACTGCGACACGCGCAATATTGCGAGCGAGAGGGATGCGCAATTGCCATACATACCTTGTGGAGTTGTTATCCTATTCACTATGGTTACAGCCAGTCCGGGAGAGGCGGAAAGGAGAAGGGGAGTATGGGAATGTGAGTAAAGGATGAGCTGAACCCCGGAGGATGGATAGGGGCATAAGAGGGAGTGCTGGCAAGGTGAAGAAGAGCTGGTCAAGCTGTCATGGTGGAAGAGACCCGGGTTACCTTCCATTCTCTTATACTGCGTCATGACGTTTCTCCCGAGCAATGCTCCGTGTCGCTGGCCCGGTTGACCCTTTCAGACTGCCAAGTTCTGGCAGTCGATCCAGCCATTGGAGCGAAAAGCGTAGTGGGTCGATGACGGGCTCACAGCGTAGGTCCAGATTCTCCCACCAATGGACTGCTCGGCAGCCGCGGCCGCGGATGAACCTCTTTCTCCAGAGCCAGTGCAGAAAGATCAGAAAAGATGTGGATCGGCCCAACGTGCTCGACCTCCATGTGACCAGGCAAAGATTTTTGCCTCCGGAATTCAGGAACATCACAGTGCAAGTTATCAAACAGGGTATCCCGTGATCAACCCTGGCGCGTTGGAAAAGGCAGGTTTATCGAGACAGCTCCCTTGCCTTGATGGCCCAGACCCGATGCCCATGGAAAAGCCTGAGTCTCGCCGTGATCGGTCATCGCTGATGATCTCCGAGTAGTGCATGCACACCTGAATTATTGGGAGCTCGCCCCACTGACTATATTCTTGGAAACTATGATGTTATAAAACCCGGACTAATTACTGCGGAGCGCGGACAACATTGCAGCGCGGCTGTCAAACATGACATCAAAAAGTTATTGAAAACCAGCGATGCCAGCCAGTTATTCAGGAACAATCTCTATGCACAAGCCACATTTGGGTGCTGAGCCGACCATCGCGATTATCAATGTGGCGCCACAACCCTTCAGCCGTGTTGAGAATCACGCTGGAGAGGCGATAACCTCCCTTTACCTCCGCTGCGCAATGATGGCATCGCAAAATACAATGTCCACTACCTATGTATCTCCATTGAGGGCGTTGCTATTTGAAGTGAACCAACCCGCAACAGTTGGGGACCCATACACACGTATTCCACCTCCATAGGGCTGGCTGAGTTGTTGACTTGCGTTTTATGTTCAAGAGTTGTCGGATCCTGTGGAAAAGCAACTGTCGCCCCCCGGAGGAACGGAATTGACAGTCAAGAATATGCTGATAACATGTGAATGGTGCCCGTGGGGCCACAAGGTTTATATCACTGAGGGCTGGGCGGAATGCTTCCGGGTGCGGAATTCTCTCGGTTGGCTTCCTGAAGACAATTTGTCACTCAGCGAATCATAAACAGCCGAACCTCAAGGCTTGCTGAAGTTACCCCGGTTCTCCTCAAGTCATGAATTCATGCGGAGTACTACGCGGCGCGCTTGTGTCTTGCTCATGATACTCGATGAGACGGAAAAGTTCCTTTCGAAGCGGAGGCTTGTGAAGCGACGTGGTGTGAAGAGAGGCATCGTCGCCTTTGATTCAACATGGTCTTCAAATAAAGGTCTTATCTCTTCCTTGGACATATATAGGAGATATTCACATCAGAAAATCGAACACCCCAGGAACATCCGCACAACATGGCTATCTCGGAGGCATTGTCTCTTATTCATGGAAGGGCTGTCGAACACCCTTTGCAGTTACTCGCCATAGTCGCCTTCGCAGTTCCGGTCCTATATGTCATCATCAACGAGTTCATCCGAGCTTCAGCCCGCATTCCCGGCTTCAAGGGCCCTCGTGGACTGCCTTTGATCGGTAACCTCGCACAAATTCGGAAAAATGCTGCCGAGCAATACCGAATTTGGTCAAAGACTTATGGCCCTGTCTATCAAATTCAACTTGGTAATATTCCTATCATGGTGGTGAATTCAGCTGCATCGGCCAAGGTTCTCTTTGGACATAATGCGCAAGCCCTGAGCTCTAGGCCGGAGTTTTATACCTTTCATAAAGTGGGTTCAAAGCCGCCGTACTAATGGTCTTGTTCTCTTGCTCATGGTCCATTTTAGATTGTCTCGAACACAGCTGGTACCACAATTGGTACCTCGCCGTACAGCGACTCGCTAAAAAGACGCAGGAAGGGCGCAGCATCAGCACTCAATCGACCTTCCGTTGATTCATACGTGTCACACTTGGACGTTGAGTCCAAAGCTTTTGTAGCTGAGCTCTACAAGTACGGCAATGGCGGAAAGACGCCCGTGGATCCGATGGCGATGATTCAACGTCTCAGTCTGAGTCTGGCCCTGACACTCAATTGGGGAGTTCGTGTAGCATCTCAAGAAGAGGATCTATTTGACGAAATCACTGAAGTCGAAGAAGAGATCAGCAAGTTCAGAAGCACTACTGGTAACTTGCAAGATTATATCCCCCTCTTACGCCTGAATCCGTTCAACACCAATTCCCAAAAGGCAAAAGAGATGAGGGACCGTCGTGACAAGTACCTCGGCTCGCTCAATCGTGATCTCGATGACCGAATGGAAAAGGGAACCCATAAACCTTGCATTCAGGCCAACGTCATTCTCGACAAAGAAGCCAAATTAAACTCTGAGGAGCTCACCTCTATCAGTCTGACTATGTTATCTGGAGGACTCGACACCGTTACTACCCTTGTTGCCTGGAGCATCACGCTCCTTGCCCAGCGCCCTGATATCCAGGACAAGGCTGCAAAGGCTATAAAGGACATGTACGGCGAGAACCAGCCCCTCTGCGATTCTGCCGACGACCAGAAGTGTGCTTATATCGTCGCTCTCGTGAGGGAATGTCTGAGGTAACGCTTCCGAAAATATACCAACTGCTAATTCATTTAATCTAATCTCATCCAGGTACTACACTGTCCTTCGCCTAGCACTTCCCCGCACGTCTATAAGGGACATCACCTACGAGGGCAAGGTCATTCCCAAGGGGACCGTCTTCTTCCTTAACTCCTGGGCCTGTAACATGGGTAGGTTGATGACTGACAGCGCTCTTCACCCTCTAGGCCCACACAACAAAGTAGTATACATGACTCACATTCCTCGCTTAGACCCCGAAGTCTGGACCGACCCCGAAGAATTCCGCCCGGAACGCTGGTTTGAGCAACCCGACGCTCCCATGTTCACCTACGGCATGGGCTACCGCATGTGCGCTGGCTCGTTGCTCGCCAATCGCGAGCTGTACCTCGTGTTCATCCGCACCCTCAACAGCTTCCGCATCAAGCCGACCGAAGAAAAGGTCGAGTGGCACCCTGTCAAGGGAAATTCGGACCCGACGAGTTTGGTCGCTATACCCAAAAAGTATAAGGTTAGATTCGTGCCGAAGAATGAGGAGGTGCTTATGAAGGCTTTGGGTTGAGATCTTTGAGACACTGGGCACTGAGCGAGTGGGCCTAGTCGGAAGCCCAGAATGAGTGAGCTGCCCTTTACTGTGAGACATACACAGCCATACGCTCAGCGACGTGACGAAGTAATCCGTCGGCACGGGTATGAGGCATTGTTACTTCCATCTAGAATGCTCATTAGCAGGCTTGCTCAGGCACATACATCAGCTTTCCCCAATCTGATTCACAAGTCACAGTATCCTACAAGGTCTGAACAATAATGTGAAACGGCAAGCTGCTGACAACTCACTTGATATGCTATTAAGCAAAATGCTATAATGACATCTGTCCTATGTGTTATATGTTATTTTACATTCAGCGTGATGTTCCCAATCAGAGTCGCAAAACACCACAGCCGTACCGTCCGCCCCCAAGCACCGAACGCAACATAGATTGTGCGGAACAATTAAACCAATAAATCCATAGTAGTATAGATGTCGAGAGTGGAAAGCAATGAGCGGTTCGTCCAAAGACATGCAGATTTATAGATCGCCAGAAATGCAGTCAGTTCCTTTCGCTAATCTTTCCCGACTTCTCGCCGTCGGGGTGGCAATTATAACTCTCCGGTTGTTTGATGTATCTCTCCTGTTTCTTCGAGGTTGTATCATTTCAGCGTAAGATCGTCAGGCTCAAGTCGAGTGTATGTGAGGGCGAGGTAGTTGTTGTATGGTTTCAGTAGGAATACGAGAGGGTTTGTTGTGAGGGTATATCGCAATGGAGGTCAAGGGTCGATCTATTTGGAGCGAATTGGGGTGTGGAGTCGAGTTTTAAGACAACGTAAGGTGAAGAGGATGTTCGTTCGGGGTTAAAGATCATCAGTCATGTCTTAGTACCTCCGTTGGGAGGTGTGCGCTGGATATCAGGATGTCAATCGTCTCTTCAAGTCGCGGACGTGGTCGAAGCAGCTCGCATAGTCACGTAACTCGGTCTGGGATTGTGACGAAATCGGGGACCCTTGTGAGGAGTTGCTTCGTAGCGAGGACAAGGATGTTTGGGACGAGGATGGCGATAGTGTTAGTTGATAGTGGGATCGATAGGAATTCCATGACGATGTTCCAGATGTAGCAGATTGCGGGTTAGTTCTTGTAGCCCGCCCAGTCGAGTTTGAGCCCCTCTTGGATGCCATTCTTGATTCTTGCGTATAAGATGAGTTTGTTTCATGAGAAGCATCAATCTCGGCGAGCCTGCAGGATTGCGAGCAATAGGGACCACCCAGTGTCTGTCGGTCACAGACCAGACAGAAGTCGAGAGACCACTCGGTAGCCATCGTCGGGGCTGGATTGAACAAGGTGTGACGAGGTTGTCAAGTCTTGAAAAGTCAAAAGACGGGGACTAAATGTATATGAGGCAGCAGATCGAATACGCAAGGTTGCTGTGGCGTGATGTTGCGGACTGAGAGATCGACCATATGAAAACTTGAATAGAGGAACGATGGGTCGCTTGGCTGGTGCAATGGTGTATAAGTAGGAATAAGGACGGCCGAAAACACAAGTCAAGTAGCCAAAGACGTGAGAAGTTTGGAGGATGGAGAAATATTGCACAATGAATGGACAAAGTGTAGTCAGAGATGGGGAAGATTTCGAGTTCAGGCACTGCAGTCACCTCATAGTAAGCAAATCTAGGCTCATCCTGGCCAGGCGCTCGAGTATGCAAATGCCAACCCTAGAGTAGCTTCCGAGTCTCACTGAGACATTTAAGAGCTGGAAAATAAGCAGGCAGAAAGGAAATGAACCCCGGCAGAGCAGAACAGTGGGCAGAGGGAAGGGACAGCCGATGGTAATATAGAGAGATTTTCAACCTTGGGGGAAGCTGAGCAGGCGATGGGGCAAAGGCGCAAAGGGGATGGAAGTGGGGACCGATTAGTCCAAATGCATCATGCACCGACACCTGTACTACGCCATTTCCTCTCTAGTACCATGAATTTCTGATTTAGCATTATCGCCTAAGGTAGGTACTCTGTGTGGAATGGACGATTATTTGGCGCTCGCTGTTGCGTCAAGAACCACCCCATTGCGCGATGATCAGACTGGCTGCGCCGCTGCGGTTGGGAGTGGAGAAAGGCGAGAGGGGTTGCTGACTAGCTTGCGAGTGGGCTTTGCACTAGGCTGTGAATGGTTTAGCGCATACCTTCAAACTTTTTTCCTGCAGCTAATTTGGTGGAACAGGGGTCATGGGCCACTCACAGCCCCTCAGGTCTGGGTTCCTGTGGTCATGTCCTCCTCCCAAAGGTTGCTTGCAAACTTTGAGCGAACCTTGAAGGCAGGCAAATGACCCCAGCATTGGGAGGATTTGAATCTGAAGATACACTCTGGGACTAGGGAGGTGAGGGGATTGCTCTTTTCTTTTTTTTCCATGGACATTCTGAAGCTCTCTCAAGGCTTTTCCTCCTCACTCCACTCGGATATCAGAGGTAATGAGTGTCTCAGCATCTGGCAGCTCGAGGATCTGTGTTGGTCTAACCTGCTTGCCACAGGGGCACAGACCTCTTGCAGATATCGACGCTGTAAATTATACTTTGTACGATGTACACCGATGTACAACCCATAATAATATTCTCGATTTATTATTGCCTCAGTCCGCCCCATCCGCCACCCATCAGGTCGACTTCAATGGATTGTGGGGTTTAGCCGACGGGTGATGCGCGCTCGGCGGGCCCTTAACCCAAAGCGGCCTGAGACGCCCTCTTCAATGAACGGAACTGTCACTCAGCACTGGCCCACCTGAATCCAGTTTCTCTGGGGTTCAAAACTTCGGGCTCGTCGCTCAAGGTTTGACTACGGAGTATTTGCCTCGATTTGCTCGTTGGTCGCAATGAGAGGGAAAACTTGTGCGAGACAGCCACGACGAGGACTCCGTTGGGACACGCAGTCGCGCATCCTCATGCTTAGCAATAGAGTATGCAACTTAGAACTTAAAAGGCAGCTTCAATTTTCATCACTGCATGAATCATGAGGAGAGATAAACCAGGAGCTCAGGAGAGAACGTGCAAGACAATTGTCGCTGATGACGGTACGGAGGGCTGGGTGAATACCCAATGGTCCCAATCTCTTGTCGAACCTGACCACGCTGCAAAACAGGTCTGACCACGTTGGAATGTGGGGAACCGCCGAGTGGCTGCTGGAGATTATTGTCATGGCTCGGGCGCTTCGGCTGGGAAATTAGAAGGACAGGGGAAGGTAGCATAAAGCGAAATCGACGAAACAGGGAGAGCCTCGAATGCTCACTCGATCGCGCACAGGGCTGCAGTGGTCGTCGCGTTCAGGAGGATTGCCCTTATTACCTTCGTTATGATCAACATGCACTCTGTCGCGGCCTTGTATGTGCTCCGGAAGTGATACTCAATACTGCATCCTGTTGGTAAGGATCAATAAGCAATTGAACACAGAAATTTGGAAGACGAGACTCTCAGCCCAATAACACCCCTCCGAAGATCCTACGTTTTGAAAGCTTCGAGGCTTCATGAGGCCCTCTCGTTGAGTTGCACCTCTTTATCTGGCAGCTGCTGACCACTTGTTCGAAGACACAGGGCAAGCGAGTACTCCACTCGACCGTCTTCACTGGTGAAGTCAGTTTACGGCACTTCAGCATGGACATTCCCATGATAAATCTGATAACCATTAGCTTCGTGACAAATCCTAAGTCTGACTGCGCTTGGTGGAGGTCTTCATATCACTGGCTAGAAAGTACATAGATTGCAGCAACTATTATGAGACCAGCACGCACGATTCGGATTGGATCGGCGGCCAACACCGGCCGTAACTTATCTATATATCTTCGGTTTCACCACAGGCATAAGCTTGAAGGTAAACAGGCTCCATTGAGAATTCCCTTGGGTTGGTGTCTATAGACAGATTCATCCGCACAGTGTTTCCATCTCCCATGAGTCCTGCCGCAAAACGTAATAACCCCCACAATTACGGAGGATTATCCTCAAGACCAAATCTTTCCCCACATACATATGAAACCTGGCGCTAGCCCATGTTTCGATTCATACATCTGGTAACAGCGCGATGCCGCCCTAGGCCGGGTGATGTGACCTGAATGTATGGGGCCACCCACGACACTGGTGGCCCTGCAAAAGTCACCCAGATCAAGCTTTCAAACACTATAAATACATTGTTCCTCAAGGTTGGTTAATCGGTGGGTCGGGTTCAATGCCACAGATATCATGATACTGTCATGGTATGCAGACACACGTAGTCTCTAGCAATGAGACACGTTCAAAACTTGGAGACCCAAGCCTATTTGGTGACGGAGCACTCGAAAAGGCAAAAGGCGCATCTGCAGCGCAAGAATCGTGCAATGCAAGTTGGACCACGCACCATGCATTTGATCCTGAGCCCTAGCACATTCAAGCCAGACAATCGACGAGAAGTGCTCTACCCTACTCAACCAACGGTTCCCACTAGCGCACGGTTCGGATAGCGGTGCTAGGATTGAGTCTCCCCAAGTGGTCAACCCATGGCGAGCGCCGCAAGAAAACTGTATGGGCTGTGATGCATGATTCGGCCTTGTGAGCAATGGGAATTTCTTGGCCGTGGCGCGACTATCACAATCTGAGTGCTGGCGGGCATTCCCTGGCAAACTGGCTTCTGATTTATTGAGAGAGCTAGCACTCGCCAGAGAGGAGCCCGAAAATAAATGTACTTAAGCAAGTGCGGCGACTATTGTTCGCCTAGCTGGTTTTGTTCGGCTGCAGGGATTCGAACCAGAGTTGCTGGCAGGGACGGGTCAGAAGACAGATTGTTTTTATCACCGGAATTCGTTTCTTCATTTGGCACACCCTTCACGGTTGTCAACTTGGCTATGGCACGCAGTCAGTCAGTATGTGTTTCGCCCAGACCAAACCACTTGACGTACTTGAGGCCATGGTAATTGCACGGAGGACATTATCCCAATTGGCAAGTACGCATGCCACAGCTGTGTTCCGAAACATATTGAGTCAGAAAAGGCTCGTATGGATTGACCGGTTGCAAGAGTCACTTACATTCTGTGCCATCTTTGAGTGTTTCAAGCTTAGATTGGAGGGCCTCCATTTGCGTGGCCAAAGCCTGGCTCATGTCGCGAAGTTGAATCAGATTATCCAACTCTGCTTTTTTTGATGCAATACGGGCTGCAAGAGCTGATGATTGCTGTTGCGATCCGACCTGACTTGGCTGCCGAAGAGACGCCGCCGACGACCCAGGAGGAAAAATAGAGGTAGGCCGAGATGAATATGCCATGGCTACGAAGTAGATGAATAAATACTAGGTTGCTTGCCTTGAAGGGTTGAACTTTGAACTGCAAGAACCACGGCGCCCGACCGCCCGCACTTCCCAAAACACAGCGAGCGCCACACTAGTCCTGTTTTGGATAATCATCAACAACCTCTTCGACTTGGGCCACATTCAACTTTGTTTACTCAGAACAGCATCTTCTGGCCCTCCACAGCACAATCACCACCCGCCGTCCGCGCTACTCGCATATCTATAATTTTTTTGCACCAAGTCGAGCCCTGAGGCCCACGGCGGTCTGTTCACCGCCACACGCAGACATCCTTCCTCAGGATGGCTCGCTTGAACGAGTCAACAGCTTCAGCTGAGCCTATTGAGATCTGTTCGTCTTGATCCCTAACCACACCCTCAAAGTGTCGCGTCATGCTGATATACGGTTACGCGCAGTGAAAAGACGATTCGTCCGACAGAACCGCGAAATTGCCCGAGTCAATTCGATACAGTCTTTGCGAATCCGAGGCCTTGAGTCTGAGGTCTCCCATCTGCTTTCAGAAAATGTGTCTCTCAGGGAGCAGGTTATAACACTTACGCAAGAATTGGAGCGGTTCGAGGCAGCCAAGACTCTTCGCGACGGTGTTTACGACATAAAAACAAGGCTGGACAGCAAATTGGTGGAGTTGGGCAGTCTAGTAAACGAGCTCGGTAATTTGCCGCGCCAGTATTCAAAGACTACCCGTGAACGCGCCGAATCTGAACTGGAGTCACCTACTGAGAGAGATTCGAGGCGACCAAGCTCTGTTAACCAGGTCAACGGCGCAGACCCAGAACCAGCCTTGGACGTCGAAGTAGATGGAAGGCTTCCTGTAATATTGGAAGATAAATACTATCCACGGCGTACTTTGGAGTAAGTGCTAGCTTTCCGATGGTCAATATGATCTACTCAGCTAATGAGCAATAGGGCACGAGAATTACAGCAACTCTCGAATGATAATTGGGGAGTTTCTTGCTCCCTAATATCGGGGGACGCCAGAACATCTCCGACACACACACCTGAGCACAATGCTTCACCCACAGTTACCCCAGCAAAGATTACGGACATACAGCCATTTGAGGAATATGCGGTGGACGAACATTCGTTGCCCCCAAATCTAGAAACGAGGAGAAAGAAGAAGGCGGGCTCGGTTACGATGGATGAAGATAGGTCCACTGGAGAGACCATATCCCTATTCGACTCGAAATTTATGCGAAAATGTGGAGCAAAGCGCAAGTTCTCAGCCGAAGATGGGGAAAGCTTGTTCGAGTCAACTCCAGCAGAGGACGACGGCTTTGAATTTACTAGGCCCAATTCCTCTCCAAAGAAACTAGTTTCAAAAAGTGATCAATCTCCAGTGAAGAGGAGGCCTCAGTCTCGAGTGGGAACCACAGGCATTGGTCAACCCAAGCGAAAAGTGCTTGAACCAAGTATGTAATATCTGGTGCTGGTACAACGGGAGTTATGCAACTGACCGCATAACCAACTACAGAAAATACGAACCTGAGCATAACTTCTCCTGCGAGGCCAATCAGACCGAAAAATTACGACAAATTGCAGAATCCTGCAACCCCCGGTGAAATTGAGAACTCTTATCCAATGCAGGGGCAAAACGTGTCTCAAAAAAAAGGGATTACGCCCGTTCATGAGGACAGGCTGAGTGCGGTTTTCGATAAACACGAGGAAAAGGCTGAGACTCAATTACATCAACAACCACTTCAAGGTGTCGACCGTGACGTTCCTGCAGCAAATGATATATCCAACGCACGGCCCTCGAGGCGTCAGAGAGCTGTTGTGAGCTACGCAGAACCAAACCTGAGGGATAAGATGAGACGATCGACCAACGAGCTTGGTCCAGCTGTGGGGAAGGATAATGCACGGAGATCCAGCTCCCAGACGGAATCTGCTCGCGACCAACGACACAAGGATGAAACTACTCAGAAATCTCGAAAGTCCGGCGTCACGGTTGGGGACCCTGAAGCAAATGATGCCGATACCCTTGCAGGCAATTCAAACCGCCAGATGGGCATGATCTCCCACAGAAAGCCTAGAAGTCTGGGCCGAACTGTTGACGAGACTGAAGGGGATTGCGTGAAAGGCAACTCACTTTCCGGGCGCAACGACCAGGAATCAGTCAACCAGTCCAGCACAAGCTTAGCAAGTGTTGATATCGCCCACGGTAAGGTGTCTTTTTCCAAGGAGTCAGTCACATCTGCGGCTATGTACCGTGCAGCATTAGAAACAAGTAAGAAGTCTCGACGGCATTCCTCAAACACTAGGACCTCTGGACGAAGTACTACACCTAAGTTTCCAGCAGATTATCTAGACGAGGGGGCCGAAAGCAATGGGTCGGCCACTGTACATGAGACAGCGAAAGATGGACCTGCAGCTGGGGACTCGCAGTACAGCGATGCGCCATTTATCATGGAATCAAGGGAGATGACGAGAGGCCAGCGAGTCGCTGCTAGACGACGAAGTATGATGTTATAAGGGCTAATATATCTTTACTATAGCGCTATAATCAAGCGATTATGGGAATCGATAGTAGTACTACAACGTTATAGGTCGCTTCGGTCTAAGTTATCCATGATGGTTGTCCACACCGAACTTGAGTTGAGTGTCCAAGCTGTGTTGAACACTGCTCGGTGGTCACTAATATGAGGTGGGTATGTACTGTAACCATAACATACCTCAATGTATCTCTCCAGGGCGAGATGAACAGCGATACCATGAGCAAGACGAACATAGAAAGGATATCGACTCATTCTTCTTCAAAGCTTCGTTTTCTTTCTAACCCTAACTAGAAGCCAAACGATACAAGAGCTCTGGGAGGGAAGAACCCTCCGTGTTCGGACAGTCTTGGGCGAATAATTAACCGAACAACGTGATGTTTCATGCAGGAGTCCGGGAAGAATGCCAAGCTCAGGGTATGCCAACTCTTCGTCAATGAATATTGCACTTGATCATCATCTCTGTCTTCAACACGCCGCACTCTAACCAGGCCGTAGTCTTCTTCTGAATCCTACAAATCGCAGATACCGATGCCGGCTTGCCTGCTTCGGCTGTAGCTCGGTTGAACTCTGTTGTCAGGGGTAAGTATGCATGGAATTCAGGCCGATGTGATGGGAGTTGTGATGGGTATTCCCACAGCCATCGAGTCGCCAGCGGCTGCCTGATGACGTTCTTGCAGGTCTGCACATCTGGTAACGGCTGTCTAACATTGGATCTCAGCCCTTGGTGTTCTTCGGCATCTTTTCGTATGCATTTGGACTGGGCTTTCTTCGCTTCGTTTTCCTACTATCATGGCTATGGCCGCTGCCAGCCCGGCCCCTCTCCGGCGACTCCTGAGCCCCATCTTGATGATTGTGGCGGTGATGGTGGCAGTTCCTCTTAGAACCTGCATCACCAGTCCTCTGGTCACTGTCTGAACTCGACGAATCCGAGTCCGAGGATTCCGACTCGGAGCTGCTTTCACCAACTGGTCTCGCCTTGTGGTAGATGCAACATACTAACAATAGCCGAGCAGTTAGTTGCGCTCATCACAGGTGAAATCGGGTCCTTTATAGCCTGCCCCGGGTCCGTACCTTTCGAACTCTTTTTGCCCATGCCTTCGTTATCGACCACGTCCTCGCTCCACCGAATACGCCGTGCCGGAGACGCGTCTTGATCGACTGAGGGAACATCCTCAGCCCTTAGTCTTAAGGTCCCGGTTACTCGTCCATTCGATGTATTCTGCTCTACCCGAGTGACTGAGGAGACCCGCGAGCTGGATGTCGATGTCTGGGGAAATGCCTGTCGGATGTGAGACATGACTGTGTTGGTGTCGGTGTCGGTGTGGGTTGGTGGGCCGGACCTAGAACCCGAACAGTGTCTCAAATTCGAGTCTCGCACGAACTTGCCGCGTTGAGTGATGGGAGTTTCCAAAGGCGAAACCGCACGCTGCATCCACGTTGATGATTTTGGGCTATTTTCATACGGGGGGAATTGCCACCACCTGATCTGACCGCTCACGAGGTTGCCCCGCAATGCATGTATGGATTGAAGAGTACGGAACGAGATTGGGCTCTGGTTCTGATTATTATATATTGTGCCTGCATCAAGGGCTGCGCTTAAAATGTATACCAAATGAAGCGTAGAGTTTACAGTAGCTCCTAGCCTAGTCGAAACTAAATACAGCTAGCTAGTTCTCCAATAGAGAGCAGATTGGTCGTCCAGTATTGGCAACGTGCTGAGACTGCTAGTCAGACCAGTTCCCATAAAGCTTTGATGTGGTGTCGATGAAGGATCGCATACTAACCTTCCATCGAGGTTGAAGCCCAGAGCATTGACAGGGAGCCATTAGAATGAAATGGTTGATTGACAAACCAAAATACAGCCAAGAGGTAGATGGAGGGCAAGTAGGAATCCCTCTCGTCCCTACAGCCCGTAGAAGGTCCAGCCGTCCAGCCAATCTTTATTGGTCATAGACCGTGTTGTATTCACCGAGCAAGGTGGGTTTGTCTCGGATTTCAGCTCCTCATCGAGTCATAGCTCATCATCATGGTCCATCTCCGACGGCTTCAGTAGTCCTCCAACCTTCATTGCACGGTCACGCTCTGCAGCCTTGGCGTCCTTCAGAGCCTGCTCCCTTTCCTCAGCATATAATTCGGCGTTGTCACCAGCAAACTCCTTCAAAGAGATCAAGAAGTCTCGCAAGTGAGTCTTGAATTTGTTGAAATCGTCGTTAAAAGCAAACAGTCCAACGACGAATTGTTTGATTTGAATCCTGGCATCCCGTCAGATAAGCCGCTATAATCAATTCAATCGGCGGAGGGACTCACTCCTGGAGGTTCTTGAAAGCAGTCTGTAAAAGGTTGGCAACATATTCTTGCAGAAAATCCTTATTAGAGGTCCCAATAGGGGCTTGTTCAGGGGTGTAGATGGGATCCTGAACTTTGCCGGCCTCAACGAAGTAAAACATCCGCGACAACAACATCGCCTGAGACTTGAACCCTGTGATAGTGTCAATTAGTCTGAAATTTCCCTGTAGATTGGGTAAGAGCCGTGCATACCCGCTTTGTGGTCACTGTCAGTGAGAACGAAAAACACATCCTGCAAGATCGGGATGTAGAATTGACGGAAAAAGATGTTGGATGTCTGAGCGTCAGTCTCGGCCATGTTATTCATGAGCTCGAGGCACATTGTGAGACCAGTGTTCTCGACCTCCCGGTTATCATGTTTGCTAGCCCACATGCATGAATCTATGACAAATTTGAACTGCGTGGCATCGAGCTTGAGCAGCGCCGGGAAACAGTAGAGATTGATTGCTTGGAGCAATTTGAAGAACTGAATCCTGTGGTCCGGAAATTCGTGGAAGTCCTTGTTGATCATTTCCAATGTGCATTCGAATACGCTTTCCATGATCAATGGGACCTTGTCCTCCATGAGATTCTACGAAAGTTAGCATGCACATAGAAGATCGAGGGCCAAGAAACTATATGCCCAGGTTTGAGGGGTTATGACATACGTGCAGTTTCTGAATCACTGTTGTCATGGCATTCAGGACCTCTGCTTCGCGGGCATTCGGGACGTTACGGTTGTAGTCCACTAAAACGGCCTCGAGCAGCGGGGGCACCATATTCGCATTGACCATCTCCAAGTCGTCTGCTTTTTGGACATACGTATCAATGAGCTTCAGTATCTCCCTTTTGATTGTCCTAAGCCCCCTGACTTTCGGGGTCTTTGTCGCGATATCCCCTGGAGAAAATGTTAGCTAGCCAATTGTGAAGAGAGCTATAATAAGAGCCCCGGGGCTGAAGATAGAATCAATGGTAGAAAGGGGCTGAAGATGGGCTCGTGGATAGCGAAGGCCTAGGAGCACTAACCATCACGCGCAACAGCATCATTGATAAGTTGACTGGACGCTCGGTACATGTTCAGCATATCATGGTAGATGCGTCCTAGCTGAGAGTAGAAGTAAGTGCCAACGGAGGAGCATGCGGCGACGTTGGTTTTCATGATGTTTCCGACGATCTTTATCGTTTCGCCATCCTGGAGGACGGATGGATCCTGGTTGGCCTGGGCAATAATAGTGTCCCACGCAGAGTTGGGCAACGACATCAGGTTTTCTATCAAGCGATCCTGAAGGCCCTTTTGGCCTTGTGCCGAGATCATGTGGCCGCAGGCCTCGTAGAAAGTATGGACCTGCTGGGGTGAAAGGTCGCAGGTGATTTTGCGCATGTTTCGAACGATTTCCTCGATGAAAGGTTCATTCTCTCCTGGCTGGAGAGCGACGAAGTGCCTCCTGCACTTATTGGCAATTTTGATAAAGGTATCGCACGCCATATCCTGAACACCTATGACAAAGTCAGCTGTAAAGGCCTATGGCAAATTAAGAGAATTTACCTTCATGTGTTTCATGCATGAATTCGAAAAGTTTGTTGACCACCGTCTTCAAAAATTTCCAATGCGCCTTCAAAAAGCGCGGGTACTGTCCCACGATGTACATAATGTTACTAGCCACAACAGCCTTGTTGTCCTTGCCACGTTTCATTTCAGTGAGGCCGAGAAGATCCTTGATAACAGTGACAAGGAAGCGTTTTTCGGTCTCCTCATTCATGGCCCCAGAGATTGACCCAATTGCCCAGCAGAGTGTGTTGCAGTTGGCCCAAGACCATTCGGTGCCATCGACCTGTTTGGCTAGCTTCTCGATCATGATATTCTCCGTGTCAACCACGTCCAAATGTGTGAGATACACCAGGCACTCGCGGATCGTCTTGTACAATTGAATCGTGTCACTTTCCTTGACGAACTCGCGAATGATTTCGCCTTCTTCATTTTCCACAATCAGGACTTCCTCTGGTCGCACCATTTTCTCTATCATAACCGTGCGCAAGCTGGACAGTACTTCCTCATACTTGTGTTTCCGCAGAGGATAGTTGGCAAGTGTACTGGGATGCGGCGCACCACCGTTAGAGAGACCGCTCACGCCCATGCTCACTAAGGGGTTGATATCCGTGATTGGGAGCTGCTGCATCTCTTCATAAAGTTCTTGAACTAGGCGTGTCCAGTATTCAAGACAAATCTTGAACACTTCTCTATCATCAATCTGGCTGATCCGAATCAGGTAGAAATGGGCATGCGTCAGGTAATCTCGGTTGGGTAACTTCTCGACGAGCTAGTTTGTCCGACAGTCAGACTTGTAGAATTGCAGGTTTTCTTCCCAATGCGGACTTACATTGAGATGAGCGCCGAAGAAGCTGCAGAGGAATAACGCCAGGTTGAGCACAAATTCTTGGTCCCTCGAGTTGCTCTTGGCATAGGTCTGCTTCAGATCCATAGATAATGGGATGGTTTTTGACACCGTAGTCAAAGTTTCGGTGAACATGTGAACGAGCCTCTCGTCATAGTTGTAGGGGTTTCCGATTTGAAGACCCCCGATCTCTGTGAGGCATTTGAGAGTCACGTTGCGAAATTCTGGGACGTCCAAGAACCGTGTCAAAAGCGTATTTATGACAGGCGTTTCGAAAATATAGCCCAGCGGGATCCAATTTAAGAACCGGAGAAGCGTCTCTAGAGTGGCTCTAATCAGACTCGGTTGGTTTGCGGTATTTAGCACCTCAGTGCACAGCTGGAAGATTGAAGAGAATTCCTGCGTCATCGACGTCTTCAAGTTTCTTGCTTTCACAGAGGTCATCTGGTCCTGAGAGAAGTCGAACACCTCTTCGGATAGCAGTCGAAGGATAGCCATGTTGTTTTCGCAGATAGAAAGACTTGTGTGGCAGGATGAGACGATTTCGTTGATGAAAGTTGGCCAGTTATGCGGCCATTCTTGTTTAAGGATAGAGACAAGGACCAGGTTAAGCTTGTTCAGAAATGCGCGTTCAGTTTTGAGCTTCTCTTCGGACTTCGAGCTCTCGATAATGAAATTGACGATAAAGTTGCGGATCCCTGGAGCATGTCAGACAAAGCTTTGCGAGAAATTACCTTGTACAGAGACTAACCCAAGCATTGTTCCCTTGGTAGGACCTTCCATCGAGTCATGATTACATCGTCGAGAACTTGAAGCGCAAGGTCTGCTATCATTAGCAAAAATCTCCGTAGTAATGAGGTGCGGGCTATCGCACATTTTGTTTGAGGATATGATGATTCTTGAAGGATATTCCCCACGATCAACCATGCATCCGGATTTTGCTTGAACTGTTGATTCCAAAAAGGTCAGGTGGATGGTCCATCGCCATCAACTTGGAATGGAAGCTTACTTCTGTCAGGGTCTGTTGAGCTTGCTTTTGCTACAGGGGAAAGATTAAGCAGTTAGCTAATAAAGACGAATCCGACATCAGTACATGTTCGGTGTTGACCTACCAAGTCACCTTTGCCTTCGTAAAAGGCGCGGACAGTACTGTCCAACTCTTGTATGGATACCGACATTCCGTCGTAGCAGCCTGCGTGAAGTGCCGCGGTACAACTAGATTCTCAATAGCTCTATGACAAGGTTGTAGTTCTAGATGATCGCGTAAACTCGAAGAGTCGGGTGACTGTTTATGGCATACGGGATATGACCGTTGAAAAGGGTAGGATGTTTGGCGGGGTAAAGGCTTGTTGGAGGGGTTTGCCAGCGGCCAGGCAGAAGGAAGCTCCTGAGCAGGAGATGGGCGAGTATTATTAGAGTGTCGCGCCAGAGAAGGAGGGGGGAAACGCGAAGTGGTATGGTTGTGAAGCTGCGAGGTAAGTAAGTGTCGAGTTTGAAGGTGCTAGGAAGAATCATGGAAGGGTTCTTTGCGGCTGGCGGTGAGGGCGAGTTCTGTTCTGAGCGCCAACTCTACCGAACCGGTCTATTTCAGCGACAGGTTCTTAGTAAGCACCTGGATAGCTCAGTCAAACCAAGGACAGTGAGCTGAGCTTCCAACGACTAGAGTGAATCAATATCTACGGGGTAGTAGTAGGTATACAGGGTGATCTTCCTGTAGGCAATGAAAGCTACCCAGAGAGTCATCTACTACTCGACCGAATGTTCGCACTGAACAACCTAGTTATTTCCTTGAGGGCCAGCCTTATGCAACACAGGCACCAAAGACCACTGACTCGTCCCTGCTAAAAAGTGCTGAGAAGAGAGTAATGGGCCAAGTACTCCGTCGCAAGACTCGGTCAATTGTCCGACTTTCTCGCCAACATTACTCAAAGATTGCAAGAAAAAGGTCCTCTACCTACGAGCATCTCTAGGCTGGTGTATTTGGTTATCTGACATCATAATCGATTAACAGTTCTGTAGTGTAGCTGGATTTTCTTCTTGGCGCGGAATTCGGCTAACTAGACGATGGAAGAAAAATTGTCTTAGATACTATCCAGTAGTTGAGGCTGGGACTGAGGTACATGATGGTATCTACGTATGTACGGGGTAGGGCCGCTTCCAGGCGCCAATGGCGAATAAGTTGACGACGGGAGGGTGACGAGCAATGTGCAGCTCGTTTCGACCCGCCGCTGTGCCGCGCTTCCCTCGCGGATACAGCAAAGCAAAGCGTCTGACCCTCCCTTTCAAGGTGGCGTGTCGCCTGAGCGCGCCATCACCCAATCGCGAGGACCCGAATCTGTTCCTTCGAGGTGCAGCCAACCATCTGCTCCGCGCGACCAGGGCCGATCGCGCGCCAACTAACCCAGTTCAAGTTCTCGTCAGCCAGCTGGCAGCCGCAGTTCTCCATCTTGCTTGGTCCGTTGGACGACTACCCCTGGTCAAACTCAAGGCGCTCGTCTTTTGGCGCTTTTCTTTTTCTCCTCTTTCCTTGCTGGATCACAGATGGCGACCGGGGCCCTATGCTAATTACTATTGGATCTCTGTGCAAAGCGTCTAGCCCGTAGCCTCTTGTTGACTGCCATCTGCAGGCGGCAAAGGGTTATAATTAAATATTCTCGTCCAGCCATGCTACTCGCTGAACTGGCTGCTATCGCCTCTCCTTCTTCCCTCCACTCGCAGTGCAACCACCATTCATATTCCCCCTCCTCTCTCACAAACCCCTTTCCCCTTCCCTCCTTTCCTGGCTTTGATTTCTCGGTCCTTGGAGTGTTGCCCTTCTTCCGCGCGAGGCGCCATCGAAACCAATTTACCCTCGTTTTGACTTCTTCGGGGCCGTCGTCATTATCATTCTGGTGGTCCGCCAGGCTTTCATCGCAGGATCCCGCACTAGGAGCTCGTGCTCTCTACAGCTTTCCTGTCTCAGCTCTTTCCCCCGCTCCACTCCTTACTCTGCCTATCGGTACTACCTTCGCACCTCGTCCTCTCCGACATACCTTCGCGACTCCTGTCATTAGCCCTCCATCCTTGGTTATGTCACAGTCTTAGTTTCAGTTTTTTCGAAGCCTGCTTTTCAATCTGTTCAACGACTTACAAGCCGTATATTGACAACCGCGCTCTCCACACTCGTTCAAAACATCTGCTTAATGTACCAGGACCCAAGGACAATCTCTTTCGATTTACCAGCTGTTTAATACCAGCTAGGCGACGTATGAGCGGATGCGAAGGCTCCGACGTGACTCAGCTATTCATTGGGTTGTTCAGCGCTCGCTAGATTCTAACGTTTCTGCTTCCCTCACAATCTCCCCGCAGACACATATTTAGCGCGAGTCGCAAGCAGGCGCCATTTTGGGTACGGTTCTTTGCTATTATGGCGACTATTGCGACCGCGCCAGCAATGAACGATCAGGAGTCGGAGAAGGAGTCGAAGGCTGATCACAGCCCCTCGCGATTTACAGCGGTGAATGGAAGGGAGCCTCTAGCACCCGGCGCTCTGCATGACGCCGCAACACATGGTGTCGACTCGACACATGTAGACAATCGAGAGTCTACCGAATCTTGGCCACGAACCGGTTATGAGCCATCTAGTCGGTACGAGGCCAAGGCAAAGGAGAATGGGGACACCCACAATGATTTGGACGAGCAGCGGTCACAGCGCTCGACATCGCACAGTCCCTTGACTTCGTCTATTAGGTCGAAGAGAAAGAGATCGGAATCTGACGACCAAGATGACATCGCTCATGCGCCATATCGGGGCCCGCGGAGCCCAGACCAGCCGCCAGAGAGCGCAATGGATCATTCGCCACAGCCGGGCATGTCCAATGGTATTTTGAACTCTCATAGCGACACTGATTCAAAGCGCACGTCCCCTCAAGTACAGCCCAGGGCAGATGAGGGTGATATTACCCGGACATCGTCTGCAAGCGCCCCCTGGCCCGAGTACGATACACAGCTCATCAATCAGGCTCAGCGGGCTCAACAAATTGATGCTTCGGATGCCCAATTGGCCGAGGCATTACAGCGCGAGGCGCAAGGCTCCGATGCCTCACAAAAAACCTGGGACAGCGTAAATCGAGCAGTTGAGGGGTCAGTACCAAGTGAACAGGGTCTGGCACCTCCTTATGCTCAAGATCGACCACAGAGCGCGGTGCAAGTTGCACCCAAGAGAAAGCGTGTTTTCAGTAACCGAACCAAGACAGGATGCATGACCTGTCGGAGGCGGAAGAAGAAGTGCGATGAACAACACCCAGCCTGTGAGTTTGTGAAAGGCCTCCTTGAATCCATACTCGAGACACTAATGTGGTTTGTAGGTAATAACTGCATAAGAGGAGGCTTTATCTGTGAAGGCTATTCGTCCCGGAGCACATGGCAGAAGCCATCAACGACAAAAACACCAGTTCCCTTACAATCCAAAGAAGGCTATCCTGATATTGGCAATCAGTATGTACACGACATCAACCCGCATGATCGGCAGCAAAACCTAGTTGAACCGATTGATTCGGGGAAAATGCGACCGATTGTTGTGGAAGATGACAACCGTCCTACTGCCCAGTTCAATACAAGTCCCACAGGTGTTGGGTCGGGTCGGAGCTCCTGGCCAAAGCGGACCTGGCCAAGTGCAACACATCCAAGTTATATTACAGATCCCCTAGCGAAATCAGATTACCGAGAAGTTCCTTCGATTCACGAATTGTCACGCGAGGCCCCTCCTAAAACTGATTATCAACTAGTCCCTCCAATCAGGGAACTTTCACACGGGGGTCATACAAAACCCAATGTCCCTCTTTTTCAGACTGGGATCGATCAGCGACCAGCCCATACTACTAGTGTTGACACGAGCACGCCCCAGGCTCAGGCACGGATGGCATTAAGTATTGAACACCAATTATCTGGCCGAGCCGTTTCCAGCGAAGAGACGGAGAAAGACAAAATGTTACGCGGTGATCTCTATAGGCCCTTTGATATCCACCTCGTGGAGGAAAGAGACCGATGTAGAGCGGCGCTCTGGCGGTTTAATAATGCGTGCAACCCCGTTTCTGGTCTTACCGCCAAAGAGCAAGGTCGTTTATTAAAGGAGATTCTAGTGCCACAGCCTATTACCAATTCGCCCTCCGGGGTCACTTCACCGAGGCCTGCGGGGTCTATCGGTCAAGGGACTGTGGTTGAAGCACCTTTCCAATGCCACTACGGATACAACATTCATATTGGGGAGGATGTCATGGTATCTGAAAGCTGCCTTTTTGTCGATGATTGCCCCATTACTATCGGAGCGCACACCTGGGTCGGCCCGCGAGTAACAATTCTCACCTCCATGGCTCACGCCAATATGCAGGAACGAAAAGGTTCACAAAGTCGCTACCAGGGCCGCCCAGTTACAATCGAAGAGGATTGTTATGTTGGTGCCGGCTGTACGATTTATCCCGGCGTGCGTCTGCGCCGCGGAGCTTATGTTGCTCCCGGTGAGGTAGTGAAGTCAGATATTGTGGCTTACGGATTTCAAGGATTGAAACCAAGCTACATGTGATAACACCAGGCAATATCTTTGGTCGATGTGGTGAATCATCTCTTCCCATCTTTACATGGGGTGTTCAATTCAGCATGTGGCATCTTCGCCCCTGTACTCTACATCCATCTTTCGCTTCTTTCCTATATACTCCGAGGATTGGGACACTTGTCGTTTTCTCTTGCTTTATGCTAATATACCAGCCACCTCTTATATTTGACTGGTTCAGAGAAGAGGGTGGCACTGTTTCGCTTCTACGCTGTGCAGATGTTGAACCTACTGGCGGTTCACATTGTATAACCTTCTCTCCCGGGTTTAGTTCTAATTGGTGTAAGTTCGGGCGTTCATGTACATAGATTTTTACGCATTGGATTATATTAGCCATGAATAAAGTCGACCCGGGGAGATATTATGGGTAATCCCTGATTGCCCATTGGGGAGGCAACAGTTGAAACGAAACTTGTTATCCTGGGATAACAAGTCCAACGCTCATTATAAAATCTGTGTAAACCAATGGAACCCCAGTTTAAGTGACCGCCCAAAAGATAGATATGGATGACGACACGGTACAAACAATACATCGTTGGGGAAATCAGAGCTAGAGCCAGTCCAAGAATTCAGGCACAAAGTAGCTTATTACAATGCCCGCACCGGCCCTTAGAATCCCTTCTGTACTCTCGAAAGCCATAGACTTCAGATCAAATACTCCAGCTTTGGCTCCAGCATGTATCATGGCGTACTCGCCACTGACCTGGTAAGCGGCGACAGGAAGATCTTGCGCAAGCTCTTTCGCATCTCGTATAATATCGAGGTAGCTGCTTGCTGGCTTCACCATTATGATGTCAGCACCTTCGCCAATATCTCTCTGTATGGCTCTGCGTGCGAGTCCACGGCCACCAGGAGGAAGTTGATAGCACCTGCGGTCCCCAAAAGAGGGACATGATCCAGCTGCATCCCGAAAAGGTCCATAGAGACAACCACTAAACTTTGCACTGTAGGACATAAGAAGCACCCGATGTGCCAAGCCAGCCTCAATCAGTTTCAACTTGATGGCGCGAATTCTGCCATCGTTCATATCGGATGGTGCCACACAGTGGGCTCCGGCAGCGGCGTAGGCCAAAGCAACGTCCGAAATCCGGTCCACAGACTGTGTGTTATCGAGTGTTCCATCCTCCCGTAGTATTCCGCAATGGCCGTGGGATGTATATTCGCAGATGCAAACGTCAGCCACAATGTATATTTCGGGGAAGCGCGATCGAATTAGGCGAATTGCTTGAATAACAGGACCAGCAGGGTCGTCCGCAGAGGTTCCGAGCGGATCCTTCGCAGAAGGATGCAAGGGAACACCAAACAAAATGACGGACCGTAGTCCCTTCTGAACAAGGGGTCTCAGAAAAGGAACTATACGGTTCAAACCGCGGCGATGTTGGTTTGGTAACGATGGGATAGCCGTCTCTTCATCCGGATTGTCAGTGATGAAAAGAGGGTAAATCAGCATATCCTAAAGCGAGGTTAGGAGCACATCTTTGTATTGGGGGTAAGATAGATGCCGGTGGAAAGTCGACAGCCATCTATTACGGACCTTGGTCAGTTGCCTCTCAGCTTGCCATGACCTGCTGAGCGGATGACTATAACCTGAGTGAAGCTGACTAGAGATATCCCCAGATATGCTAACACTGGTGGCAGCAGTGCTTGTATACGAACGAGCAGTGGCCCTGGAACGTGCGTTGGAGACTTGAGAGTTCCGGTCGTCGTAGTTATCTCTCAAGGCGAGATCGGACACTAGGTTCGAGAATGACATTGCCACGGGATATTTTTTTTATCAGTTAAGACTCAGTGCAGGAATCATGCGATTACTCCGTAGCTTTCTGCCTTTGCGAGATTATGATATCGCAGTTGAAAAGAGAAGCGATCACTATTCAGATGAGAAGCGTCGTTGCGGATGGTTGAAACTTGACAGAAATTGCTGAGAATCAGATTACACTCCTCCAACTGAGACCTCAGAAAGTGGTGGCTTCAAAATTCACAGATGATTATTGGCTGAGATACTGAATGCCGAGGATGCGGGTCATCAAAACCGAATGGGCTAACTCCCGCGGTCGACTCTGCCCGCTGCTCATGCCACCGACAAGCCAGGCCAGAAAAAAAAAAAAAAAAAAAAAAAGCTTCCGATAGGTTGACGTACATTGAATAGCGAGATAGCCCAGGAAGTACTAACGGTGTCGACCTAACTAAAAAAGAATCTGTTCGGTCACAAAACTCTTATATGTGGTTACCTCCGGGTCTCGTGCCAAACAAGCGGTCTAACCCCGGAAAGTGCCACAATTAAGTGGGACCAGGAGTGTACCTCCCACATAGAGTTTGTTTTGAATAAGAAATCACAATACAACGTACGTATTCCATGCGGAGGCGAGAGTAAAGCTGCAGAAGAGCCGAACGGGAGTGCTCAGTACTTACTCCCGTGGAGCTGGTAAGAGTATTCTCAGGAGATGCCTCTTCTCCTTCTCCACCTCCAACCAGCCGCCCTCTTCAATCATTATCACCCTTCCATCAATGCAAACGCGCCTCCACCTCTCCTCGGGCTCATCAAATCCAATCCGGATCCCTTCAATCTCGCGATATTCAACATCACTATCCAGGATATGTTGGCCGTTTTGGTATGCCAAGGACAGCACCTGCATTGCGCGCTCCGCTGACAGAGGGCCGAACCGTATCACCCTAAGCGAGCCATCCAGGGGTTTGGATTCGGGGGATATCATGAAGTCTTTTTCGAGGTTTGATACTAGTGTCGCCAAGACATACATATGTTCCGTGGACTCAATGGTTTCTTCTGGCTTGGTATCTCCTTGGCCTTGACCATTTTTTCCAAACAGTGTGACTAACCCACGGTATCTGTGACTCTCGCTGCCATCTGATGGATAGAGGAGTTCATTCGCGGCCATTCTGAACCTTTCGGCTCCGAATTTGCGATATTCAGTCGTGTCGCTATCTGCGACTAGTGCGGCGTGTAGCCCCCAACTGGCAACAACACCGCCATACACCCTCCGGCAGGGAAGCTCAGCAGCCGTCTGGGACTGTGTCGGGCTATCCTGGACGTACCTGGCGCCGTGGGAGAACGTTGCGGCAAATACGGGAACCCGAGTTGGTTTGCCGCATAACAATGCCATCAGTGCCGCTTTAGGGTGGGCGACTAGTCCTATGGAACTTGCCATGGCATTACCCGTACCTGCTGGGAAAAGGGCAATATTTGGTGTCGCATGGATGCTTTTCGCGGAGCTGTAGAATGCGTCGATAACATCGCAAAGGCCGCCGTCTCCTGAAAGAAGGACGATGGTTTGCTGAATACCAGCTTCGGCCTGGGGTATGAACAGCGAGTAGCATAAATCAGTTATAGTCTGGGAAGATTGTGTCTCATGAACCTCATATGAATCTAACCCAAGATAGGAAAGCAATGGTCGCAGAATATTACTGAATAGAAGTTTAGCCGTCCCCGTCCCAGAGGCCGTGGATATGATGAAGTGGAGCTTTATGGGATTGTTCGAGTTGTAGAAATTCGGCGTGTCCAGGAGCAAGTGGTCGGACACAAGTTTGGATGGCGCCGTCGTGAGATGAATTCTCCTGAGGTTCGGTGGTGTATTGGTGTCCGGGTTGAAGAACAATAAGCTGTATCCCGAATCGTGTCCCTCGTGAGGTGGAATCATGCACAGTATATCCTCGATGGGTATTTTTATCTGGGTAAGGGTCTCTGAAGAACTGCATTCAACGCAGTCACCAACAAGGGCGCACTTGAATGACATATTGCCAATAACAAGGTTAGCAGATGCGTGTGTTATGTCCAATCAATATGGACACCTGGAGTTGGTGCCTCTATCAAGTAAGGTCCTTGGTCCTGGTAAGAGTCTGTGAATAGTATAAAGGGGACTAATAAGGGGGAATAGGTTTATAGGGGTCTGGTAACAGCACACTAGCTTTGCTAAAGGCAACGTTGTGTTTGACCCCTTATACAGCAAGTCCGCGGTTTGGTGCCTCAGGCACCAAACTTGCCCCTGTAGCGCCCGCTTCCCAGGCCGTGATGCATAACCACGTATTACAGTCACTGGGCTTTATATAGTAAAGACTAGAAATTAGTTCTACTATAGTTATACCTACTCTAAACCCTTATATATATATATAAGGGACCTACTAAAATGACTGCCCATTTGGCTAAAATAACCGCCCCTAAACCCCTTTTGTATAAAGGTCCTCGGCCTTTTAAGGTTTGTGTAAGACCCTCACCATATACATATATAGGATAGTTAGAACTTCGCGGGCTAAGTCAGCCAGGGGCTAACTTAGTACATGAAAGGATATCCTTCCTTTATAAAGGTAGAGACTTTATAACTTAGTATTAATCTATAATACTAATCTAACTATTAATTTATATATTAATTATATTCTTTATATCTTTTATTAAGTATCTTTATATCTTTTTATACTTATTATAATCTCTTTAGGTCTTAGGTCCTTATCATTTTAATACTTAAAATTTATAATTTATTTATTAGAAGTAAAGGATATTTGTTATTATAAAATAACCTAAGTAAACACCTAGATCTTATAAAATAAGATTATATAAGATAACTATTTAACTAGAATTATTTTATAAGATAGCTAAGTTAATCTATCTACCTTATAAAAAAATAATAATTCTAGAGAATATAAAAGTAATCTTACTCTTAGCTTTTAATAATTTTATAAATAAAAATAACTAAATAACTAAAGTTATAAATATAATATCTTAAAAAGATCTTAAAAATATATTTCTTAAAGAACTTTATAAGCTAAAGCTATTAAAAATCTTTATAAATAAGTAAAATATATTATAATTATTAAAAAAGATTACTAGTTACCTCTTTATAAATATAACTAATCTAAATTATAAATATAGTAACTATTTTCTTTTAAAAGATCTCTTCTTTTATAACTACCTACTAAAGATAAGTAGTATTATATAATAATCTATATAAATTACTATAAATTTATATAAAAGATTCTTTAAGAGTCTTTAGGGAAATAAATTATTATTTAAAGAAGAACTATTTAAATCTTATAATTTTATATCTTAATTTAATACTCTAAAGATATAAGAGCTTAAGAATACTCTATATACTTTATAAATATAGAATAACTTTTATTAGTTTCTTCTTTATTAGCTAGAAGATTCTATAGACTATTACTATATAGTCTAAAGTAAGACTATTTATATAAAGTTATAAAAAAGTAAGAATAACTATATCTATCTAAGCTACTAGTATAACTAGTAGATAAAAATTAGTAATAAAAGTTACTTTATAGATAGTATTATTCTAAGACTATTCTATAAGTTATTTCTATTTATAGTATACTAGAAGGTTTATAAATAAAACTAATTTCTAAAAATACTAGAATTAGTATCTCTTATTATAAAACTTTAATTAAGTATTTAGTTAAAAACCTTATAAAATAATTAACCTTAATAAAAAAAGTATAATAGGTAAAAGATTAAAATAAAATTAAAAGGCTCTCTAATTAAGACTTAATTATAAAGAATAATAATTACTATAAGACTAGATAAGTAACTATTAGATTTATAGAATAAATTAATATTAGAATAATTATAAAAGTAGTATATAATACTACCTATATAAAAATTAGATTATATTAAACTAGACTACTCTAATCCTATAAAGAATAGGGAGTAGAAGAAGTAAAAATAATATAAAATATTTATAACTATAATTATAATAGTAGCTAAGGTATTACTATTAAAAAAATAGCTAGTAAAAGAGATAATAATCCTTTTTATAAAGACTATCTTATTTAATAGAATAACTATAGATTATAAGACTAATTAATAATAAGAGTAAGATTAATATAGTCCTATTCTTACTTATAAAGTAAATAAAATAGGATATTCTTGTATATTAAATATTTATATAAACTATAAATAAGAGAAAGCTTTAAAATAAAGAAGTTATAAAAATAAAAATTACTAAGACTTATAAAGAATCTAAAAGAAATTCTAGATTCTTATAATAATATTTTTAAATATAGAATAAGTAACTCTAGAAATACTATAACTTAGAATATATAATTTAGAGACTTACTAGGCTAAAGAAGAATATATCTTTCATAGAGATAATCTTAGAATTAAAACTTTATTTATAAAGAACTTTTTTAACTCTACTTATAAAGCCCTAGATAAGATATTCTAGATTAATATAATAAATATAAAAAAGATTATTATAAAGAATAATTTACTAGAATAGTATAAAAACTTTATAAGTATATTTTTAAAAAAGGAATCTAAGGAGCTTCCTTTTTACTATAAAGAGATTAATTTATAAATTAAGTTAATAAATAGAAAAAAGCTACTATTTAGATTTCTTTACTACTACTCTTTATAGAAGATAGTAATTATTTATAAGTAGATTTAAACTATACTTAAAGGGCTAGATCTAATTTTTAAAATTATCTATAGAGATACTACTATTATATATATCTAAAAAAAATAGGAGAGTCTATATTTATATAAACTTTTATAGGCTTAATATTATTTTAATTAAGAATTATTATTCTCTTCTCTTAATAAATAAGGCTATTATATAATTAAGTAGTATATAGATTTATACTTAATTTAATCTTTATAATATATATAATTATATCTATATTATAAAGAGAGATAAGTAGAAAATAGTCTTCTATATAAAATATAACCTATTTAAATATTTAATTATACTATTTAGATTAACTAATATACCTATAATATTCTAAGAATATATAAATTAGATATTTTATAATCTCCTAGATATCTATATAGTAGTATATATTAATAATATTATTATCTTCTTATAAAATATAAAAGAATACTAGAAGTATATTTATAAGATCTTATAAAGATTATAAAAAGTAAGACTTTATTATAAATAAAATATATTTTTATAATATAAAAAATTAACTTTCTTAGATATATTATTACTTTATATAAAGTAGAGATAAAGTCTTTATAGATAACTACTATTATAGAGTAACTTATGTTTAAAATAGTTTATAAGATCCTAGTATTCTTAGGATTTATAAACTAGTACTAGAGGTTTATTATAGATTATTCTTTAATTACTATAATATTAATTCACCTCCTTTATAAGCTAATAGATAGGCTAGTAAGAATAATAAAAAATAAAGCTAGTATTATAATTCTAAATATCTATAAAGTAATATAGTGTCAGATAAGCCCTATCGTTCCTGCTTAGGACCGGAGGTCTTAAGGTATTCTTAAGTTGAATTAAGAAGACTGCTTCTTAATGTGCTAAGAAGGATAACTAAGTTCCAAAAGGTAGGGTAGCTTGGATTCTAAAGATATAGATAGTAACTAAAACTAATTACATACGTGAATAAGTGTCCTTAAATACTATTCTTTAATATAGCTAATATATTGTTCCTACTATGTCTACTATGTAGGCGGATATATTAAACATATTACTTTTACTATGTTGTGATTATTATGTAACTCTTAGTATATATTAATACTTCTATTTTACTATGTTACCTAGATTAACCTAGTTTTATAACTATAATCTTATAAGGTAAATCTATTAGCTAGTAGTATCCTATATCTTAGTATAGCTCTCTAATAATCCCCCTCTTTTAAGGTCTTTGTCCTAAAGATATAAGTAGTATAGTATCCTTAGGTAAGTAAGATTCTATTATCTAATTCCTTTATTCTTTTAATATAGTCTAGTTTACTAATATTCTTATAATACTTATAGAGTCTATACTCTATTCCTAATCTCTTAAGCATCGTGTTAAGGAAAGTAGTTTTAATATAGTAACTCCATGCCTTTATTATTCCTAGTCTAGCAAGCCTTATGTTTATATTAAAGGTTCTTCTTATTATAAAGCGTGTATTATAGTAGTTTAGAAGTATATTATGCCTAAGCTAATATTTTTAGATAGTAAGTAGCATTAGTTAGTAGAAGCTTAAAATAAAATTTAATTAAAAGAGTAAGAGGAATAAGAAAAACTATCTTATTTAATATAATAAATTACTAAGGTAAATACTTAAATAGATTATCTTTAGAAGTAAGATAATCTTCTTTATAAACATACTAATAACTTTATTATTTATAATATAAAAGAAATTAAAGAGCTTGAGAAGCTTAAGAAGAAGAAGTAAAAATAAAAGGAAATTAAAAAAAAGAAAAAGAGTTAGTTAGTTACTATATTAAATAGTAAAAGTTCTTTATAGGTAGCCTTTAATATAGAAGCTACTAAGGCCTTTATATTACCTTCTTTATTAGACTCTTTCTTTAATTATCTTCATGCTAAAATTCCTAAATCTTATTAGGATAGTTTAAATGCCTAATAAGTTCCTATAAATTATTCTTTAATAAGTAACCCTTCTACCTAATAAGGTACTAAACCTGACCCTTTATAGTATATTAGTCTAGGATCTTTTTAACTTTAAACTCCTTATTAATATTAGTTACTTTATCTTTAGTATTTTCTAGATTTAGTGTTAGTTTAAGTAAT